ACGCGCCGCGGTTGGCTGGGCTGGTGCCACGTCAGCCCTGATTGAACACGTCAGCTTCACCATTGAGACTGCCACGAGAACCGTAAGCACCCACCCCCTGCTTTCCCCCTCACTTTCTTGGTTACCTGATGCTGTTCAATGCTAGTCAGTGCTAGTCAATGCTAGTCAATGCAAGTCAATGCGGGTACAAGATTCAACACGTCAGCTTCAGCATTGACACTGGCACGAGAACTGTAAGCACCCACCTCTCCCTCTTCCTCCCCCCCCCCCTCCTTTGTTGTTCCTTGTTACCTGATACGGGTCAATGCTTGTCAATGCTGGACAATGCTGGTCAATCCTTCCTGGTCAGCGCTCAAAGCTGGTCAATTCTAGTCAATGTGGACACCACTCAGCTCTCCCTTGCTATGTCATACTCCCTCACTGCCACGTGGCAGTTAATCGTTGGTCCAAACGGAGCGGGGAAGTCAACGCTTCTCAAGGCCATGGCTGCAGGGGAAGGCGCAGAGCTGATGGCAGGAGAGAGGGAGACGGGCGAGGGGGCGAGCCTGGGCGTGTTCTCTCAAGACCTGGCTCAGGACCTGCCTCAGGACGTCACTGCACTGGACTACGTGCTCAGTGTGAGGGGTTTGTGTGTGTGTGGTGCTCCGTATAAGTGGTGGTGAGCTTGGCTTGGGCGTGTTCTCGCAGGACCTGGCTCAGGACCTGCCTCAGGACGTCACTGCACTGGACTACGTTCTCAGTGTGAGTGCTGTTTCTGTGTGAGTCGTTATCCTACCGAACCTTACGTGTGCGCATGGGTGAGGGTGGCGAGCTTGGGCGTGTTCTCTCAAGACCTGGCTCAGGACCTGCCTCAGGACGTCACTGCACTGGACTACGTTCTCAGTGTGAGTGCTGTTTCTGTGTGAGTCGTTATCCTACCGAACCTTACGTGTGCGCATGGGTGAGGGTGGCGAGCTTGGGCGTGTTCTCTCAAGACCTGGCTCAGGACCTGCCTCAGGACGTCACTGCACTGGACTACGTTCTCAGTGTGAGTGCTGTTTCTGTGTGAGTCGTTATCCTACCGAACCTTACGTGTGCGCATGGGTGAGGGTGGCGAGCTTGGGCGTGTTCTCACAGGACCTGCCTCGGGACGTGACGGCTCTAGATTACGTGCTCAGTGTGAGTGGGTTTCGCAATTAGGCGTGTCATTAGTGAGCTTATGCGTGTTCTCTCAAGACCTGGCTCAGGACTTGCCTCAGGACGTGACTGCTCTAGACTACGTTCTCAGTGTGAGTGGTGGTCAATATGGGTGGTTCTACCCAAGACCTAGCTTAGGTATGTTCCGCGTGTAGTGAGTCAAGTTTTGAGTCGACTCAAAACTCGACAGCTCTAGACTATGTTCTCAGTGTGAGCGGTGGTCAGGTCAATATGGGTGGGTGGTTCTCCCCGAGACCTAGCTTAGGTATGTTACTGGCAAGCTTAGGCATGTTCTCTCGCAAGACCAGTCTCCTGTCCCACCGTCCCCTGCTCGCCAGGAGGCAAAGCCCTCTAATACCCAATGAAAAAGATTGTTAGGGGGCTCAAAGTCTGCCTTAATTCTCACTAAAATCTTGTCTGTAACACTTTCCCTGCCCCCAGGTTGCACGGGAGCAGAACCCGTTGGTAACCAACGAGCAAGGCCGTACCGCCCTGGGATCCCTTAAAGCAATCGTCTCATCACGCATTGGATGCTCTTCTGCTACCCCTGCCCCCAGGTTGCGCGAGAGCATAACCCCCTGGTAACCAACGAACAAGGCCGTACCGCCCTGGGAACTCTCGGCCTATCCGGCCCCGCGGCTCTGCGGTCGATTTCAGCGCTGTCTGGAGGGGAGAAGGCGCGGGCGGCGTTGGGTGGACTGTTGCTGCGGCCGCACAACGCGCTGCTATTGGACGAGCCATCCAACCATCTGGATAGGACGACAATGATGGCGCTGGCCTTGGGATTGCAGCAGTTCAAAGGTGTGTTTTAGTGGATCTGGATGTTTTCAAGGTGCTCTAAAACATAAAAAGACAACCATTCTGATAGGGCTACTATGGTGGCCGGGGCATTAGGATTACAGCAGTTCAAAGGTTTGGTCTACCTCGTGAAAATGCAACCTGCTTGGATAGGCTGACTATGATGGCATCTCCGCAGGAACAGCTCACTCACATCTACGGGTCTGCGCGCTTGTTGTCTGCCGGCCACGATTCATGGCCCTCTCTTTGCACCTTTCTCTCACGTCTGCCTGTGAGACACTACCCTTCCCTGCAGGTGCGGTGGTGGTGGTATCCCACGACCACGACTTCTGGCAGCTCTTCCAGCCCATGCAGCTTATTTGTATTTACAGCTCTGGGAGCTTGCTGTATGCCTGCCACGATGTATCATTCTCTCTCTGCACACATATCCCCCGTTTCTCCCCGCAAAACACAACCCTTTGGCCTCCAAGTGCGGTGGTGGTGGTTTCCCACAACGACCATGATTTCTGCGAGCTCTTCCAGCCCACGCAACTCGCTCACATAAAGGCTCTGGAACCCCGTGAAATGGGAGTGTTTTTGAGACGTCTCAAAAACACACTCGTTCGCATAAGGGCTCTGGAACCCTGCTGATTTGTAAGGGCTCTGGAACCCTGCTGATTTGTCGAAACCCATGTGTTTTCATTTCATCCTCTCTTCTACCAGGTGCGGTGGTGGTGGTCTCCCACGACCATGATTTCTGCGAGCTCTTCCAGCCCACGCAGCTCATTCGCGTCGACGGCACTGGAAGCTGCGTCTTTGAGCTGCTCCCTCAAGATGTGACTGCAGGGGAGGGTGACAAATCCGGTGCCAATGGCGCTGCTGTTGCTGTTGGTGCTGGTGGTGGTGCTTCTGCTGCGCCTGCTGCTGGTGGTGGCAGGCTGGCGGGTTTGGCAGGGATGGGGGGCCTGGGAGGAGGGGGGGGAAAGGGAGGGAGGGGAGGTGAGGTGGGGGGAAACGGAGCAGCATCCTCGCAGGCGTTTCAACATAGTGTAGAGGTGAAGAAGGTGAAGAAAAAGCTGCAACAGGTATGGCTGAATCGGCTGGCTTGTTTGACTCAACCCCGAAACATGTTGCATGTGTTTTTAACGACAGTTTGTAATATTTTGATGTTCACTTTTTGTGATTTGTCTCAGGTACGCACCAAGATAAAACAAACACTCGCCACTCTGGAGAAGGGGGATGCAGCCATTGCGTCGTATGATGGGGCGATGCTGGAAGCTGGGAGTGATGTGGAACGAGTGATGAAAATTCAAAAGATGAAGGATGCTGCTCTGGTGAAAATGACAGAGCTGGAGCAAGAGTGGGAGGAGTTGGAGGAGTCAGCTACACGACTGCAAGCGAGGTTGGATTCACTGGAGCCATCAAGTTAGGATTCTGTTCAGATTGACTCTGCGATCGAGGCACATACACTGCTGGTAGCTTAGCCTGAAACCTCTGAACCTGAATCTTCAAATGCCAAGTAGGTAATTTTATTTGTCAATTTTCTGAGTACAGTTAAAACTGCAAGCGATGTTGGATTCCTTGGAGCCATCGAATTAGGCTCGTTACTAGAGAGGCTCCAGCTTAGCCTAAAACATTTGAAGTTGCTATTACCATTAAACATTTTGTAAGGAAGATTAACTTGGAGTGCTACAACTAATACAGTTCGTAAAATAATGGTAGATGTTTTAGTGGAACCATCGGGGACCTCTTTGGACCAGGTTATCCGCTTCCACGCAATGCGCGCCACTTTCTCCAAGGAGCCAGCAGGCAAATTCCACTGGCTGCACTTTCAGCCTCGAAATAACCGTGGCGTGACTCAGATACTCCTCATCCGTGGGGTTGCGTCAGCTTTGCCCTCTTGTTAGCCCATCGTGTCCCGCTTTCTGACGTGTCGGCTAAGCAAGCGATTTCTGAGCCCACAAAACACGTCACCGCTGGACATGTTTTGAAATATCGGCTGAAAAGTTCCTGTCGAGTTGCCTTGCAAGAAGGTCCCTCCCCCCCTCGAGATTCTCTGCCACTTTCTCGAAAACGGCCTTGGGCTTGGTGGAAGCGCACGCACACCGACTCCGATTCGTGGGCACATTTTCTGCCCTGCCCTCCAATGTGTCAGCACGTGTGAAAGCGCATCGAGAATACCTATTGGCGGGAACGGCACCAGAGAACTGTTTTCTTCGAGCTGCCCAAACGAAAACCGTGGGTGAAATCAGTGTCGAACCGTCTGCCCGATAGTGAATCCATCCTAGGATGGAGCTGCTGACTGCATGGAGTGAACTGTACACACCACCACAAACGGATCCCCTCCCCACTCCACCCCAGCAAGCGAACGAGCGTTCTCCCCTCCGCAATCCACCCCACCCCACCCCACCCTATCCCACTCCTCAGCAGCAGCCTTCTCCTCCCCTCGCCTCTGCCGCCCACACACCCACCCGCCTCACCCATCAAAGCTCACTCCCGTGACTCGTCAGCACTCACCCACCAGTCAAACAATCACCAACAAACGATCACCATCTCCCAGCTTCAACCATTCTCCAGCAATAGCCAGCTTCTAGCTAGTACCATAACCATCTCCTTGCTATCTGTTCGTCTCAACCATCACAGCATCTCCTGCAACCAGCCCATGTCACTGAAAGGCGTCTAAACCAGCATACGTGTTTTTCCTTCGTGGACAATTTTTTCCGAGTGAAACGATTTATCCGTGACAATCAGCCGTCGCGATTATTCACGCACACTTGAAAATCATCAGTGCGTGTTGGTGTCAGAGCGTCTCTTCCTGTTTTACCTACTTGTCGCATAGTTCGCCACATAGAATAGTACCCTGGTGTTTTTTCGTGGGATTAAAACTTTCGCGATAGTCGATAAGGTACTCTCAGCGGTAACGCAATTTCTGGGTTTGGCCTGAGTTCGAGACTACAGGAAAGCGCCCGTTGGTAGTTTAGTCGTATACTCAAAAGTCATTGGAGTCTTTAGAGTATTGGAAATTCAGTCGGGAATTCATCCCGGCCATGGGTCACAAGGTGCACAAGCCGGGAGACGAGCATCGTTTCCATTCACTGACTCATCCCCACGTGCACCCGCCAGCCGGCAGTCCGCGCCTCCGACGAACTCGCATTCCGTCACGCGTATGTTCCTTTTAGAATTGTCAAAAGCAGCTTACGTTTTGTCACGCGTGAGTTCCTTTAGTTCCTGTTTTTTTTTTTTTTTTTTTTTTTTTTTTCCACGTGTAACTCGATTATTGTCTCATCGAAGTTGCGTGTTTGGACACGAATATGTTCCCGATTCCTTCTGCATATTCCTCTTGTTTCCGTAAATTGTTGTACGTTTTGTGCGAATCAGGTGCTTGTGCAAACTAAGGCAGTCCTGTCGCGGCAGGCGAAGCGCCTCGCACGAAAAGCCGACGAGCTCGAACACGTGATCTCCAAAGTATATCGATTTATCGTTTGAAATGTTCTTGTTGTTTTCTTCTGCAGTCTTAGACCTTCACTGTCAAGCTTAATAAAGCTTTTCTTTTTCGCCTCTTGAGCAGGTTACATACTGCTTAGGCGTTCTTTGCTTCGGCATCTTCTGTTTTCTCCTCGGATCCCGTGAGTTCATTGCCCACTTGGAAGTTACAGACTGATATTTCGGAAGTTACAGACTGATATTTCCCAACCATCCTTCACAGTCGGAATCATGTGTCGGAGCGTAGTCTTTATCGTCCTATTACGGCTAATAGACTGTGGGAGCTGCTGTGGCTGGCAGGGCCCTATGACGTTCCTCGTTTATACGCCGCCTTCTTCCTCATGGCCACACCCCTCCGCTGGATCTACTACCGCAGCAAGAAATGGCACTATTTTCTTCTCGTAAGTATTTTTTGTGTTACTTTTTTTTTCTCCATTTATTTTTCAAACAGTGGTATCACATGGAATTTTGCTCGCACTGATCGCATAATCGGTGTCGTCTGATGGTTCGCAGGACTTCTGTTACTACGCGAATGCGATTCTGGTGGCCTTTCTCGTCTTCTTCCCCATGAGTCAGCACCTCTTCCTCGTCTGCTTCGCTTTCTCTGAGGTGTGTGGTGTGGTGTGTTGTGGTGTGTACCAACCTTGTCGTCAAGCTGACTGTCGAGTCAACTCAAACGCATTCTTTGGGTTGCCTTAAGTGCCACGAGTCAGCACCTCTTCCCCCTCTGCGTCGCCTTCTTTAAGGTGTGTAGTGCTGCCGATCCTTTTCGTCAATCCTTCGCTCTTCTTCGCGAACCTCGCTTTGCCCCTCCCATCCCCATCCCAGTCACATTCGTCCCGCCCCGTCCTTATACCTTCCAATCCGTTTACCCGTGACCACCCACAAAGGTTCCGTTGGCCTGGGCACTCTTCGTATGGCGCCGCACCCCCACCCCACCCATCCCTCCCCACCCCCTATCCCCCCCCCCCCCCCCCGCTCCCCTCCCCCCCACACCACCACCACCACTACCATCCACTGGGTCCCTTGGCCTGGGCGCTCACCGTATGGTGCTGCAGCCTGGTGTTCAGCTGTTGAGTCGACTCCGACCCCCTCCCCCCCTTCCCCCCCCCACCCCTCTTTCCCCCCCACTTTCCAACACCACCCACAGGGTCCCTTGGCCTGGGCGCTCATTGTATGGCGGTGCAGCCTGGTGTTCAGCTCGGTGGATAAGATCGTGAGCGTGCTGATACACCTGTTACCCGGTACTGTCATCTTCATTATCCGCTGGTGGGACCCGGTGACCTTCCACCACCACTCAGCGGACGACACGGGCCCCTGGCCTGCTTGGCCGCATGTGGCGAGTATGGGCGAGCTGTGGGTGTGGATGCTCGTCGTGCCGCTCATCGCCTACAGCCTGTGGCAGGTACGGTGGGTGAGACACTTCTGATCGCGTAGTGTGAGCCATGCAAGAGGGGTTGGGTGTAAAGCTCCGTGGTTTGGAATGGTACAGACCGTGGCCCACGTGGCTGCACGTGGCTGCACGTGGCGAGTATGGGCGAGCTGTGGGTGTGGATGCTTGTCGTGCTTACATTGCCTACAGCCTGTGGCAGGTGTGGCGAGACGTTCTGCTCTTCCTTCTCCTTCCATCCCACTCTCACCCGGTGACCCGTTTGCTCTTTTTTCTCCTTCCATCCCACTCATCTCCCTCCCCTTTCCCGCAACCCCACTCATTTCCCTCTCCTTTCCCGCAACCCCACTCATTTCCCTCTCCTTTCCCGCAACCCCACTCATCTCCCTCCCCTTTCCCGCAACCCCACTCATCTTCCTCCCATTTCCCGCCTCCCCACTCATCCCGTCCCGCCACACCTGCTATAGATCATCTACTGGTAGAGGTGCTGATGAAACATCGGCTGGTGCAAGAAGGCTGTGAGCCGCATTCCGGTTCTTCCTTCTCCTTCTCCCATCCCACGCGTATCCCTCCCTTACCCCCCTCCCCCTTTCCCCCCTTCAGATCCTCTATTGGTTGGTGGTGGAGGTGCTGAGGAAGCGTCGGCTGGTGAAGGACCCAGAGGTGATGACGTCATTCCGGGAACTTTCCAAGAAGGCCTCCCGTGCCAACAACTTCTGGTGGTGGCTGAGCGGTGTGTTGGGGGATTCGAACCGCTTCTTTATGTACGCCCTCATTCAGGGCGTCTTTACGGTGAGTTCGTAGTGCTGGCACCTGTAGGGAAAGTACGGCAAGGAATCATAGGACAAACAACAACTCTTGATGGTGGCTGAGTGGCGTGCTGGGGGATTCGCACCGCTCATTCAGGGCGTCTTCACGGTGAGCAATTGGGCTTGGGGAGCCAGGGTAGGTTGGCGGGGAGCACGATGGGAATCAGAGGGAAGTTGTTACAGTTGCCCTCACTCACAGTGCCCATGTTCTGCTGCTACAAGCTGTTTTGACTCGTCTGACAAGATTCTCATCTTGCCTCCTCTGCCTTGTATTCTGCAGGTGGCCACAGTAGCTCTCACAGTGCCCATGTTCTGCAGCTACCGCTTCCACGCACTCTTCCAGATCTTCAAGATCGCTGCCTCCATCTGGAACGGTGAGTTTCGTGTTTCGGGTGTGGGATTCAGCTAGCCTTGCGGGTCATCTTTATTCGAGAGCAGATTGGCTTCCGATCGTGGTTCTCTTTCATTGAGCATCTGCTCCTTTGGCTGGCCCTTCAACCCACTGCAGAAGGAAATCTGATATTTTATGTACCGTGGCATCAAATGCATCCCAAGCGAATGAAAATTGTGTTTGAGTCAACTAAAAACCAACTGCTCTGCCTGTGACCCACTGCAGGAGGAAATTTCATATTCGATGTGCTGCCACGGCAAGTGCATGCCAAGCGAATGAAGAAAGCAGCCAAGGCAGCAGAAGGAAGAGGGGCTAGTAGCGGTACAGAGAAGGACCCTCTGGTGGAAAGCCCGAGCTGGGATGCGCATTCAGGTAGCAGGGAGGAGCGCCGGGCAGAAAAACGGGCAGCTGCGGCCGAGGCGGCAGATGCAGCGGCGTCGCTGGATGGGGCTTTTGTTCCGCCTATCAGTGGGGATTTCCTGTTACCGGGTAACAACTCGTGGAGCCACGTGGGGGTGAATGGCAGTCTCGCTGCATACAGGGCAAGTGTGCGGGGCAAAGGGCATGGAGGGGAGGAGGAGGAGGAGAGTGATGATGAGGTGTGGGAGGAGGTGGGGTCTGATGAGTTGAACGAGGAGGGGGAGGTGGAGGGAGAAGGGCAGGGGGAAGAGGCAGGGGAGGGGGAAGAGTGGGGAACATGTTGAGTTGAACCACCCGGGCCGGGTAGCAGACATGCACGGTGATGCCTCTGGGGGTGGTTTTGGAAGTGGGTTGGGAGTGAAGAGGTGTGGAAGCAAGACAGGCAGGGCTGCTCCCTCGGGATTTGAGAGCTCTGGGGTGGCAATCTCGTTACAAGGAGCATGATTTGTTGATGAGGAAGTGGTTCGCCGTATGGCAGTGACACGAGGGAACATGACACGACTCAATCTTAGCATGTAAAATATGTTTAACCTAATGTTGTGGCATTGCAACTCGCAAGGTGCAAGGAGTTACTAACATTAAGGTTTCTTGTTGGTTCTAGGTTAGCATAATAAATGGCTGAGGGTGAAGACCCCCATTTCAATCCAAAAATGAATGTGATGCTTTTGCACGCTGCTAATGACCATTTGTCTGTAAACAATCTATGAATCTCGTTTTATAAATGGCGTCTGGTGCACTTCGGCACAGGCTCATACTTTCCCGCGCAAAAATAAAGCAGGCCCTGATTGGCTTTGAAACCACGGAAAAGTGCGGGAATGGCAGCGAAACTCAACCTTGTCGCGTCACAAACATAGATATGAACCGTCAGATGAAATCCATTGTCTCGATCCGACCGTGAAAACAGCCTCAATGTTGCAACTGCTTGTTGACCGCGACTTGGTAAAAGGTACCTGCCAGCCAATCCCGAAAGCCCTCTTCTTCGCGGAACCACGGTGGTGGTGAGCTGACAGGCAACCGACGCCCCTCTTGCGCCACTCCGCAGCGACTTCCGCATTTCCCCCGCATAATCCAACCCCTCCCAGTGCCCCACCTCCCCTTCGCAGTCCCCCTGGCCATTCCTTCTCCGCGAATACTCTACGCAATTGCTTCCCCTTGCGATTAGTGGTGCTGCCAAGCTAAAACAAACTCCACAAGCAGACTTTCCCAAATGTAATTATGGAGCTAGTTAGCAGCTGGGAAGTAGCCGCCATTAGCTAGCCTCTCAGATGAGAGGTTCGTCACAACTCATCATTTTTAGCAGCTCGAGTAGGTAGCTTTCAGGCTAGGGCTTGAAGCAGCAGGAAACCAGGTCGTCTTAGCAACCGCTCACGCTTTTCGTTTTTGTTTTCACAACTTGCTGTCCAGACAGAATCACTGCGAAGAATCATAACACGTTGTAGCAATTTCATCGCTATCTGAGGAACGGTTAAGTATGGAGGAGATGGTAATGGACGGTTACCTCTATAGGTTCGGCAGCTTCAGGTCTGGTGAAGGCACTTATTGCCAGTTGACTTTCTGCGTGCTCCGAGGGAGATACTTCGCGCAGTTTCGCAATAAGGAAGACGAGGTGCGTTTTATCGAGGCAATGGTCCGATATTGTACCTGATTTGTAGAATATGGTATTCATGATGAGGCGTCTGGCCAATTATTGGGTGCTTATAGGCACGAGGATCGAAAGCACAGCTCTTCTCGTGCAGCCGTCTTTCACAAACCGCTTTGGAATTTCGCAACGTCAAACTCTGCTCTAAAAAATGTTTCCACTTGCTAATATTCAATGGTAGTAAAACAAATCGAGCAACATATCCTCAAAGATTTGAGCGTCATCTTCATGGTTAATTTTCGAGATTCTTAACTCAGCGGTAATGCTGTTTTCACCTTCCATGCTTGACCAGATACCTCTGCGAGAGGGCTTGCTTGATGGCACTGCTCGGGTTGAGGACACGGGCAGAAAAGTCGTCAACGGTCAGGTGGGGAAACAACAATTTCAGTCTCCATGGTATCGTCTGACACACGCTTAATTTCTTGAAATCTGCTACAATTACATTTACAATCCGAGGCATTTAATTAATATTTTGTAATGCTTATGCCACCAATTTCCTCTCTCAGGTACTGTACACCATGCGTCTGTACGGCATGCCTGGGGCGCACCATGCTACTGACGAGGATGACCTTAGCGAGGACGAAGAAGATGACCCTGACAGCTCAGCAGAAGCCGGTACCGGCAGCGGTTACCTGGCGCGCACATCAACAGGTTTATTCGGCAGTGGAGGCTCAACCGGGGGAGGCTTATTCGGCGGAAGCTCCTTGGCTGGCGGAGGGGGAAGCGGAGGAAGCAGCGCGGATGGCGGTGGTAGCGGCGGAGGAGGGGGAATGGGAGGGGGAGGGGGGGGTATTCAGAGGATGGAGTCAAGTCTGTGGGGAGGGTGGTGGTCTGAACTGTGGCAGGATAGGCAGCCGCAGAAGCTCCACGCCGTGAGGCCTGCTGGGGGCTCCAGTGGCAACAGAAGACAAGTGTCGGTGCGTGCTGCATGTGCTCTTGTCGGTGGGTGGATATGCGTACGATTTTCTCTTGCTTGGTTCTTGGGCCGACTCAGGATACCCATTAAAATGTTGCCCACTCGCTGTGAGGCCAGTGGGGGTTCAGTGGCAGCAGAAGACAAGTGTCAGTGGGTGCTGCATGTGCTCGTGTCAGTAGGTGCTGCTTGTATTCTTGTCGGCGGGAATGCTTGCAATCTGTTCGTGCTTTCGTGTACATTTCAGGGAGCGTAAATGCCTTTGTAAGTGACTCGTTCTGTTTCAATCCGCCTGCTTTAGCCCGTCTGCTCAATCCGTTTCCCCAATCTGGCTTCTCTTTCCGTCCACTAATCTCGCTCTGCCATCCATGTCTGCAGCTGGGAACGCCGAGTGCAGAGGACGCTGCTGCGTGGATCGATGCAATCACCAAGGCACTCACTCTGGTCTGTGTATCTAGCCAGCCCAGGCTGTATGTCCCTGCCAGCTTTAGTCAGCTTGAGGTCTAACAAGGCACTTGGACGAATTTCTTTATTTGGGCATTCCCGATTGAGTATGGCGTATGTCATGTCCTCGTTCTGCCGGAATTGCAAGCTGCCGGAATTGCAAGCTGCCGGAATTGCTCTATGCGAATCTTCTCTGTCCCTCAATACTCCTTGCCTCTGTCCCTGTCCCTGCCTCCTTCTCCTCATGTTGGTCCTCTCTTCTCCTATTCCTTTTCCATTTCATGCCATTCGCCCCTGTTGACATGTCATGCCATTCGCCCCTGTTGACATGTCATGCCATTCGCCCCTGTTGACATGTCATGCCATTCGCCCCTGTTGACATGTCATGCCATTCGCCCCTGTTGACATGTCATGCCATTCGCCCCTGTTGACATGTCATGCCATTCAGCCCCACTGCCATCAATTCTATTCGCCCCTAATGCCACTTCATGCCTAAACCTTCACTGCCACTTCATGCCATTCGCCCCTGTTGCCACCCAATCAACAGCCACCGCCGCCTCTGCTCACCCCAGCGGCCGACGCCTCAACCCAGCCGTCACAACCGTCACACCCATTACAACAACCGCCACACCCATTACAACCGTTACGAACACCATCACATTCCTCAAAACCGCCGAAGTCACCACGACAAGTTCCGTCCACTCGGACTGGTCAAGATGATAGCCCAATGTCACGGTGAGCTGAAATACCAGTCCCGATTCACCCAAGCTCAGCAAGCTTATTGCATGATTCTCCTAGTATTCTTCTAGTCCTTGGGCTTTGTCAACCACGTCCTTCATCCTGTCCTTTTAAAATAGTTGAACCTGAAACACGCCATGCCCTGAACCAACTAAAGTCTTAATGCTTTGCACGCTATCTCTCCTTTCCCTCAAGGCCCCACCTTACCCCCCCGTCCGTCTCTCTCTGCCTTACCTGCCCTTCCCCTCTTCCGTGCTAGTCCCTGTGCCTCACTTTCCCCAGGTCCCCACAGGCTAAGTCTACTACGTCTTCCTTCACCCAACCTCTTCGGCTCTTCAGTGTTAGCTCAAATCACATCCCTTACTACCACTGCTCAATCCCTGCTTGTTGTGCCTCTGCCTCCCATACCCCAGGTCCCTGCAGGCAAATTCTACTTCGTCTTCCTCACCGGACCTCATTGGCTCTCTAATTTCAGCCCACGCTACATCCCGTACCTCTTCTGCTCTTCCCCCCCGTCTGTGTATGTGCCGCTGCCTCCCATATCCCAGGTCCCCGCAGGCTAAGTCTGCGTCGTCGTCCTCACCGGACCTCATTGGCTCTCTAATTTCAGCCCACGGCGCATCCCTTGCCACGCCAGCCGCCGCTGCTCATTCCCTCTTTGGCGCCCCTCCGTCATCTGCTGATGTGACAAATCTGGCCCTCCCTGCTGTGGCTTCTTTCCACCCAGCTGCTGCTGCTGCTGCCACTGCTGCTGCCGATCCTGCTGGTGCAGCTGCCGCGGCTGCTGCTAATCCTGCCGCCGCTGCTGCTGCTGCTATGGGAAATATGATGTTCCCAGCTGCGGCTGCTGTTGCCGCAGCTGCTGCCGAACCCGCTGCTGCAGCTGCCGCCGCTGCTGCTGATCCAGCCGCTGCCGCTGGTGCGATGGCTAATATGATGTTCCCAGCTGCTGCTGCTTTGGGTCCAGTTGCTGCTGCTGCTGCTGCCGCTGCTGCTGATCCTGTTGCTTCTGCTGTTGCCGCTGCTGCTAATCCTGCTTCCGCCGCTGCCTCTATGGCCAATCTTATGCTCCCCGCAGCTGCTGCTATGAATCCTGCTGCTGCGGCCATGCTCCCTCTCGCGTCTGCTGCAGCGGCTGCTGCTGCCCCTGCCACTGCAGCTGCCACAGCTAGTGTGACGAGGACTCTCTCTCCTTCCATCCACCCCTCCCTGTCTCTCGCCATCTCCCCCTCTCTGCCTCCGATTGGCCCACAAGCAAAGCGTGCAGCAGCACAGCCCTGTCAACCAGTGCTGCCAGCTGCTGCTGCTGCCTCTGCTGCTGCTGCTGCTTCTGGTGCTTCTCCTGCTGCTGCTGACAGTTGTTCCGGCAGTGGGGGGGACAGCAGCGGCATGCTCACTCCTCCCACGGGCTCCTCTCCCGCTCTCTCCTTCCAGCCCACCCCCTCCCCCTCGTCCCCGCTCCTCCCCACCCACTCCCCCCTCGACTCATTATCTCTCACCCGAAGCTCCGGTGGGGTTGTTGGCCCTGGGCAGGGAACAGGTGGTGGGGCAGGGGCAGGGGCAGGAGGGGGGGCAGGTGCGGGAGTGGCAGGGTCAACCAGGGTGGCATCATCTTTTGACAGGCCAGGCTCCCATGCACCGCCTTCCCAGCAGCAGCAGCAGCAGCTGCCCTCCTCGTCCTCCCACGCTCCTCCTCCTGCTCCCACCTCTTCCTCCCCATCATCTGCTGTTGTTGCGTCGCAATCCAAGTGGCGCCTCGACCGCTGCCAGAACGGTCCGTGCTTGGCTGAAGTGGTGTGGGTGTTTGCTGCGTGTGACCCTATTTTGCTTCTTCATGTGTTGGGAATCCTTGATTCTCTTATGTCACCCTGTCGCCCTCCGAGTGTTGTCTCTACCGCTGCTTTAAGTGTCCATGCTGGGCTGCTGTGGGTGTATACTGTGTGTGGGCCAATTTCGCTTGTGTGAGCCTGTTGTGCTGGGCATCCGTGGTCCTTATATGTCACCCTGTGGCCCTCCAAGTGTTGTCTCAACCGCTGCCAGAACGGTTTGTGCAGTGGGTGGGGTTGTGCTGTGCTCCCCTTTTGAGACGTCTCAAAAAATCACTTTTATCATGTTTGTGCTGTGGGTGGGATCGTGCTGTGCTCCTGTCATTCTCACCTGCTGCCTGCTGCCATCGACTCAAGTCTCACTACTCTGTGGTGCCTGCCTATGTTCCTTATATGTCGCTCGCTCCCTCCCCTCCAGGGCTTCGTTTCTTTGAGGAGGCCAGCAGGACGCCCATTCTCCACCGCCTATACAAGGTACCAACCAAATATGGGAGCTGGCTGGTTGTTTGTGCAAACCAACAACTCTAAAGCGAGTTCTCTTGTCTATCCATTCTTTGAGGAGGCCAGCAGGACGCCCATTCTCCACCGCCTATACAAGGTACCAACCAAATATGGGAGCTGGCTGGTTGTTTGCGCAAACCAACAACTCTAAAGCGAGTTCTCTTGTGTATCCATTCTTTGAGGAGGCCAGCAGGACGCCCATTCTCCACCGCCTATACAAGGTACCAACCAAATATGGGAGCTGGCTGGTTGTTTGCGCAAACCAACAACTCTAAAGCGAGTTCTCTTGTGTATCCATTCTTTGAGGAGGCCAGCAGGACGCCCATTCTCCACCGCCTATACAAGGTACCAGAGGGTTTCGGGTGTGTGTGTGTGTGCGCGCGCGCGCGCGTCCCATCTGTGTATGTATGTGTTGACACATTGCATCCTTCCTGTGTCATGCCTAACTTCCCTGCCTCCCATCCCCCAGTTGCCTGTGATGAAAGCAGTGGGAGTGGTGAAGGCGGCACCAGAACAGATATTAGGTGACTTTGAGTCGACACAAGTCCTTATTGCACCCTTCCTGTGCCAACCCTGTGCCTCCCTTCCCTGCCTCCCATCCCCCAGTTGCCTGTGATGAAAGCAGTGGGAGTGGTGAAGGCGGCACCAGAACAGATATTAGGTGACTTTGAGTCGACACAAGTCCTTATTGCACCCTTCCTGTGCCAACCCTGTGCCTCCCTTCCCTGCCTCCCATCCCCCAGTTGCCTGTGATGAAAGCAGTGGGAGTGGTGAAGGCGGCACCAGAACAGATATTAGGTGACTTTGAGTCGACACAAGTCCTTATTGCACCCTTCCTGTGCCAACTCTGTGCCTCCCTTCCCTGCCTCCCATCCCCCAGTTGCCTGTGATGAAAGCAGTGGGAGTGGTGAAGGCGGCACCAGAACAGATATTAGGTGACTTTGAGTCGACACAAGTCCTTATTGCACCCTTCCTGTGCCAACCCTGTGCCTCCCTTCTCTGCCTCCCATCCCCCAGTTGCCTGTGATGAAAGCAGTGGGAGTGGTGAAGGTGGCACCGGACCAGATATTCGGTGACTTTGGAGTGGACTCAAAAGTCCCCATTGCATCCTTCCTGTGGCAACGCTGTTCCTTCCTCCCCTGCCTCCCATCCCCCAGTTGCCTGTGATGAAAGCAGTGGGAGTGGTGAAGGCAGCACCGGACCAGATATTCGACCTCGTGATGAGCTTCGGGGAGGAGCGAGCAGAGTGAGTATTCCCGCCTGGTCTATGAGTCAACTAGAAAAGGTGTCTCGTTGAGTCGCCTTAAACTTCACATGTCAGCAGTGGGAGTGGTGAAGGCCACACCAGACTGGATAGTCGACCTTGTCATGAGCTTTGGGGAGGAGCGAGCAGAGTGAGTGGCCTCTATGCGTATCGTGAGCTTTTGGGGTCTTTTCGTGAGAATCAGTCTATGCGTACCTCTATGCACAGTGTTTTGGGAATTCTCATCACCCTGTCTCTGCGCAATCCCCAGTGTGTATTCCTCTCTGTATGCGCGCCCCCCCATGCATTGGAACGTCATGGTTACGGAGGCACGAGTAGTGGAGGCCACATGTTGAGGGACTGCAACACTCTGTGTGTCCATTTCCCGTTGTGTGTGTGGGTGTGGTTTTGCCTGCATTTGTGTGTGCATGTGGGCAGGTGGGACGCCATGTTTGCAGAGGCGCAAGTGGTGGAGGGGCTTCGAGGGCAACACTCTCTGTGTGTGTCTAACCTTCCCTGTGTGGGTCCCCTCCCCGCCGCCCCTCTTCCCCCCCTTGTGAATGTGCGGACAGGTGGGATGCCATGTTTGCAGAGGCGCGAGTGGTGGAGGGGCTATGAGTGTGTCCATGCGTGTGTCCCCTTCCCCCACAACCCCATTTCCCCCCCCTGTGCGTGTGCGCAGGTGGGATGCCATGTTTGCAGAGGCGCGAGTGGTGGAGGGGCCATTGATGGTCACACTTCGAGGAGCCTCACTCGCTGCTTACACTACTCACTGTGTGCCCAAGCCCTTTCTGTGTGTCCCCATCACCCCCACTCTCTGTGACTGTGCGGCCAGGTGGGATGCCATGTTTGCAGAGGCGCGAGTGGTGGAGGGGCTATGAGGACAACACTCTGTGTGTGTCTAATCTAACCTTCCATGCGTGTGTCCCCTTCCCCCACAACCCCATTTCCCCCCTTGTGCGTGTGCGCAGGTGGGATGCCATGTTTGCAGAGGCGCGAGTGGTGGAGGGGCCATTGATGGGCACACTTCGAGGAGCCTCATGGCTTGCCTGCTTACCCAGGAGCCTCACTGTGTGCCCAACCCCTTCCTGTGTGTCCCCATCACCCCCACTCTCTGTGACTGTGCGGCCAGGTGGGACGCCATGTTTGCAGAGGCGCGAGTGGTGGAGGCTATTGATGGCCACACAGACGTGGTGCACATGTGCTTAAAACGAACCTCGCTGTAAGGGGAATGGGGGTATGGTGTTGTGCGCGTGTGCTTGAAACGGACCTTGCTGTAAGGCGAATGGGGGTGTGGTGTGGTGCATATGTGCTTGAAACGAGTGTCACTGTAAGTGCATGCGTGCTTAAAACAATCTTCACTGTAAGGAGTGGCACATGCCTCCATCCATGCAGGCCGCAATACCACTCCTGTAGTTCAACGCTGGTTTGGTGTGATTTCTTATTCTTGTCTCTTCTTTTCTCTCATTTCATCCTCCTCTTTATTTCACTATTTACTGCTCAGGTGGACGAGATCGAGAGACCTGTGTCTGCTACGATACTGGAAGAGAGAAGAAAACGGAACTTACCGTATGTACGTCTGACCCTATCCCCCGTGTGTTTGTGTGTGTACGTCTGGCCCTACCCCCCATGTGTGTATATCTCTGGCCCTACCCCCCATGTGTGTATATCTCTGGCCCTACCCCCCATGTGTGTATATCTCTGGCCCTACCCCCCATGTGTGTATATCTCTGGCCCTACCCCCCATGTGTGTATATCTCTGGCCCTACCCCCCATGTGTGTATATCTCTGGCCCTACCCCCCATGTGTGTATATCTCTGGCCCTACCCCCCATGTGTGTATATCTCTGGCCCTACCCCCCATGTGTGTATATCTGTGGCCCTACCCCATGATTGCACGTTTGCCCTCACCAAACCTACCGGACATGTCTAACCTGTGTTGGCTCAAAGCCCCATTTTTGAGTCGACTCAAAAGTCACCTCGACATGTCTGAGACGAACCTGTGTTGGCTCAAAGCCCCATTTTTGAGTCGACTCAAAAGTCACCTCGACATGTCTGAGACGAACCTGTGTTGGCTCAAAGCCCCATTTTTGAGTCGACTCAAAAGTCACCTCGACATGTCTGAGACGAACCTGTGTTGGCTCAAAGCCCCATTTTCAAAATCGCTTAGTTAACGGTTCCAATCTGTCATAATGTTCATCATGACATCATGTATTGTTTTTTTCTTAACGAGCGAAAACATCACATTTACCCTGCTCTGTGTGTGTGTGTGCTTGTATCCCAGTTTTTGGGTCCCTGTTCGCAGTCCCTCATTATGCATTCCCCGCTCCCTACTCCCAATCTCCTGGCTCCCCATTCCTCATTCCGCATTCCCCACTCCCCATCCTCCATTACCCATCCCTGCTTCCCCTCCGCCACCAGTCGTGTTCTTCAAGTCCGTCAGCCACCTTAAGTGCCATCCCCGAATCTCAGTTCCTGATTCCTCATTCCCCGTGCACATTTCCCTTTACCCGTTTCCTGTTACTCAACCCTGCTTCCCCTCCGCCACCAGTCGTGTTCTTCAAGTCCGTGAGCCATCCCAAGTGCCATCGACCGTGGGGCCGCGTCCGTGCTCTCATCTACAGTGAGTGGCCTGCCTGCAGAAAATTCTATTCCATCGGCAGCACAGCTGACTGTTGAGTCGACTCAACCGATTGTTGAGTCAACTTTAAGTTTGTCAACCACCCTAAGTGCCGTCAACCGTGGGGCTACGCTCGTGCTCTTTTCTACAGTGAGTGTTCATATCTACGGTCAATGCTCTTATCTTCACTGTACTGAGTGCGCTTATTTACAAGAATTTCGCGCCTATATCACCACTCTCCACCATCCGCACCAGGCGGCGGCTACATCATATCGCCCCTGCAGCAAGCATTCCTCACTCTTTCTAGCTCACATGCTCGTCTCTGTCACCGTTCTCCACCCATCCACACCACACCAAGCAGTAACTACAGCATCTCGTTGCTGCACCACATCTCATTATGTCATTCATAATTTTCACCGCTCTGTACCCATCCACACCAGGTGGCGGCTACATCATATCACCTCTGCAGCATAGCGACGGCCCCCTTTCACCCCAGCCTTGCACCTGCGGCCCACCGCCCCCCCGCAAGCCTCGCTCGCAGGTGACCGACCCTTCTCCCTCTCCTCTCTCCTCGATTGTGGTGAGTGTGGTGCGTGTGGTGAGTGTGGTAAGACTGGTATGCGTGGTCAGTGTGGGTATTCGAGGTGTCCCAGCTGCCCTGCCCCGTGCAAGCCCTCCCTCCTGCCTTGCACCTCTGCATTGACTGTTGTGTTGACTCTAAAAAGTTTTGCACTCCGCAGAACCTTTTGACACCCCTTATTCCCCCTTCTGACATCCCCTCTCCCGTTTTCTCTCCCCCCAGGTGGAGCACGTGTTGGAGATGGACGTTTCGGGATGGTCATTACGGGCTGGTTGATAGCTGTAATGGGGGGAGATGGACGTGTCAAGGAGTCCCCTCTCCTTGCCACTGCCCATCTCCCCCCATTGCCGCTACTCTGTTCCCCCTCTGACTCTCCCACCCAGGTGGAGCATGTGTTGGAGATGGGCGTGTCAGGGTGGTCCTCATAGGCTGGTGACCTTGACCCCACCTCACCTTTTGCCATGCTACTGCCTGTCTTGCCCTTCTGCTGCTACCCGGTTTCTTCCCCAGGTGGAGCACGTGTTAGAGATGGTCGTGTCAGGGTGGTCATCTTGGATCGGACGGATAGCCTTGACTTGGACCTCACCCTGTTCTGTGCTGCTACCCGTCCTCCCCCGTCGTTCCTTCACCACCCCCCAGGTGGAGCACGTGTTGGAAATGGACGTGTCAGGGTGGTCCTCATGGATTGGCATTGGCCTGTCATCGCATCCCGCACATCTCCGCGACTCCTTGCTGCTCAGGGTGGCTGGTAGGTTATCGTGTGGTGTGTTATGTGCCATGTGCCATGTGCCATGTACCATGTGCCATGTGCCATGTGCCATGTGCCAATATTCATGTACCATGTGCCTTACTCTCTCATTTCTTCCCTAGCCTACTAGTCCCTGGGCATCCAACGCCACCTCATCCCCCCCTGCCCTCCCAATCCGTCCCTCCGCTCCTCCCACCCCACTTCCCTTCCCCCACCAGGGCTGAGAGAGTACTTCGCCTGCAGGGGAGGAGCCCCCTTAGCCTACTACTCCCTGGGTATCCAGCGCCGCCTCATCTTCCCCTGCCCTCTCGATTTGTTCCCTCCCCACCCTTCCCACCCCACTTCCCTTGCCCCACCAAGCCTAAGAGAGTACTTCGCCTGCAGGGGAGGCGCCAGACTAGCCTACTACTCCCTGGGGATTCAGCGCCATCTCAGCTTCCCCAACACACCCTACCAATTCGTATCCCGCCCTCCCCTCCAACCCGCCCCCCTTCTTCCCTCCTCCCCACCAGGCCTGAGGGAGTACTTCGCCTGCAGGGGAGGCGCCCCTCTCTGGCCTACTACTCGCTGGGCATCCAACGCCATCTCATCTTCCCCACCACCTCCTATTCGTCTCCTGTCCCCTACTTTTCCCCCTCTCCTAAACAGGCCTGAGAGAATATTTTGCCTGCAGGGGAGGGGCCCCTCTGGCCTACTACTCGCTGGGCATCCAGCGGCATCTCATCTTCCCCACCACCTCAGCTATCAGCACCGGACCCACAGGTGGCTTTATCTTCTCCGGCCTAGCCTCGGGCTCAGCCACGGGGTCAGGTTCGGGAGCCGGTTCGGGGACGTGGGGCCTGGCGTCCCTGGTTAGCCTCGGAACAGAGGATGGGAAGAGCCAAGAGGAGACAGGAGGAGGAGGGGGAACAGGGAGAGGAGGAGCAATAGGGGGAGCAGCAGGAGGGGGGGTGGCTGTGAGTACGGATAGGGGTTCGGCTGGACTGGGAGGGGCGGTGGCAGCGGCTGTGGTGGCAGCGGCGGCAGCAGCTGTGGCAGCGGGAGGGAAGGGCGAGGTGGGGGGCGATGGGAGGAGAACCCCCAGGTTGGACCGAGCATTGTCCAACTTTCTTGATATGGAGGACCCCGATGAGTTCTATGAGTGCCGCACCAACGCTCCTTCCGAGACGTCTAGTGATGTGAGTGGCAAGTATTGTAGGCTGAGGTGGGCAGGTGAGGAGGCAGGGAGGTGGCGAGGTTGGGGGGGAGGGAAGAGCGAGGTGGGGGGGGGTAGGAGAGAGAACTCCCAGGTTGGTTGGACCGAGCACTGTCCAACTTTCTTGATATGGAGGACCCGGATGAGTTCCATGAGTGCCGCACCAACGCTCCTTCGGAAACGTCTAGTGATGTGAGTGATGAGCATGGGAAGGGGAAGGTTTGGGGAGGTGGGGAGGTGGGAAGGGATGGGAGGAGACTTCCCAGGTTGGACATGGCATTGTCGTCTAGAAAAATGAGGTGTCATGGTGGATTGATGGTATCAATGCGTTTCACAGCCTTCCTAGTCAGGGCGCTTAAAACCCTTGCATCCCCTCTTCTCCTGCTGGTTCCCCTCCCCTTCCTCAGGGCGTGCTGCAGAGGGACCTGTCAGGAGTCATGGTGGACGGTGTAGATGCTTCCAAGCTCCCCGATGGTGAGTGGACGGCCCAGATGTTGCCAATTACTTGCTGGACTTCTAATGCTTATCTATTTTTGTCTCCCTCATCACATGGAGTAGACTGGGAGTGGAACTGCTGGGAGTGGACTGGGCTGGACACAGATCCCCCCCCCAACCACCTGCTTCTCCTCTGACTCCCCCCCCCTTCCTTCCCCACGCCCGCCCCTCCTGTTCTCTACTCCAGATTGGTCCTCTGTGCCTAGGGACCTGACCCCCGACTCCCTCTCCCTTCCTCTCTTCATCGACTGGAGCAAGCTGAGCGGCTCCGTTGTCCCCAGCCACCCTCTTCGCTCCTCTCCGTTTTCCCGCACACCCCCCTCCCTCCCCTTACTCCAGACTGGTCCCATGTGCCTCGAGATCTGACCCCTGAATCCCTCTCCCTCCCTCTCTTCATCGACTGGAGCAAGCTGAGCGGGTCTGTGGCCCCCAACCACTCGGGCAAGGGCAAGAACTGCTGGAGCCGACCCGACTGCAACGTGTACAAGCTGAGGAGCAGGAACTACCTCACTGATGGCAGCATGGTGAGTGTGTGTGAGATTTATGGTGGGATGGGCATTAGCATGTTCAGGGGAGTGCAAGCTGAGCGGGTCTGTGGCCCCCAACCACTCGGGCAAGGGCAAGAGCTACTGGAGCAGACCAGACTGCAATGTGTACAAGCTGAGGAGCAGGAGCTACCTCACTGATGACAGCATGGTGGGTGTGAGCCAAGTGTCTTATAAGCCGTGTCATACATGATGGTGTGTCTTTAAAAAAACTGAGGTATATTGTCAACCAGAAGGATATACTACACGCCCACCCACATCCCCTCCCTTGTCTTTCTTTCCCATGGCACGTGTCTTCCCCCCACCCACCCCTGTTCATCCCTCTTCTTCCTATTGACTACTCTATGTGTCTGTGGTCGTGCAGGCGCCAGCTGGCGAGCCACTGTGCCAGCTGGTGGCGGTGGATTGGCTGCGGCCAGAGAAGCACCCTGCTGCACACGTGGCAGCCCACAAGAAGTGCCTCGTGCAGGTGAGCCAAGGGGGTGTGATGCGGTGCTGTGCGGTAGTGTGCAGTACGGTGCTGTGTAGTTGGTGCGTTGTGGCCCGGAGTGTGGTTGAAGAGGCGAACCCTGCTGCCCACGTGGCAGCCCACAAGGAGTGCCTCGTGCAGGTGAGCAACAAAGGGGGTGTGATGCAGTGCTGTGCTGTGCTGCTTGGTGCTGTGCGGTCTAGTCATTCTCTAGTGCTGAAAGCAAGCCTCTAATTGATGTCTTCCTTTGATTGTGTCCTTACCTGGGAATGCAGAGAGTTCGTTTTTGAGACGTACCAAAAAGTTACTTATCTCACATAGCAGACCTCTAATTGATGTCCTCCTCTGATTGTGTCCTTATCTGGGAATGCAGAGAGTACGGGCCTGCTATGGTGACCAGGCGCCGTTCTTCATCCTCATCAACCTCCAGGTATTGTCCTTTTGGTCATTATCGTCTAATTCGTTTGAGCCAAATTCTTTACCCTCATCCATCAGCTCATGGATGGTGGGCTTCTGTCGCTCCCCTCCCTCCAGGTCCCAGCAGGCAATGCTGTGTACTCCGTGGTCTTTGACTGCACAGCAAAGAACCCTGTGCCTCATCAAATGCGCGTTCCCTTCCTCACTCTGTGCCGTTGCTTCTGTCTTTTATTTCACAGCAGAGCGCCATGTGCTCGACCTGCCCCCTGGTTGTTGTAGCCTATTTATGTTGTTTCTATGAAGATATTGCAACAACGTGCGCTTGTATCTCCTCCCCCCCTCCCCCGCTCAGGTCCCAGCAGGCAAAGAGGTCTACTCCATGGTCTTTTATTTCACAGCAGAGCGACACTTGCTCGACCTGCCGTCGATGCGCCGATTCCTGGGTGCAGATGACTCCTACCGCAACAACCGCCTTTCCCTGCTGCCCTCTGTGCCAGAGGTGAGGCTGTATGCCGTATTCCCGGGTGCCGTATCCCTTAGGGCGTGTAAAATCGGGAACCCCGAAAAGTCGGCCAGAATCCGTCGGGCCGTTTTTGCGAGAGTAACCAGGTGGTGAGCGTCCTCGATGGGTCTGCGAAGCTCGCTGAATTCGACCACCGAATTTGTGATTACGTGGCCGAAAACCTGGTCGACACTATTCCGACACATGAACGACTTCAAAACGGCCAAAATGTCGACCATGGCTAGCTACAGTGAATTTATGACGTCGCATGCGCCGCTACAGTGAAATAGCGATGTCGTATTTTTGTGTGCGGCAAATCGCACATTTCGTGCGATTTGGGTAACTGCAAATTTTACAGCTTCGGTGAAACGGCCTGCTAATCTGCCACCAAACTTGTAGATTTTGCAAATCTGCAAATAGTGGCTGGAAAAGTGACGACACGAATTCGACCAATCCATCGACTTTCGCGAAAGAAATGACGACAAGATGGTCGACGAAAATCCGGCCAAAAGCAAATTCCGCATGTGTGTGGGAATTTTACATGCCCTTACTGCCCTACTCCTGAATGCCCTGTACATGGCGGTCTGTTCTCCCACCATGTGCGTGACCTGCCCTTCATGCGTTGGTTGCCGGGCATGAATGATTCTTACCGCAACAACCGCCTGTCCTTGCTGCCCTCTGTGGCTGTGGTAGCGGATTGTTCTTGTGTAGCAGTTCCAAATATTCCATTTCATCCCACTTCTCCTCTTACTCAATGCCTTACCCACACTCCTTATGACAGGGCTCGTGGCTGGTGAAGCAGGCGGTGGGGTCGCACAACGTGGTGATGGGGCAGGTGATGGAGACGGCTTATCACTCCACAGAGGAGTACTTTGAGGTATGTGGTTCCATAGACAGTGCAGTGAGCGGTGTAGATGGTGAGTGAGCGGTGTAGATGGTGAGTGAGCGGTTTAGATGGAGCAATAAGCAATTTAGATGGTGCACCTGAAGGTGATGGTGAAGGCGATGGAGTGAGCATATCTTGCCACAGAGAATTACTTCGAGGTGTGTGGGTGGGTGGGTCAGTTTGTTGGTGAGTGGGTGGTGTGGGCAGTTATGTGCTGCTGCTGCTGCTTCTGATGGAAACACATGCTGAATGTACACATGCATGCAGCGTCCGGTAGACTCAATTCGTCTCCCTTTCCACTCAAATCCTTCAGGCGGATGTGAGAATGGCATTGTTTGTCAGTTGGATATGTGAATGAATAACATAGTCTGCTACATGCAAACCCCCTCTTCAATTTTACCCAACCCCTTTAGGCGGATGTGAGCATGGCATCGTCTGTCAGCTGGATGTGTGAATCAATGAAACAGTCGGTTATGTGCACACTTTCTCTCCGAATCATACAATTCCTTCAGGTGGATGTGAACATGGCATCGTCGTCGGTGGTGCGAGGCATCATGGGCATGGTCTTTGGATACATTACAAATCTTGTCGTCGACATGGCATTCTATCTCAAGGTGCGCAGTTAGCGTAACCGTTTGTGCGCTGGAAATCAAGTTTGGTTTGAAATTATTGTTATTATAATTTTCCACTCATCAATCTCTGTGTTGTATGCAGGGAGAGACTGAGGACGAGCTACCGGAGCATATTCTAGGAGCGGTGCGATGCTCGTATCTAGAACTCAATTCCGCGATCCCATTCCCTTTTAGATAATCACAGATAATGTGCAGCTTGGCTATGTATCCCATGTTTTTTCTCTAGTGGCATGGTAAGGTTAGCCTCACCATCTTATCTGCACCTCTATTCAAGAGTTGTATGTGCTAGGTTGGATTTTTTATGGTGTGGATAAATAGAGGTGAAATGGTTTTATGAAATAGTGGAGCAATAGATCTTATGATACTGTTACGAGTGCAATTGAGTGAACGAATGAAGATTGCACTATCGAAGCAAGAGTACATTGAGCGAAGGCATGAGCGAAGAATATATAGCGAAACTACAGTGGTAACGGTAATGTGTGGAAAATGGGGTGCGTGACGGGCCTAGCGCCGAGGTTGGGAAATGTCAAGGCGGAGGTCCGGAGCGCGGGTTACCAACCGAACCGTGAGGTTGGGTCGCGTCGTGAACAGTGGCGGGAACAGTGTCGAGGCGAGTGTCCCGAGTGGTAACGGATTACTGTTGGGTGCTGTTGGCGGGAACAAAGGTGTACGCGCTGAGCAGGGACGCGAAGTAAGGAAAAGGAATTTTCCTTACACTACCCCCCCCCCTAAGGAGGCCCTCCTTACGAAAGCGCGTGTGCGTCCCAGGAATTTCGGCTGCGCAGATACTCGGTGAGGACGGGGTGGTTTTCAATTCTGTCCAGGGGAACCCAGTTGTCTTCGGTGGGCGTACGGTCTCTCCAGTGGATCAGAAATTCGATCCTTCGAGCTCCCCGTGGGTAACGAACTCGGTGGCTCAGAATCTTCTCGGGCGTGATGATTGGCTCGGCCGGTGGTCGTGTCATGCTGGCTGGGCGGTTGCGAGGCAGTTGGCTTGTGGATGGTATGTAAGGGCGAAGCAGGCTGACGTGGAAGGACGGGCTGACGTACCAGTCAGCAGGGAGGAGGAGGTGGGCGGTGACGGGTGTGATCGTTTGGCTGATGCGAAATGGCCCGCAATATCGGAGGCCGAGTTTTGGGGTGATGGGCAGACGGAGGTTCTGGGTGTCGAGTAAAACGAGGTCGTCGGGCTGGTAAGTGACGGGTCGGCGGTGGCGGTCAGTGTTGCGTTTAGCGATGATGTTTGATTTTTTAATTGCGTCTGCTGCTCGGGTCCGTGCTGCTTGTATAATTTCGGCGAACTGTTGCGCTTGTGGCACCGGGTTGTCGGGATTTGGGGTCATGGGTACTGTGGGGTCTTCTCTGTAGTTCAGGTAAAACGGTGACTGTTGGGTCGTGGCGGATGGCGAGTTGTTGTATGCGAACTCGATGAGTGGCAGCTGCTGTTCCCAGGTGGTCGGGTCGTCGCACGTGGCTCGGATGAGTTGCTCCATGGTCTGGTTTGTCCTTTCTGTCTGTCCGTCGGTCTCGGGGTGGTACAAAGAACTAAACTGTAGTCGCGTGCCGAACTGCTGCCGAACTGTTCCGCCAGAAGTTGCTGGTGAATTTCGTGTCGCGATCGCTGATGATCGCTGCTGGTATCCCGTGCAGTCGAACGACGGTGGAGATGAAGAGGCGGGCTGTTTCTTCGGCTGTGATCGATTTCCTGCATGCTGCGAAATGTGCCATTTTCGTCAGCCGATCGACGACGACCAGGATCGCGGCGTTCCCACTTGCTCCGGCCGGTAACCCCGTGACGAAGTCCATCGTCACATGTTGCTAAGCACGCTCTTGGGGTGGTATCGGCTGCAACTGTCCTGCCGGCCGCTTCCATGATGATTTCATGAGCTGGCAAGTGGGACACGATGCCACGTGTCGCTGTACGTCAGTCAACATTTCGGGCCAGTAGTAATACCGCTGCAGCTGCTGCCGTGTTTTTTCTACTCCGAAATGGCCTGAGGTAACTCCGTCCTATGCCTCCTGTAGCAGTAATTCCCGTAGTAGTGTGTACCCTGGTACCCAGATCCGGCCAGTGCCGGCTTTTACGTACTAAACTCCCTTTGCTGCTGCGAACTGCTGCGAATTTCCTCCTGTGAAGAACGGGTCTGTCTGGTATCCGTGGGTAAATAGTCCTGTTAGTTGTGAGCTGGTCTGGGCAAGTAGTATCGCGTGGATTTGGGCAGTAGGGCGAGTCAGTGCGTCAGCGATGTTGGACGCCCCCTTTTTGTAGGTGACCGTGTAGTGAAAATTGGACTTGAGGAAATCAAGCCAGCGGATCTGTCGTGGGTTGAGGTGGGGCTGTGCCCGGAGGTACTGTAGCGACTTATGGTCTGTCCGTACTGTCACGTCTGCGCCGGACAAGTAACAGCGCCACACTTTGAATGCGTGCACGATCGCAAGAATTTCGCGTTCGTGTATCGGGTAATTTTTTCAGGCGGATGCAGCTTTTATGACTCGTATGCGATGGGCTGTAGGCCGTTGCCGAAATCCTGTAGCGGTACGGCTCCGATGGCGATGTCGCTTGCGTCTGTAACTACTTCGAATGGGCGGTGTGGGTTGGCGATGCGCAGTACGGGCGGTGAACAGAGAACTTTTTTCAGGGCAGAGAAGGCAGCATGCTCTTTCTCCCCCCACGTAAAAGCGACCCCCTTCCGTCGCAAGTCCGTCAACGGCGCTGTTAACCGTGCCATGTCGGGGACGAACCGACGCACGTAATTGACGAACCCCAAAAAGCTCTACAGCTCCGTCATATACGTCAGGGGGTGCCAGGCTTTTACCGTGTCCAGCTTCTTTGGGTCAATTTCAACCCCAGCCTCCGAAATAACGTGCCCCAAAAACTCTAGCCTGTCCTGAAAGAACTCTCACTTGGAACCCTTGGTCAGTAGCCGATGCTCGTCTAATATTTTAAATACTGCTTCCAAATCTACTAAGTACTGCTACTTATCACGACTGTAGACGAGGATGTCGTCGAGGTAAACTATCACGCATTTATCTAAAAGTGGCCTAAACGCCTCGTTCATTGTCATCTGAAATTTCGCCGGTGCGTTGGTCAGCCCGAATGGCATCACGGTGTACTCGAATGACCCGTACCTAGTCCTAAAAGCCGTCTTGGCGCAGTCCGATGGTTCGACTCGAATCTGATGGTAACCTCCCCGTAAATCGATTTTCGAAAAGATCCGTGCTGTTCGCAGTTGATCTATCAGTTCGTCGGCACCGGGAATGGGGTATCGCGACTTGACTGTTACCCTGTTCAATGCTCTGTAATCGATGCACATGCGAAACCCTCCGTCTTTTTTCGGCGTGAACAGTATCGGTGCGGCGAACGGTGACGAACTCGGTCGGATGAATTTCTTCTCTAACAGGTAATCTAACTGCTTCCTCAGTTCGTCGAGCTCGGGCTGTGTCAGTCTGAACTGTCGCTGTACGGTTGGCTGTGCCCCGGGTTCTAACCCTATTCGGTGGTCGTGTGCTCGCTGAGGTGGTAGTCCCTCCGGTAAGTCGTCGGGAAAAATCCCCGGGTACCGTTTCAACAATTCCTGCAGTTCGGGTGGTACCGCTGCCAGCAGTTTCTGAAAATCGCTCGGCTGCTCTGCTTCCTCCACTACTGCTATATCCACCGCGTACACGTCAGCTCCAGCGGCGATAGCCCGTTTTATTGCGACGGCGTTGACGTGGACCGTTGAAGACTCAGACGACTGCCAGCGAGGTAGTTCAACGCAGTTACCACTACTTCGCACAGTGCAGCTACCCGTCGTCCAGTCAATTCGCGGGTTATACCGTCGCAGCCAATCACGTCCCAGTAAAATGGCGTGCCCATCCAATGTCGTCGCGAGCATTTCCTGTGTAAACCCGAAGTTCCCCCCGCAGCGGACTTTTACTCTCTCCACCTTCTCCCGTATGGCCAGCGGCGTTCCATCAACTAAGCGTGCATCTATTTCCGGTAAACACCGACTTAGTGCCAGTTGCAGCTTCCGTGCGGTCGCGGTATTAACTAAACTGTGACTTGCTCCTCCGTCTATAAAAATCTTCACTGCTGCTCCCTGTATTTTCCCGTAGATCAGTACTAGGCAATCCGTCGCTGTACCCTCCTTATTCATCCGAGCCTGATCGATAGCATGAATCGGTACTGTGACTCGGTGAGGGTCGGTGAGGTTGGGCGAGCTGGCAGTCTCCTCAGTAGTTGGCCCAATTCCTACTGACTGCTGGCGTTTCCCTGCCTTGGAGACTCCCTCCCCTGCTCTGCTCCGCGGCGCCTCAGCTCCTTTGGGCACTCACTCTTGCGATGGCCCGGCCTATTGCAAGCAAAGCAGCACCCCTTAAACGGCGCGGCAGCTGCATTTGTCGCAACGGCATGTACGGTGGCGTGCTCGATCGGTCCCCGAGGGCGATGTCCATAGTAGGACCCCGGTCTCGGACGGCACAAAATGTCGATCTTCTCGGCGAGCGCGAGAATCTCGTTGAAATTCGAGAGTCTGCGTAGCATGATTTCGTGCGAGATGTCCGGCTTCAGCCCTCCGATGTAACGGTCCACCTGCTCCGCTTCGTGCATGTAGCCGACTTGCTCGCATAATGCGAGAAAACCTCTCGTATAGTTTTGAACCGACCCGAGCTGCCGCCAAGTACACAGTCTCTGACGCGCCGAAATAGAAGCCGCGATCGGCTCGAAGCGCGCCCGAAGCCCCGCGCACCACGCATCCCATGTGCTGTACTGGGCGGTTTCGCAAAATGAACTCCAGGTGACGGTTGGACCCGTGGGCCCTTCCTCTTGCGACGGTGGCTCGTAGGCGCGTGACAACGTCACGATGACTCGCCACTAGTTCATGGCGGGGCCCCTCAGCAGCGAGACGGCATATCGGATCTTCGCTGCGTCTGACTCGACGTAGTTCGCGTCGAAAAATACGTTCATCGTGAAGATCCACGATTGAACCGTCGGACCTCCACGCTGGCTCGGGTCGAAACAGGGCGGGAGCTGCGGCTTGAGTGGCATTGGTGCCATAATGGTGTGGTCGCCACTCGTTGCTGCAAACTCCACGTGCCGACGGGCTTCGCGAGGCTCTCGCGGGCTTGGCGTGGTCCTGTTCCTCTCCATGCCAGGCATTGAGTGAGCGGCGCCATCACTGGCTGCGCCTGAGCGCTGTCCCACGCTATCATTTTGTGTCGGTGTGCCTGATGAAATGGCGATCGACTCCTCCGATTGTGCAGGTGCATTTGCAGGTGCGTGTGGTGGCGCTGGAGTATTCACTGTGGATTGCTGACGAGCGGAGTCGCGTTCCGCCGTGAGTGTAGCAATTTCGAGCGCCGAGTCTTCGATTCGGCCATGACGGGGGTGTCGGGCAAGCTCAGCGAGAGCCTCTGTCGTGGCCGTGCGTGCTGACGAGAGAGCATTACGAGCGGCGGTGCTTGTTTCGCTGAGAGACGTCTACCCCCCCCAAAAATTGAGATAGTGGGGAAACGAAGGTGTGGGTGCGGTCCGAACGAGTGCAATTGAGTGAACGAACAAAGATTGCACTATCGAAGCAAGAGTACAATGAGCGAAGGCATGAGCGAAGAATATATAGCGAAACTACAGTGGTAACGGTAATGTGTGGAAAATGGGGTGCGCGACGGGCCTAGCGCCGAGGTTGGAAAATGTCGAGGCGGAGGTCCGGAGCGCGGGTTACCAACCGAACCGTGAGGTTGGGTCGCGTCGTGAACAGTGGCGGGAACAGTGTCGAGGCGAGTGTCGCGAGTGGTATCGTATTACTGTTGGGTGCTATTGGCGGGAAAAATGGTGTACGCGCTGAGCAGGGACGCAAAGTAAGGAAAAGGAATTTTCCATACAGATAGGGTCATTTCATGTAGCATCATGCGATCAGACGCGAAGTCAGATGGCGACTGGAAAGTCTTGAACGAGTAACAAAGCCCAACGTCTATTCTCGTGTCTCGCAGTTGGGTTGGGTGCTTTGCGATTCAAATGGTTGTTCTCAAGTTATCGAACGGTTGGGTAAGGTTCTGAACACAAGCTCACTCTAGCATACTACGGTACTTGATAATACGCGGGGATGCTGTGGATTCCGCCCATTCAGCAGCTCCGTCCGTCTAGCTCTTACAATCGCTGTGTTAGCCTGTATTGCCTCGCAGCGTCCCTGTTCGAGCCGCGGCATTCTGCCTGCAAGGCTTATGGCATCAATAGCCTCGTCCGTCTCCTGCGCCAGACCCGCTCTGCTCTCTTCTCGTGCTTCGATCAAAGCTCTCAGCACTCCTAACGTTTTCAGATTCGAAGCTTTCAAAACCAAATCGTACGGTCACGTAGCTTGCCATCACATTCAACGGCTAAGATCGTCTCAGACGAGTTTGTCCAGTCCGGTACGATCTTTTACCAGTATGCCGCCTATCTCTTCTGCTCGGAATGCTGAAAGCCCAATGCGTAGGAATTTCCGAACCAGAGCTTCGGGGGAGACGCCTGCATCGGGAAGCGGTGGTTCAGAAGGGTCAGTTTCGAATTCCGAGCCTCATTCTCCGAGCCTCTGGGCGAAGCTCGGGCAGAGTTTCAATCTGCAAGGAGTCACGGCTGTGGCGAGCGTGGCCGTTTCGAATCCGAGCCTCGCCGTGCCGCATGTGTCCGTGCCTGATATCAGGTACGGCTAGGATCATGCCTGATATGTATCGGATAGAGGTTAAAAGAAGAATGCCATTATCAAGCCTTCCTTTTTCGTCTGCCGTCTCATCGCATTTTTATTGAATTTAAGGTTTCTTGCTTTCCTGAAACAGGTGGATTGACTGGAAGGCCGTTCATGCAGCCGGGTTCAAGGCAGTGGTGTTTGACAAAGATAACACACTCACACTCCCGTACAAAATGCAGGTGAGTTTAAAGCAGCCATGCACCAAGTGAGATCAATCATCCTAGCGACCTCCCATGGTGTTTGACAGGGATAGCACACTCACGCTTCCGTACAAAATGCAAGTGAGTTTGAAACAGCCATGCACCACCAGGTGTTTCTAGCAACCTCCCAAGGATAACACCCTCTCACTTCCGTACGAGATGCAGGTGAGTCCAAAGGACCATTCATCAGATGAGTTCAATCATCCTAGCAACCTCCCATGAGTCATGCAGTTGTGTTTGACAATGATAACACGCTCACACTTCCGTGACTCAACCTAACCTCTCTTAAGCCATGTAGCATACTCGGTCTCACTCGTTTCATTCATTAGTGCCATCTGGAATCCCCTTAGAGTCATATTCCACCCACTTGATCAAACCAAGTGACAAGTCTCTGATTTGCTGGTCACGCTCCTGAGAAGAAACGAGGAATGGAATGACTAAGTGAAAGTTGGGTACAAAAAGCAAACCCTAGAAAACTGTACCCCATATGTGCCACCCCACTATAGCCTACAGTAGCTATGTCATATAAATCTGACACACCCCCATAGGCAAAGTGGGGGAGAACAAGGGGTCACAGGACCAGTCAAGCAAAGCAAAACAAGCTCAGGGTGGATCACAAAGTCACCACACATTCCGAGCACAAGTTCAAGGCCACAAGGCCAGTTCACATGCAGGATTACATATATATATAAGGCTAGACAAGCAAGAGCAGGAGTATATATATATATGCATCAGTACAAACAAGGTCAAGGGGTGAGCAAGTGAGGCAAGGTGGGCACAAGACCCAGCTGAGTACAGAAGCGCTGATGATCACAAGGCGCAAGTGCCTTGGTGAAGATATCAGCAGTGTTGGCCTGAGAGGCCACGTACGCAAGCCGCAGCTGACCACGCTGCTGTAGCTCACGAGCAAGGAAGTAGCGGAGAGCAATGTGCTTCGTTCTGTGCTCCAGTCTCTGCTCTCGACACAAGGCCAGCATGGCCTTGTTGTCTACGTACAGCACTGGAGGAGAACGAGGCGGCTCTCCGAGGTCAGTCAGCAGGTAGGTGAGCCAGCGAAGCTCCTGTGCAGCCATGGCCCCGGCGTAGATCTCAGCCTCACAACTGGAGCCGAGAACAGAAGACGAGCGGGTAGCCCGCCACGAAACAGAGCCGGAACCAAGGCTGAAGGTGTAACCCTGTGACGACCGCTGCGTAGCCTGGTCGTCAGCCCAAGAAGCGTCTGCGTGCCCAGTGAGGACCACTGGACTCTGCCCTCCAAGCACAAGCCCCATGCCCGACGTACTGCACAAGTAACGCAACACCCTCTTCGCTGCAGCCATGTGCTCCGGTCTGTGTCTCCCAGGAGCAACATAGCGTGCGAGAATGCTAAGAGGGTATGCGAGGTCAGGTCGTGTGCAGGTCATCAGGTACATGAGGCAGCCAACAAGCTCTGGGTACGGGCCACTCGACTCTACGGACTCATCCGAAGGCAGAGCTGAGAGCGAGTGGCGAGTAGGCAGAGGAGTGGCCTGAGGCGAGGAGTACGTGAAGCCGAAGCGCTGAAGGACCTGCTGCACCATGTGTGACTGAGTCAGGGTAATGGTGCGGCGTGCTCTGTCCCGGGTGATCTGCAAGCCAAGGTAGCTGCGCAGTTCACCCAGGTCTGTGCACGTGTGTCTCTTCTGCAGCTCGGACTTCACGTGGGCGAGTCCAGCAGTGTCAGCTGTGGCAAAGACCAAGTCGTCGACGTACACGAGGATGTAGAACGGCGGCAAAGAAGTGTCGGTGCGCAGAAACAGCGACGGGTCGGCAGTAGAGGGAGCAAACCCAAGAGCCGCAAGTGTAGTCCTCAGTGTGTCGTGCCACTCACGCGGTGCCTGGCGGAGACCGTAGACTGGCCGCCGGAGGCTCCACTGGGTGCCAGGAGGAAAAGACCCAGTGAAGCCAGGTGGGCGACGCAGCCAGATCTCCTCGTGCAGGCTGCCCTGCAAGAAAGCTGTGCTGAAGTCAAGAGAGTGCAGCTCGTAGTCGCGGTGAGCAGCTATGTGCAGCAGTACCCGAAGAGTGGTCATCTTCGGGGTGGGAGAGAAGGTCTGAAAGTAGTCAACTCCCTGCCGCTGACTGAAGCCACGAGCCACGTAACGCGCCTTGAAGACAGGCGGAGAACCCGGCGGCCGCTTCACCCTGAAAATCCACATGCCACTGACGATGTTCGCCCCAGGCGGGGGAACCTCGTCAACGTAGGTACCTGTGGACTTCCAAGAAGCCATCTCTGTGTCCATAGCTGCCTGCCACTGAGAGGAGTAGGGACCCTCTATCGCCTCCGCGTAAGAGCGCGGAGTCGGGATGTCAAATGCATCCGGGTCTCCCTCAGGGGTAAGCAGTACGGACACGAGATGAGGTGAAGCAGCAGCCAAACACTGGAACTCCTCCTGCCTGTCCTCAAGGACGTCCGTGCCAAGGGCACACTCACCCCCGACAGACGGAGGACAGACAGACTCAGACTCAGCGACAAGACAAGCAGCGTAGTCTAGACGACAGCGAGCAGCAAAGTCGACGAGCTCAGCAACTAGAACAGACGCAGCAGTGGACGCAAAGGAAGGGTCAGTGACGACAGTAGCAAGGAGACGCGTGACAGTAGGACTGGCAGCACGAAGAGAGTCCGACTCCGGGTCGGGAAGAGCAGGAAGAGAGGACTCAGGAGGAGAAGGCAAAGGGGCACGCAGAGGAGCAGTGGACGGACGCAGAGACATCCGGTGCGTGCCAGGGACAGGAGGAGGACGCTGACGCGAACCACGACCACTAGCGCGAGCAGTACGGACAGGCGACGCAGGACGCGACGCAGGCTCACGACGCTCAGCAAGACCTCTAGTAGGACCAGTGTAGGGAGAAGGAGCGGGCAGTGGGGAGGCCGGCTGTAACTGTAACTGTGACAGGACAGGCTGTGGACTCTCTAAGGGAGGAGGAGGGCCAGTAGAAGGCGGGAGACCAAGAACCTGCTGAAGGAGCGGAACGAAGTACGGCCGAGGCCGCGCGGCGACTCCAGACACAGCAGGGACAGCACCAGTACCCCAAGCGGCAGCACCAGCGCCAGCAGCAACTCCAGCTCCAGTACCTCCAGCAGCACCAGTAGCACCCCCAGCAGGCCCGCCTCCAGGACCGACAGCAATAGCCTCAGCGTCAACACCCTCAGCAGCTCCAGCTCCAGTCGTACCCGCAGGCCCAGCAGCTCCAGTACTCCCAGTACGAGCACCTCCGGGACCCGCGGCACCAGCACCCTCAGTAGCCGAAGAACCTCCAGCTCCAGCAGCACGCCTCCAGCGCCGGGCAAACCACTCGCGCAGCTCCTGTGGAGAGAGTGGCTCCCGCCGAGACGAAGCACCCGGAGAACCTCCAGGCTCAGCACCGCCAGACGCCACACAAGCAGGCCCAGCTCCCTCAGGCTCCACACACCCAGGCCCAGCACCTCCAGGCGTAGCACCCCCAGGCTCAGCACCCCCAGGCTCAGCACCCCCAGGCTCAGCACCTCCAGTAGTAGCACCTCCAGGCTCAGCACCCCCAGGCTCAGCACCCCCAGTAGTAGCACCCTCAGGCTCAGCACCCCCAGGCGTAGCACCCACACGCTCAGCACCCCCAGAGTCAGCACCCCCAGGCTCAGCACCCTCAGCAGCACCAGAGTCACCAGTAACCTCGACAGGCTCGACTGCGTCTACCTGGGACACACCTGAAGGGGCAGGACCCTGAGGGGGGAGGGGGTCTACCGGGGGGGGACCTGGCACAAGGAAGAGCGGTGGTGGGGGGAGGGACGGAGTGCGGTAGGGGAAGAGGCGGTAGTAGGGGACCGACTCGTCAAACGTGACGTCCTGGGAGGACAGAACACGGCGAGAGGTGGGGTGGTAGAACTGCCACCCTGGCGCGTCAGGGGGGAAGCCAAGGAAGACGCAAGGAGCAGCACGAGGGGACAGCTTGTCCGCAGACAAGTCGCGGACAAACGCCCGAGATCCCCAGACACGGAACGCAGACGCATCGCCAACCTTCCCCGTCCACAGCAAAGCAGGGGAGGTCTCCGGTCTGGAGACCCTAGGGTGAAGGTTGATCTGATGCGCCGCGTACCGAACCGCAAACGGCCACAGAAAATGGGGGGCAGCCGCATGCATCATGGACGTACGGGCGACGTCCATGACCATGCCAATGCGGCGCTCGGCAATCCCATTTTGCTGTGGAGAGTCCGGACAGGAAAGTCAGAGTGCAGAGTGCAGACGCAGAACAGGAAAGTCCGAACCGAAGCTCTGCCTGAGCTGGAGACGAGCTGCGCGGATCCAGTCGATCAACAACTCAGTGACATCACCCTTGCTGCGCAAGGGGAAGACTGTGGTGTAACGCGAGTAGTCGTCAACCACCAGCAGGAAGTAGCGCTCGTGACCCTGTCCACGGACGCGGGCCGGGCCCCACACGTCCATGTGAAGCGTCTGCAGCGGGGCCTCTGTTGGAGGAAACTGGGAGGAGTGAGGGGCAGCCCGCTGCCGCCCCTCGACACAGGGGACGCAGGTAGGGCCAGGCCCCGGAGAAAGGGGAGGGAGGGAGCGGGGAAGACCAGAGACAAGGACACGGGAGGCCATGCCTCGGAGACGAAGCAAGGAGGGGTGACCAAGGCGGTGGTGCCAGAGGAGAGTCTCGTGAGACAGGAGGCGACACGAACAGGGGGCAGACTCAGGACCAGACCTGGACGCTGCAGCAAACACCTGACCTGACGCAGCTACCTGACCAGACGCAGTGACTGGAGGAGACGCAGTGGTCAGGGTGTACAGGCTCGACCCCGGCCGACGGGTAAACGTGGCCAGGTGTCGGCCAGTCCGAGCGTCCGTGCAGTGGGTCACCCGCTGACTCCCAGAAGTGAACTGGTGAACCCCCGCATCCTGTAGGTCAGCACCACTCACCAAGTTCGTAGAGAACGAGGGGAGGTAAAGACCAGACAGGGTGCCAGAGGGGGCCGCCGGACACGGGAGGACAGTGGAGAAGTGAGCAAGGACAGGACCCCCAGAGGGGTCTGCCAGAGAGACCGCAACTGGCCGGCCAAGCGGCGTGAGTGTGGTGCGGTCTCGAAAGAAGGAGCGAGAAGCCCCCGAGTCAAGGGTGAAGGTGTGGGAGGCCGAGGCCGACGCAGAACCTGAGAGAGCAGACTCACCAGCACCTGAGGGAGCAGACGCACCTAGAGCAGCAGCCTCGCTAGCACCTAGAGCAGCAGCCTCACCAGTACCTAGAGCAGCAGTCTCAATGCCCGGGTCGGGCGGAAAACACCGGTAACAGTCACCCTCATCACTAATAGTCACAGTATACATGGCAGCAAGAATAGCATCAAAGTCAAGGTCAAAGACAGCCACACCCGCCCTAGACAGCTCACCCCAGCGGGGGATCTCAGTGGCCTCAGGGAACTGGTGACGCCAAGCGTCCGTCAGGCGGCCAAAGCAGCGCTGGGTGGAGTGCGCACCCCCGCACTGCTCACCCGCGCGGTCGCCGGTGCGGAGGACGTAGGTGCACGGACCAGTACCCCCACCCCTCTGGCGTGCAGCGTACCACTCACGGAGCTGCTGAGGGGAGGGGATGTCACGAGTGCGCTGCTGCTGCTGCTGCTGCTGCTGGCGCTGACCACCACCGGAGCCGACTCTCTGCGCAGCGCCACCCCGACCAGCTCCACCTCCTCCGCCGCCTCCTCCTCCACCGCCGCCACCTCCGCTCCGACCGCCACCGCCGCCGCCGCCTCCGCCTCCACTGCCACCACCGACACCTCCACCCCCGCCACCACCCCCACCGCCACCCCCACCCCCTCCACCGCCTCCACCGCCGCCTCCACCGCCCCCGCTAGCTCCTCCAGTGCCCCTGCCCCCCTTGCCCTTGCCAGGGCGGCGTCTCCCGCTAGGGGTAGACGCCGCACCGACCGACTCAAGCCCAACGAGGTCGGCCGCAGCAGCAGAGGCAACAGAGGGCAAAAGGGGGGAGGGGGAACACCCCTCAAAGATGGGGGTGCGAGGGTCACCACGAGAGGCTCCTACAGCTACTATGCTCTTCTCTGCTACTAGGAGGGACTTCTCGAGGAGGTCAACGGTGAGAGTGGTGGGGCAAACAGAGAGGAAGTGGTCCCTGACTACGCGAAGGGAGTCAGGGAGCCGGGTGACTATGTAGTAGAGGGTGATGTACATGGGGGGGGGGTTCTTGGCGCAGAACTCTGCAGGAAGCGCAGCGCGGTAGCGAGTGTCACTAGTGCGGAGGTGCGTAATGAGGTCAGCGACTGTGGGAAAGGCAGCAAGGTCAGGGAAGAGGTACGGTAGCATGAGGCGGCTCAGTGCAGCAGTGGCAGGGGAGGAGTAGCGCGCAACTACAGCGTCGTACAAGGTCTGAGCACTCTTGTACTGGCTAAAGTGCGCACGCTCAGAGGTAGGTAGGTGGCGACGCACAGCAAGACGTGCAGCAGCATCGCGCGTGGCCCACTGGGAGCGAACAGTGGCGTCAGCAGCAGCAGCGGGGGCAGGAGAGGCACCAGAAGTGAGGTCAAAGAGGGAGAGGCCGTCTGCCCTGTCGCACTGTAAGAAAAGCTGCAGGTCATCTATCCAGACGTCAAAGTCAATGGCCCGACCCTCAGCGTCAAAAGCGAGGACACTAGGGGTAGCCATGACAGCAGTAGACTAGCAGCGCAAACAGTAGGGTGAGGGCAGTGCTGTGAAAGGGGCGCTGCTCTTACCGGACAGGGCGGCTCGGGTGGCTCGGCTGTAGGGCGGCTCGGCGGCTCGGTTGCTGGGCGGCTCGGCGGCTCGGCTGCTGGGCGGCTCGGCGGCTCGGCTGCTGGGCGGCTCGGCGGCTTGGCTGCTGGGCGGCTCGGCTGCTGGGCGGCTCGGCTGCTGGGCGGCTCGGCTGCTGGGCGGCTCGGCTGCTGGGCGGCTCGGCGGCTGGGCGGCTTGGCTGCTGGGCGGCTCGGCGGGGCCGCTGAGAGGGCGGCGTCCGGGGCCGCTGGGAGGAGGCGGCGGGGCCGCTGAGAGGAGGCGGCGGGGCCGCAAAGGTAGGTGGCGGGGCCGCAGGTAGGTGGCGGGGCCGCTAGTAGGTGGCGGGGCCGCATGTAGGTGGCGGGGCCGCTGGTAGATGGCGGGGCCGCACAGGCAAGTGGCGGGGCCGCGGAGGTAGGTGGCGGGGCCACACAGGTAGGTGGCGGGGCCGCGGAGGTAGGTGGCGGGGCCGCACAGTGAGGTGGCGGGGCCGCGAAGGTAGGTGGCGGGGCCGCACAGGTAGGTGGCGGGGCCACGGAGGTAGGTGGCGGGGCCGCACAGGTAGGTGGCGGGGCCGCGAAGGTAGGTGGCGGGGCCGCACAGGTAGGTGGCGGGGCCGCGAAGGTAGGTGGCGGGGCCGCACAGGTAGGTGGCGGGGCCGCGGAGGTAGGTGGCGGGGCCGCACAGTTAGGTGGCGGGGCCGCGAAGGTAGGTGGCGGGGCCGCACAGGTAGGTGGCGGGGCCGCGGAGGTAGGTGGCGGGGCCGCGTAAGGTGGCGATGGGCGCGACGGGCGCGACGGGCGCGACGGGCGCGACGGGCGCGACGGGCGCGACGGGCGCGACGGGCGCGACGGGCGCGACGGGCGCGACGGGCGCGACAGGCGCGACGGGCGCGACGGGCCGAAAGGGCGGCGCGAAGGGCCGTAGGGGCGGCGCGACTCGGGCCGGAGCAAAACGCGCTCCGGGCAGGAAAAAAAAATAATTTCGTGGTGGTGGGCCCTAGGAATCGTTCCCACTAGGGAACCTGCTCGATACCATGAGAAGAAACGAGGAATGGAATGACTAAGTGAAAGTTGGGTACAAAAAGCAAACCCTAGAAAACTGTACCCCATATGTGCCACCCCACTATAGCCTACAGTAGCTATGTCATATAAATCTGACAGCTCCTCCCTTCTCGCTCCCCCTGCGTATCGTAGTACAGACACGAGCGGTTTCCTGATCAGCCTCTTGCTGCCTTTTGACGCATCACTCATCCCCATCCTTTCAAACATCCCACATGCGGTCATTTTGTAGTGGCCTCAGAGATCGTCAGCTCATCCCCAACCCCCCATGTATCCCACACGTGGCTCGGCCAAAGCAGGTGGAGGATGGGTTGGTGGCTTCTCTGGATGTGTGCTGGAGGACATTCGGATCTGAGGCATTGCCATCAAGAGGCGCCTAACAAACCGTCAGCACATCCCCATTCCCATCCTCCCATTCCACATGTGGCTCGGCCAAGGCAGGTGGAGGATGGGCTGGTAGCTTCCCTGGATGTGTGCCGGGAGACATTCGGATCCAGAGGCATTGCCATCCTGAGCAATTCTGCAGGTTGGTTGATGGAGTGTGGTGGGAATGTACAGATGAACGGTGGGGGGTATTTCTCAAGCAGGATGGGCTGCTGGCTTCCCTGGATGTGTGCTGGAGGACACTCGGATCGAGAGGCATTGATATTCTGAGAAATTCTGCAAGTTGGTCAGTGTGCTGTCATAGAGAGGAAGGCAGAAGGGCGGGCTGTCACTAAGGATATAGTACTTCGTGTCCATAAAGTTAAAAGAGATTATGGTACTCATGCTTGGGTTACCTAAGAGAATTTATGCGAACTAATCATGCCTCTCTGCTCCCATAATTCCCCACCGTTTGTATCCCAACCTGTTCTCCAGTTCAGCGTTGAAGCAGTACGACCCTGATGGCAGCTCAAACAATCCTACTGTATTATGCCATTGGTTGTTATTCCCCTTCCATTTGAATCCCAACCTGTCCTCCAGTTCAGGGTTGAAGCAGTACGACCCTGACGGCTCCCTGGCAGCAGCAATGGAGCAGGCCCTGGGGGTGCCTGTGATTCTTCACACGGAGAAGAAACCTGGTGGAGGAGCAGCAGAGCTGGAAACACATTTCGGATGCAGGGCAGATGAGATGGTTATGGTGAGTGATTACTTGGGATCCCCAAACTGCCAATGGAGCAGGCCCTTGGGGTGCCTCATTTTTCACACGGGGAAGAAACCTGGTGGAGCAGCAGCAGAGCTGGAGACGCACTTCGGATGCAGAGCAGATGAGATGGTTATGGTGAGTGATGACTTGGGATCCCCTTACTGCGAATGGAGCAGGCCTCGGGGTTGCCTGTGATTCTTTACTCAGAGAAGAATCCCGGTGGAGGAGCAGCAGAGCTGGAAACACATTTAGGATTCAGAGCAGAGGAGATGGTTATGGTGAGTGACTGCTTCAGATTCACATAGTGCCAGGACGAAAGGATAAAAGGTTTCGTTCTTTTCATGGACTTCGAAGTACTGCAAGAAAGAAGGCACAGTTAAGATGCAAGGCCAATGACCTGGGTCCTGGTTGAGTTACCCCAGCCTGGATGGCAGTTGTATGCCAGCCAGCTAGGATTTCAATCATAACGTATTCTGTGTCCCACTAAGCATCGAGCATTGCTACATATTGTTTTGGTAGGTTTTCACCCATTCTGATATGGTACACCTCCACTTGTTGGCAGGTTGGAGATCGGTGTCTGACAGACATTGTGTTTGGCAACCGCAACGGGCTTCTCACTGTTTTGACGGCTCCACTTTCTCCAGGGGAAGATCCCTTAGTTGTCCGGCAGGTGGGTACATCTCTTTTTGTGGTACGACAATGGTAGTAGTGTCAGCCTCACATATAATTAATTCTTAGCCTCACTGTAACGCATCCCAGTGCATCCCCCCCATGGTAACAAAAATGAATATGTGTTGAGTTCCCTGTACGCTCATTCTTGCAGGCTCGCAAATTTGAAGATGTGCTTGTGACAACCCTTCACAGACGAGGGGTTCAGGCACCTACGCAAGTGAAGTTTAGCAGCTCTTACTCTTTTGTCCTGCCTCCCGCTTGCTGGTGAACATGTATTTGTTCATGTAGCAGCAGTTAAATCTTGTCATGCAAAGCCATGCTCCAACTCGGTAAGTAGGTCAGCAAGTTCTAGCAGAGTTGCATAAGAAGTTCCTCTTCGAACAGGAACACACCAGTCTTGCTGCATTCCATTCCATTGCAGCACGTATGTGGTTATGTGACTAAAATTCTTGTATACCTGTTCCTGAAACACTTCCTTGTAGAAAAATCTCATGAGGTGAACTCACATCGGTCCTGATACAAATGATGGTGGCGACTGGCTGAAGGAATCTGGGTTGATAGTGATGACAATGAACCCATACCTGGTAAAAATCCTGTCAGCAGGGGAGCCCTGTTAATGGGAATCCTATCCTCGACATTGCCTGGACGCCCAGCTTTTGGCAACTGTGGAGTTAATTTGTCAGTAAGGTTTGGTTGGCTTTGTGTTTCGGCAGGTTGATTGATTTCGAAATCTGATCTTCCGGATGTAGCCTTCACCATGTCGAACTGGGCATGTGAACTGTAGGCCCCATCCCTTTGCATCCTTCAATTGGGAACGGAACGTTGAAGTGGACGATGGCTTGAATAACTGGTAACTGCGTGCTAATGTTGTCTCAATCTTGAGGGCATGCTGCCTGTGAATTTGTAATCGTCCTGTCATGTTTTGTATCCGCAGCTCCAGCATGCTGTGCTGCAAGAGTCAAAACAACATGTGATATTATAAGTTTTCGTGACTGTGTCCAAACTGGTTAGATGAAACTTGAACAGCGCCACATACCTGATGAAAACCATCATGATATTTGCCCTCAAACAGAGGCACATAGGCTTACTCATCCAGGACAGATGATACGCATTGCCATACAGGAAAAATGGGATCAGCCTGCACAGTGCAACAACACGTAAGGTCAGAACGTGCTGCAAAAAATACGTGCTAGACACAGACAAAGGTCAGTTTCTCATACCATTTGGTCAGTAGGATTAGAAGTGGTCGTTAATTGGTCAGGGAGCACCAGCATCCGTTAGTCAGAAGCCATCATGCACCACCAGAGTCAGGAGAACCAGATCGCCAAAACATGATGCTCATAGTCGGAGCCGCTAGAAGCCCAAGGGGTTTCGAAATGAAGAGCTCCATGGGTGTAGAGTCCAACTACTAAGCTTCACAATGAAGTACTGGGGCCCGTGGTCACCATTCGCGTCCAAAAACACCAACCAACCACACTTACCATGCTGTCCACCACGTACACCCCCCAAGCGCCCCAACCCCTTGCCCCACCCCAAGGTGCACGAGATGAAGGATGAAGAAATCATCATTCCATAAAACGAATTACATAGTCAAAATTCTCCAGGACTACATCCATACTCGATAGGATCCTGGACATCTAAGGTGAATCGGTGAAACGCATTCTGTGATGACACAGAAAACGGGTAATGTGGGGGAGTAGACCACTAAATGACGCAATATAAAAGACCTCAAACCTTCAGGACCAACCTTGAGTGTGCTAGCCTCAGCTGCCGCGTTCTGTTTCACTATCGCCGAGTTTTAGCTCGCTTCAGTCCCACATCGCCAAAGGGCAATGGGGAACCTGAGAACAAGCTGTGAGCTCCCAGGTCATCCCGAAGGGTTCCATTCAAAATGGCTAATTCACGAAGTTGTGCACGTTTGACCACATCATGAGTTTCGTCCTGAAACAAGGGAAAGGAATCTTGAATTACTCACCTGGTTCCACTGATGCTAACAAATGCTGAAAAGTTCACTAGCATAATCACTCACCACAGGCCTGAGTAGTTCTTGAAGAATTTCGCACGCTTGAGCAAGCTGCGCGTCAACAACGTTCGCAGGAAGCTCCGCTTCCACAATAACATGCAGAGGCTCGTTCAGATGTTCAAATCCAGGCTTGTCTCGCATCTTCTCCTCCTGCGTCGGATAAGCGTAAAAGGCAACAGTAGAAACACTTACACACAGCGTGCAACGCTCGCAAACAAGACAGCCTTAGAAAACGTTCATACCTTGCCAGCGTCCTTTATCGACCCACGTCCGCGAATGAGGACACGACAGCCTGTCTGCGCTTCGACTCGTTTCAGCGAGTTCCCTCGTGGTCCTAGGATTCTTCCAACAAAGTTAAATGTAGGGTACTTATCCACCGGAACCTCCAAACGGCTCGTCTTCTTTACAATCGGAGCAGCGCCAGGCTGAGCCGTCCAGCCTACAAGGGTCCCGGAAGCTGACGGTTGGCTCGTTGGTTGCATCAAGAAGAGAGAAGACGATGGCTGCATATCGAGCATGGAAAGCCAAGGCTCAGCGTCAGCCGTAAGAATCTATCGCCTTGTAACGAAGTTGCTAAATAACCAAACTTACCCCAACCTCGGATGGCATCGGAGCCCATGTTCCGGAATCAAATGGCGATCCACTAGACGAAGGTCGGATCTGCTGAGACTGATGAGAGATATGGCCTTGATGAGATGCATGAGACTGATGAGGTGGATGCGGAGGATGAGAGAGTGCCTGATGCGATAAATGTTGGTGAGTTATCTGCTGATGAGACGAATGTGGCTGATGTGACATTGGAGGCGAGTGCTCGATTGAATCATGGTCCATAAACACTTGCGCGCCAACGAGTGATGTGACTCGAGCAATTTCTGCAGGTCCCACAAATCGTCGTTAAGTAAGCATAAAACTCGCCAAGCCAAACGGAATCCGCATTCACTACGTGTTCTTCGTCCTACCTTGATTCATCAGGCGGCTACATATCGGCAGCACTTGCATAAAAGGGCTAAGTTTCTGCCTCTCGGACAAAAGCTCCGACAAATACCTGAGAGGGAGAAACTACGCGTGTCAGATCCACGTCTCAACCATATGATGGATAAAACGAAGAAAACACTAGATTTAGCCTCAAACTGAGGCAGACGAAGTGACTTGAAACCCTTACGAATCATGGTCGCTAAGCGCAGGTGACGACCCTCGACTAACTTGCGGCGAGACAGGAGCTGATGCATAGCCAGTCAAAAATCGACCACTCATGGTCGGTCAATATATTCGCAATTACGAGCCTCACGGAAGACTTTTCTCAGCGATGAGCTTTCTAATCTGCTGAGTCTCAGCTTTAGTGAAGTTATCTCAAGCACGGATTCCCAGTTTTAGCACCTGTGCAAAGCTATCTTAGCGTTTGGAAGTCTTGTATGTAGGAGGTTCTGAATGTGAAACCGCCATGGCAAAGAAATGACGAGCCATGACAAGGTCACGTCGATGTCTCACCAAACTATGGTGTGGTATGGAAAGAAGACGAGCCAACTTGGACACCAGGAACGCCTGTGGCACCAGACCAGCGTTCAGCGGCGGAAGAACCCATAGCCTCTCCGAGCCTAGATTCGTCGCAGAGACGGCCTGGTTGGAGATCAGGCTCCGTCGCACGGGCTGCCCAACGTCGGATTCCGAGGGTTCATGCCCGTGTATCCGTGGCGGCAACGCCAGGCAACCACACGGAAGTGGCTAGCGCGAAAGTGCACGACTTGGGAAGGCTAGGCACGTCCAATCCCTGTTGCCGACAGATATACTCGGTTGAAGGAACGACGGAGGGGTGCCTCCCACTTGCAGAAGGCATGACGAAGCAAATTACTTGTCTACACGAATTATAAACAGCTTTATGTTATTGATTTATTCATCCATAGCTGTGTTGTATAAACCCTGTGAGGTATTTATATAAACAATATATGAATAAATTTTCGATTTTCAAGTGAAACAAAAGACAAAGGCAATTGAATGGGAGGATCAGATTCTCAGCATAGTCACTAGGATAAGGTAATATAGACACCAGGATTACAATTGGTTTTAGCATTGACGGTACGAATAATGAACACATAATGAGCACTGTAGCTGTTTTGTCTCTCTCAACCAACCGACACCCTGACCAGACCGTAGGAGTAGGTCAGGTGGTAGGAGTAACGAAAGATTCTTCTTGCCCTCAAAACCAGCAAATTTTTGCCACACAGGCTCGTCACCGTGAGGTTGTTCAGGTCACTTTGGAAGCCGCTCTGCCGAAGCTCAGCCGCCAATACCTGGAGCCGGAGCGAACCGTCAGGGCTCAGGTGGCCCTGACTTGGCTCGGCCTCAGGTAAGGAGAAATCTGGAAGTGCTTCGGAACCAGCTTACAGGCTCGAGGTTTACGCTTTGTCTGGTTCGGAGCCACGCAAGGTTACCAAACTGGAGATTCGGGGGTTCCATCCAATCAGTCCCCTAGTTCCCTCCTGGGGCCGTACACAATTCTACAGTTCCAGGCGGGACAGGACTGCCCCCGATATTTTTGCTTCGCAAGTACACAGAGTCTAGACTCCGGACTCTAGAGGTTTCGCCTAGGCGTTTTTCTCTGCATCACACTCCCCACGTTCGGATTTTCATAACCACACGCAGCGAGGCGCCATACTTCCGTGCAACGTACTGCGCAGCTTGGGTCGCGGGGGGAATCGTTGTCTAAGCGTCTGGCAAACCCTTGTAGAAAAGAGGATTAGGAGCGAAGGCGTTGGGAGGTGGTGGTGGAAGGGAAGGAGGGCCCCACGCGGGCATTCCTCCTTCAATGGCTCGTAGTAGCTCCGAGTCGGCAAACCGAAATGGCGGCTCGCGAAGAGTTTGCCCGCGTGCAATGCTCTCACATGGCCAGCTCGTTAACATGACTTCGCTTGTCCTCGGAGTTTTCGCGGTTCTCGCGACCCTCGTTCCACTGACTGCTGCTCGCTCGATCGCTTTAACAGACTGTGAGTAAAACGAGAGTTCGGTCCTTGCTCTGCCTACTTCACCGCATCTCCTAGCTCTCGCGTTTTCTTTCGCGTTTTCACCTGACGATGTGCATGCATAGGGAGTGATCAGACTGCACTGCCACTCCCCCAGCCCTTTCTGATCTCCGAATCTGCGATGCCGCAAACCCCATCCCATATCGCGTATTCGCGTGTTTCGATGTGATTTTAGTGGACTGTATAATTGCGTGCTACAATGCTGCACTACATCTGAGGAAACCGCGAGTGGTGGGGAGACTACCCTACATCTTTATAAATCTGCGTCGTGTATCCGTCAAAAGGTCTTGCATCTCTCAGTCGCATTCTGGCCACCGGGATGCGGCACCTCTCGTTTCCCAATGCCGCTCTCGCGCCAATGCACCCTCTCTCCCATCTCTTGTTCATCAGGGCAAGCGCTGCTGGGCTGTGGGAAGAGCTGAATCTCACCAACCCACAGCGCAGCCCCGAGGTGTACTATTGGCGGTGAAGGGAAGGAACAACTTCAGTGTCGCCTCTATCAACGTCCCACCTTTACCCGCACATCTTCTCCATTTGCCACAAGGGCACGCGCTGCTGCGGCTGAAAGAGGAGCTGGATTTCACCAACCCGCAGCGCAGCCCCTAGATGTATTGGCAACGGTCACGGGAAGGAACAACTGTAGTAGTGTCCCCCATTACACATATTCCGCCTTTTCTTTTCCTCCCACGCCCCTCTCGTTTCCCCACCAGGGCAAGCGCTGCTGCGGCTGCGAGAGGATTTGAACTTCACCAACGCGCAGCGCAGCCCCAAGGTGTACTGGCGGTCAAGGGGAGTCTGGGAGAGACAACTGCAGCCTGCAGGAGTGTCCCTCATTTACAAAGTTTTCTGCCTTTTTCGTTTCCCCCCACGCCCTTCTTGTTTCCCCACCAGGGCAAGCGCTGCTGCGGCTGAGAGAGGATCTGAACTTCACCAACCCGCAGCGCAGCCCCAAGGTGTACTGGCGGTCAAGGGAGAACTGCAACGTGGTGGTCGGCGTCTCATGCAACGACCAGGGCCGTGTCGTCACGCTGTGAGTGCCCCGTCATGGTAATCTGTCTCTTTCGTAGGTGCCTCAGAAACCAGCCCCACAAGGTGTACTGGCGGTAGAGGGAAGAAGTGCAACGTCGTCTTCGGCGTCTCGTGCAACGACCAAGGCCGCGTCGTCACGCTGTGAGTGCCCCGTCATGGCAATCTGTCTCTTTCGTAGGTGCCTCAGAAACCAGCCCCACAAGGTGTACTGGCGGTAGAGGGCAGAGCCGCAACGTCGTCTTCAGCGTCTCGTGCAACGACCAAGGCCGCGTCGTCACGCTGTGAGTGAGCAGTCACGCTACTACTCTGTGTTGGAGGTACCTCAGAAGCAGCCATAAGGTGTACTGGCGGTCAAGGGAGAACTGCAACCGTTTTAGGCGTCTCGTGCAACGACCAGGGCCGCGTCGTCATGCAGTGAGTGAGCCGTCGCTGTTGTCAAAGGTCCTGGCCCGCCGTCTAATAGGCCAATGGGTTCTACCACGTCTTGACAGATCTGCTTGCTGTTTGCTCTCCTCTCCCTAGCCTTCGACGCACATTCTATCGCTGAGACCCTTGTGCACCCCCGCCTTTCTTCTCTTTGCGTTTCATGACGTTGCGATGGAATGACGTGGTATGGCATGGCATGACGTGGCATGGCATGGCATGGCATTACGTGGCCTGGGACGGCCTTGCATCGCATGTCCTTTCTCTTCTCAGGTCCTTGTGGGGAGTGACAGGACCCCTGCCCGACTCGATTGCCAACCTCACTGCACTCACATCGCTGTAAGCACCTCCCTCAAGCGGCTTTCGAGTCGACTCAAAAGTCACCTCTTTTGAGTCGACTTGAAGGTCCTTGTGGGGAGTGACAGGGCCTCTGCCAGACTCGATTGCCAACCTCACTGCACTCACATCGCTGTAAGAAAGCATCTCCCTCAAGCGACTATTGAGTTAACGCAAAAGTCACCTCTTTTGAGTCAACTCAATAGTCCGTGTGGGGAGTCACAGGGCCTCTACCAGATTCAATTGCCAACCTCACTGCACTCACATCGCTGTAAGAAAGCATCTCCCTCAAGCGACTATTGAGTTAACGCAAAAGTCACCTCTTTTGTGTCAACTCAATAGTCCGTGTGGGGAGTCACAGGGCCTCTACCAGATTCAATTGCCAACCTCACTGCACACTCACATCGGTGTAAGCAAACACCTCCCTCAAGCGACTCAAAATCACCTCTTTTGAGTCAACTCAATAGTCCTTGTGGGGAGTGACAGGGCCTCTGCCAGATTCTATTGCCAACCTCACTGCACTCACTTCGCTGTAAGCACCTCTCTGAATCCCTCACTTCGTTATAAGCACACTCTCTCAAGTATTCAGATGTGTGTATATGCACACTGCCCGAAGCCCGCCCTTTGTGATAAACAAGCAGGCAAGCATGGGGTTGAACCACTGAAACTTGAATGCACACATTCAAACACACTCGAAGGCACACATTCAATCAGCATGCTCTTGTGGTGGCCGTTGCATCGCATTGCACCATTAATTAGCATCTCAAGCAGAAGCAGCATTCTGTCTCGTATAACTCACCACCACCTGCTGCTTTCATACTTTTGCCTGCCCAGGTGGGTGGGCAACAATGTGACCAGGATACCTGCCTCGATTTCCCTGCTCAAGGTGACTTTTGAGTCGACTCAAAAGTCACCTCTAAAGCCACCTCTGTCTCTCTGCTGCTTTCATACCTGTGCTGTGCGTGCACAGGTGGGTGGGCAACAACGTGACCAGCATACCAGCCTCGATTTCCCTGCTCAACTCAACACTCGCCGCACTGTATGCAACCCTTATTGAAAGTAGCATATACACGTTACATGCATCTGACTGTTTGCGCAGTATCCTTGGGATCAAATTATGTGGCCCTTTGCCATGAAGCAAAAATCTCTTCCGTGAAGAATTCTCTTCCCCTTGAAACTGTTTTTCCTCTCCACTTTCCCCCTTGAGGCAGCTTCTTGGGCGGCAATGCCATCAGCGGGAGCTTCCCTGCAGCCATCACCAAGCTGACTTCTCTGCAGGACCTGTGAGTGGAGGGGCAGGTAGTGGCATGGCATGGCTTGACATGGTTTGACTTTTGAGTTGACTCAAAAGTCAAAAGTCACCCTCCTGCCATCACCAAGCTGACTTCTCTGCAGGACCTGTGAGTCAAGGGGCAGGTAGTGGCATGGCATGGCATGGCATGGCATGGTATGTGGAGTTCTGACTCTCGTTTCTGTGTTCCCCGATTGGCTCCTTCCCGCAACAACAAGCACGCTAAGCCAACCACCCGAGAGCCATCTACCTCTCCTTTCCACCCCCTCCCCCACTCTCCCCACCCATCCATGTGATGCTGTGACTTTTGAGTCGACTCCAAAGTTAACAAGCACGCTAATCCAACCAACCAAAAGCCATCTACCTCTCCTTCCCTCCCCCCCTCCCTCCCCCACTCTCCCCACCCGTCCATGTGATGCGTCTCAGGAGTCTGGCCGACAATGACTTATCAGGCCCTCTTCCCCCGGGGATTGGCAAGCTGCCCCAGCTGGAAATGCTGTGAGTGCCCCGTGTAGGAGCTGACTTTTGAGTCGACTCAGAAGTCGCGTCTCAGGAGTCTTGCCGACAATGACCTATCAGGACCGCTTCCCCCAGGGATTGGCAAGCTGCCCCAGCTGCAAATGCTGTGAGTGCCCCTTGCTTAGAAAACCACAGTTTTCGCGAGGCGTTGTTGAGAATTCTCAATGACCTATCAGGCCCACTGCCCCCAGGGACTGGCAAGCTGCTGCAGCTGCAAATGCTGTGAGGTCCCCTTGTTTCCAAGAATCCCTATTACTTCTAGAAAGAAAGGGAAAAACGAATTATAAACAAGAAAGACTTGCTGCAACCAACACCCGTGTCCTGCAGGCGCTTGGATGGGAACCGTCTATCAGGACCCATCCCCATCCACACTCCCCCCTCTCACACACACACACACACATTCGGATGGCTCAATCTTGTCTCTCTTCCTCCCCCAACACCCGTATCCTGCAGGCGCTTGGATGGGAATCGTCTATCAGGCCCCATCCCCATCTACACTCCCCCCCCTTCCCCCCGCCTCTCCCTCACACACACACGGACGCAACATATGCAAGTGGCTAGATCTTGGTATCTTTTTCCCCCAACACCCGTGTCCCACAGGCGCTTGGATGGGAATCGTCTATCAGGACCCATCCCCTCCCTCATCTCCTCGCTTTCTTCCCTCTCCTACCTGTGAGCTATCCGTACTATTGATTTGCCACTGAATCTTAACTCAACAGTATATATCTCCCCATCCCCTCCTTCAACCCCTCGCTCTCTGTGAGTCACTTTGCCTTCTCCAACCTGTGAGTCCATCTCTCATAAATCTGCCTTGGATATGTTTTGAGTTGAATTAAAACGAACCTCATTATCCCCTCAGATTCTCCCCCACTCTTGCCTCCCCACTCTTACCTCCCCTTGCTTGACTCCCCTCTTGGAGCTCTCCTCAGCTCGCTCGCTTCGAACGAGCTCACAGGGGCTATCCCCCCACAGATATCCGCGTTACAAGCCCTGCAGTACATGTGAGTCTTAGGTACTCGTTTTAGGCTCCTCAACCCTACATGCGTGGAGCTCATTGCGCCGCTCATGCAGTTATCCACACAATAATCATCTATTCCTCTTAAGCCGCTCAACAATAGATGCACCGCACCGCACCCTCAACCCATCCCACTCCCTGCTCCTCTCGTCCCCCTTGTCCCCCCCACGGCCCTTACACTGATCTATGCGCCCCTCACACAGTGATGTGCGAAACAACCTTTTGTCTGGAGTGATTCCCCCACAGATCGGCAACAACTACAACCTCAACTGGCTGTGAGTGCCCAAACCGTGGTGTCGATTGAGTCGACTCAAAAGTCAGATTGGCAACAATTACCACCTCAATTGACTGTGAGTGGCCCGCAAGTCTGTGTCTGAAACACAAGAGTGTTCCTCCAGATTGACAACTGTTGCGACCTTGACTGGCTGCCAAGGCTGGGTTCACCCGTCCGCAACCCAACCCTTACTGTTGTCAACCATGGTTACGTGGTTACCACGTGCAGGTACCTGAGCAACAACCGCCTGTCTGGGTCCATCCCTGCTTCCATTGGCCGTCTCGATCGCCTGCGATACATGTGAGCGGGTCGATACATGTGAGTGGCCTGCTGCTTTCCAGATGCTCGTGTGGGTTCCCCGTTGATACATGTGAGCGCGTCGATACATGTGAGTGGGTCGATGCATGTGAGTGAGTCAATACGTCCCCTCTACCTTCGAGTTACCTCCACATGTGCCCGGTATACCCCTCCACATGTGCCCGGTATACCACTCCACATGTGCCCGGTATACCACTCCACATGTGCCCGGTATACCCCTCCACATGTGCCCGGTATACCCCTCCACATGTCCCCGGTATACCCCTCTACATGTCCCCGGTATACCCCTCCACATGTGCCCGGTATACCCCTCCACATGTGCCCGGTATACCACTCCACATGTGCCCGGTATACCACTCCACATGTGCCCGGTATACCCCTCCTTTTCTCCATGGCTTGCCTTCTCAGCATCTCACCCAGCCCCGCACCATCCCAATCATACCGTTCCCCACCGCATCACACCATTCCTGACCGCTCTCCACTCCCACAGGTTCATTGATGTTAACGTGCTCAGTGGGTCCCTTCCTGACTCTATCACTGCGCTCAGTGCACTCGTCTACCTGTGAGTGTACCCCTTATTAGCGTCCTCGGAACTCGTTACTTGCATAGCCGGTGCGCCATGGATAAGGCGCGTACCTCAGTGTGCTCGTCCACCTGTGAGTGTACCCCTTATAAGCCGCCTCCGCATTCGTTCTCTTATCTGTATAACTAGTGTGCTGTGCTGATTCATAGATCTTTACCTCAGTGTGCTTATCTACCTGTGAGCGTACCCTCTATAAGCTTCTTCTGAATTCGTTTCTCGTATGTCACATATCCTGTCAATCATACCTTTGCTATTCTTCTGGCTGTTCCAGTGCACTCATCCACCTGTGTGCGTACCCCTTATTAACCTCCTCGACATTAGCTACTTGAAAGGAGCTCAAGCGCTTATTTTAAGCCATGCACTGCGCACACAGCTCAACTTAGCAACATCCCTGTTTTCCTTTCCTCCCACCATTCCCCTTTCTCCCCCCTTTCTCCCCCTTTTCTCCCCCCTTTCTCCCCCTTTTCTCCCCCCTTTCTCCCCCCTTTATCCCCCCTTTCTCCCCCCTCCCCCCCAGCATCGCAAGCCACAACCTTCTCTCTGGCCCCCTCCCCACCAACATTGGCCAGCTTCCCAAGCTTGCCTTCCTGTAAGCCTCCCTGCCCCTAAGACCTGACCTTGAATTGACCTGACCTGACTTGACTTGGTTTGACTTGACTTGACTTGCCCTTTGAGTTTACTCGAACCCACCAACACAGGCCAGCTTCCCAAGCTTGCCTTCCTGTAAGCCTCCCTGCCCCTAAGACCTCTCGCCGTCCAGCCATGCTGCTTCCGCCTTGTGCCCCGTTCTCTTTGTTACCCACCCTCGCCGACAGGTCTATAAGCAACAACTCTCTATCAGGACCCCTCCCGCCCTCCATGGGCCAGCTCAATCACCTGCAGATCCTGTCAGTGCTGGGGGTGGTGTACGGTGGTGTAGGGTGTGGTAGGTGTGTATGTGGTGATTGCTGGGGGTGAGTGCTGTGCTGGGGGTGGTGAGATGGGTGGGAGTGGTCTAGTCAATGTGGTGTGGGTCCTCCTCCTGCCCTCCTCGGGCCAGCTCAATCACCTGCAGATCCTGTCAGTGCTGGGAATGGTGACAGCCTGGCAGCTCTGGTAAGGCCATGTGGGCCATGTGGGCCATAAGGCACCCCTATTGCGTAACCTCTCTGCTGTTCCAACAACCTTTTGCCTTAGTTTTCCTCCCTCTGCCCTTACCTGTCTCACTCTCCCTCTCACCCTCTCTCCCTTTCACTCTCTCTCCCTCTCGCCCTCTCTCCTCTCGCCCTCTCCCCTCTCCCCCTCTCCCCCTCTCCCCCTCTCCCCCTCTCCCCCTCTCCAGGGATCTGTCTCGCAACCGCCTCTCTGGTGCCATTCCATCCCAGATGCTTCCCAACTCCTCACCCTCTCCTCCATTTCCCCTCTCACCCTCTCCCCCACTTCCCCTCTCTCTCCCTCTCTTCCTCTCCCCTCTCCCCCTCTCCAGGGATCTGTCTCGCAACCGCCTCTCTGGTGCCATTCCAGATGCGTTTGCTGACAAGCCTGCCCTCAACTCCATGTGAGATACGCCCTCCCTCAGATACGACCCCCGTCAGATAAGCGTTCGTGATTACGCCCTCAGCTCCATTAGAGATACAATGATGAGAGAATCAATCCAACCTCACACATCCCTTCCCCTACTACGCATCCTCCTCTTGTCCTTCTATCGACCACGTTTGTCTGCCTTGCTCATTCAGTTTCCCACATCCCCTCTTTCCCTTTTCTCATTCACCCTTGCCCGTTCCCTATCCCTTCCCCATCCTCCCCATCCCACCCTCATCCTCCCTCCCCCCCCTCCCCCCACCAGAGATCTCTCTTTCAACGCTCTCACAGGCCCCCTGCCAGTGATCAAAACTAGATTCCCCATCCCACCCCCATCCTCCGCCACCGCCCCTCGCCAGTGATCTCCCCATCCTTCAACGCTCTCACAGGGCCTCTGTTATCGAGGCGCCTCAGAAATAGATTCCCAATCCTTCCCCACCGCCCCCCACCAGAGATCTCTCTTTCAACGCTCTCACAGGCCCCCTTCCTCCCACGCTGTCCACCTGTGCCTCTCTCTACGCGCTGTAAGGAGCTCCTGTTTCCTAAATAAGAGATCTCTGTACTGTATAAGATAATCCCGTACACGCTGTAAGCATCTCCTGTTCACTCTTTCAACTCTTTCACGCACTCCCTGCCACCACTCTGTCCAACTGCAGATTTCTGCACTCTCTATAAGCTGTACTTTTCCATCACTCCGTACAAGCAGCACTTTTCCACCACATAAGCAGCTCCCATGAACCTACATTCACCCCCCCCGCCTCTCCCCTTCCCAACCCCTGCCCTGCCCCACCCCGACCAGGGACGTCAGCAGCAACTCTCTCAGCGGCGCTCCCGCCACCGTTGTCAGCAACATGCCTACCCTCTCCTACCTGTATGGCCCTCCTCTCCCTTCGTCTGTAACCCTCCCTCTGCTTGTTTCCGCTCCCGGCACCACAGTCAGCACCATGCCCACCCTCTCCTACCTGTACGCCTCTTCTCCCCCTGTCTCTCTCTCTGCTTGCTTCCGCTCCTGTCACCATCGCCAGCGTCATACCCTCCTCCTCTCCCTCCCCTACATGTACTTCCTTTCCTGTCCTCCTAACCCCTCCCTCTTCACTCTCCCCCCCTGCTCCCCACCCGTTACCCCTGCCTTTCTCCCATGCACCCCTACCAGCACCCCTCCTGTCACCACACCATCCCTCCCTCTCAGCAACCTATCTCAAAACTTCTTCACAATGCTGGTCCCCAGAGTGATGGGGTAACGGACAGCCAGCAGATGGTCTCCTATGATATCAGCTCCAGCTACTTTCACGGCCCTGGCTTGTTTCCAACACCACCCCCCCTCATCTCCCCTCTCCACCCCTTACTGCCCGTTCCACCCGTCTGCACCCGTCTGCACCCCCCTCCACCTCTCTCCATCCCTTGCTGCCTTCCCAGCAACCTGTCTCAGACCTTCTTCACAGGCGAACTCCTGCGTGTAACGGACAGCCAGCAGATGGTCTCCTACGATATCAGCTCCAACTATTTCCATGGGCCCGGACTCGTATCCGACACCACCCCCCTCTCCGTCCCTTGCTTCCCCTTGCTGTCCCTCCCATCCATCCCAGCAATCTATCTCAAAACTACTTTACAGGCCTGGTCCCGCGTGTAACGGACAGCCAGCAGATGGTCTCCTATGATATCAGCTCCAACTATTTCCATGGACCTGGGCTTGTTTCCGACACCACCCCCCTCGCGCTGCCCCTCTGCAAGACGGGGTTCGAGCCGGGAACCTTCTCGGCAGCTTCCAACTGCCTGGTGTATGGCGTTGCGACGGAGAATTCCTGCCCCACTCGCACCGGCCCCATGAGCACAGGGGAGCTGCTGCAGGTGGGTGTAGTCACAGGGGTATAGATGGGTATAGATGGGTATGGAGTGTGGGGGTGCGATGGAGAACTCCTGCCCCACTCGCACGGGGCCCATGAGCACAGATTCAGTTCTATGTTCCCATGCCCTCTGCTCTCCCCTGGACCCCTCTTCTCTCCCGTGTTTCACCCCACACCAGGTAGACACCCAGCGCTCTGAAGTTTTGAGACGTCTCAAAACAACACTTTTATCACGTGGCTTCTCTCCCGTGTTTCACCCCACACCAGGTGGACACCCAGCGCTCTGAAGCAGCCTGTTCCGCCTTCTGCCGCACCAACGTCACTGGCACGCCCCCGCCAACTCCCAGTGCGGCTCTCTCCTTAGATGCTCCCGCTGCCCCCTGCTCTCACCCACCACTCCACCCACACCAGGTCGACACCCAACGCTCAGCAGCAGCCTGCCTCGCCTTTTGTCGCACAAACGTCACTCGCACCGCGGGCAACTCCCAGTGCGGCTCGCTGGGGACGTGCGTGGTGGAGTTGTCAGGGTCTCCCCCCCGCCCCTCCTTCACCTGCGACTGCTTCAAGGGGACTCTCCGCTCCCCCGACGGGCTAAACTGCTCCGCAATCGGTAAGTCCTGTGTCTCGCTCTCTTGTCCCGCCAACCAACGTCACTCGCACCGCGGGCAACTCCCAGTGCGGCTCTCTGGGGACGTGCGTGGTGGAGATGACAGGAATCCCCCTCCGCCCCTCCTTCTCCTGCGACTGCTTCAAGGGGACTCTTCGCTCCCCTGACGGCCTAAATTGCACGGCTATTGGTAAGGCCCGATTCGCATCCCGTACAGTGATAGTATGGTCGTTAGCGCTGCCGTTCACCCCCCCACCCGCCCCTCCTGACTTTTGAGTCGACTCAAAAGTCAGCATGATAGTATGGTCGTTGGCGCTGCCGTTCACCCCCCCAACCGCCCCTCCTCCTGCGACTGCTTCAAGGGAACTCTCCGCTCCCCTGACAGCCTAAACTGCACCGCAATTGGTAAGCCTGTGTCTCGCTCTCTTATCCCACCAACATCACTCGCACCGCTGGCAACTCTCAGTGCGGCTCTCTGGGGACTTGCGTGGTGGAGATCACCGGTAGGGCGTGTGTTGGTAGGGCGTGTGTTGGTAGGGCGTGTGTTGGTAGGGCGTGGGTTGGTAGGGCGTGGGTTGGTAGGGCGTGTGTTGGTAGGGCGTGTGTTGGTAGGGCGTGGGTTGGTAGGGCGTGGGTTGGTAGGGCGTGTGTTGGTAGGGCGTGTGTTGGTAGGGCGTGTGTTGGTAGGGCGTGTGTTGGTAGGGCGTGTGTCGGTAGGGCGTGTGTTGGTAGGGCGTGTGTTGGTAGGGCGTGTGTTGGTAGGGCGTGTGTCGCTAGGGCGTGTGTTGGTAGGGCGTGTGTTGGTAGGGCGTGTGTTGGTAGGGCGTGTGTCGGTAGGGCGTGTGTTGGTAGGGCGTGTGTTGGTAGGGCGTGTGTTGGTAGGGCGTGTGTTGGTAGGGCGTGTGTTGGTAGGGCGTGTGTCGGTAGGGCGTGTGTTGGTAGGGCGTGTGTTGGTAGGGCGTGTGTTGGTAGGGCGTGTGTTGGTAGGGCGTGTGTTGGTAGGGCGTGTGTTGGTAGGGCGTGTGTCGGTAGGGCGTGTGTTGGTAGGGCGTGTGTTGCACCACAGTGCACTTCTTGTGGGGTTAGTGCCGTCATTCACCCACTTCGCTCTGGTTAGTGCCGTCATTTACCCACTTCGTTCTGTCCTTCCTACTCCTCTGCAATTACTTACTACTCCAGAACCCAAACATGCCTTCTTGTTTCTTGCTTTTTTCCCTTCTCCTTCCCCTTCCCCTTCCCCTTTCCCTTCCCCTTTCCCTTCCCCTTCCCCTTTCCCTTCCGCTTCCCCTTCCCCTTCTCTTCCCCCCCAACTGCAGAGAAACCCTCCCCTTCACCTCCTCCCCCCCGCCCACCGCCTCCCCGTTCGCCTCCTCCCTCCTCGCCTCCCGCCACTACTCCTCTTCCGAGTCCCCCCCCACCCACTCCTTCCCCTCCGCCGCCTTCCCCGCCCCCCCCTTCCCCTCCCCCCCCTTCCCCGCCCCCACCAACGCCCCCTGCTGACTCAGTGGATGTTGAAACAGCAGCTGCCCCAACCCCTGCGCCTGTCTCTCCCCCTGATAGCCCCCCTCCCCCTAGCCCCCCTCCCCCATCCCCTCCCCCTTCCCCTCCCCCACCCTCCCCTCCTTTAGAAAGCCCCCCTCCGCCCTCCCCTCCTCCCCCTTCCCCTCCCCCGCCCTCCCCTCCTGTCGACAGCCCTCCTCCCCCTACCCCCCCTCCTTCTCCCCCCCTCGAATCCCCCCCACCGCCCTCCCCACCCCCTCCATCTCCTCCCCCTCCCTCGCCACCACCATCACCTCCTCCTCCTTCCCCTCCTCCGCCCTCTCCCCCTCCTCCCTCCCCTCCTCCGCCCTCTCCCCCTCCCCCCACCCCCCCTCCGCCTTCCCCAAGCCTTCGGGAGGAGGATTTGGATGCCACAGCCAATGGGAACTTGCCAGCTGTCCCTCCGGACTCTCCCCCACCTCCCCCTGACTCTCCCCCTCCCCCACCACCAGACTCGCCCCCTCCCTCTCCGCCTCCTTTCCCCCCTCCCTTCCCCCCTCCGTCCCCTCCTCCTCCCCCTCCCTCTCCTCCTCCTTCTCCCCCTCCCTCTCCTCCTCCTTCTCCCCCTCCCTCTCCTCCTCCTTCTCCTCCTCCCTCTCCTCCTCCCTCCCCTCCTCCTTCTCCTCCTCCCTCTCCTCCTCCCTCTCCTCCCAAACCTCCTCCCTCTCCTCCCCCCAACCCTCCTCCCTCTCCTCCCCCCAGGCCTCCCCCCTCCCCTCCTCCCTCCCCTCCTCCCTCTCCTCCACCCCCCTCTCCTCCCCCTCCCCGGCCACCCCCACCATCTCCCCCTCCCCCGTCCCCACCGCTCGCCTCTCCTCCGCCGCCCGCCCCCCCTCCCCCACCAACCACTGTCAACGGGGCCAAGTGTGGGTGGTTCCTGGGGTATTACAAGTGCGAGAACCACGACAGCAATTGGGCTGCATAGAGCTAGTTGGCAGGGGCGGGTGGGAGGGCATGAGGAACACGGACCGCTTTGGGGGCAAGTGTGGGTGGTTCCTGGGGTGCTATAAGTGCGAGAACCAAACCACGACAGCAATTGGGCTGCATAGAGCTTCTTGGCTGGTAGAGGAAAGAGGGGCATGAGGAGCAGCGACTGCCCTGGGTGGCGCCAACTGAGGGTTGTTGGGGCAGGTGTGGGAGGTGGTTCCTGGGGTGCTATAAGTGCGGGAACCAAACCACGACAGCAATTGGGCTGTGTAAGGCTATGCGGCTGGTGGGGAGGAGCATGAGGGGCAGTGACTGCTGTGTGGGGCAAAGCAAGTGTGGGTCGGGGCCAAGTGTGGGTGGTGTCTGGGGTACTCTAGGTGTGATAACAATGACAGCGATTGGATTGTGTAAAGCTCTTTGGCTGGTTGGGGTGGGAGGAGCAGAAACCGCTACGGAGTATAGTGCGGGAGGGGCGTGAGGGACAGGAAGACCAGACCATTCTATGGAATCAAGTGTGGGTGGTTCCTGGGGCGCTACAAGTGCGAGAACCACGACAGCAATGTGGTTGCGTAAAGCTGTTCGTCTGGTTCGGGTGGGAGGGAGGGGCATGAGGAACAGAGACCGTTCTGGAGTCAAGTGTAGGTGGCTGGTTGTGGTTCCTGGGATACAAGAAGTATTAGAAGTGACTGTTCTGGTGTAAAGCTTTTCGTCTGGTTGGGTTGGGAGGGAGGGGCGTGAGGAACAGAAATCGCTCTGAGGGCAAGTGTGCGTCGGGGCTTGTTGGGACTGACAGGCAGGGCAGACCAGGGTTGCTCTGAGGGTCCGTTCCAGATGGTTTGATGGAGGGGATTCCCTGGACACAAGTTGAAACCGAGGTGTACTATATAGGTAACTCAGATGGTATTCGATGATATGGTAAGACAGAAGCTGGCTGATGCTGCTTGAAACATCTGGGTTGAAATCAGTAGGTTGGTTGGAGATACGACTCAAAACCAATACGAGGGCTTGGTTGGTATCAGCCGTATCCGAACCATTACAGCCTGTTTTGCGAGAACCATGAGTCATGAGTATGACCATATCACGCCATAATATTGTATGAATGAAAATGGCTAGAAACAATACCGGCTGGCTTTTGCGTTGGCTACACCTGGTCCGCGGTATTTTAACCGCCGCTATCTTAACCGCGCGAGGGGTACTTCTCCTTGGTCAAACTTGTTATTACGAGCAGTTCAAAATTTTAATGAGGGTATAAATTAGCATCCCCTTCTCGATGTGACGGCAGTAAAAACTTTGTCAATGCTGGTCCGCCCTCTATCTCGGAGCACTACGTGTGAGTTTTGGTAGACGGGAATGCTTCCGGCTGCAAACAACTACGGTAGCTCTGAAGACTCTGGGTGTCCATATCGTTACCCGAAAACAAACAAAGGGCATTTGAAGCGAAACCGTCCACGTGGTTAAAAAACGCGGACTAGGTGTACTGTTGCGGATCTTGGTGAGTGGTTGTAAGGAATTTTCCCCTTTTCTTACCGGGGTTGACTGCTACGCGTGCAACCCCGACTTTTCGGACTTCGCACGTTCAGCCGACATTCACGACCCCGAGGCTGCTCCGCATTGCCTTCGGTTCTCCGATCGCCAAACCTGCACCCAACCTCGCATCTATGAGGTTTCCTCCTAGCTAGGCTAAGGGCGGGTCCAACTTTGCACATGTACAATTTTTTTTCAAGACAGTTACCAGATTAAGGCATGTAACAGAACTTTTAACGTACTCAAATGCATTTGACGCGAAACTGTACATAACTGACGACAATTCGGAAACGTGCCCCGGAACGTGCGGCACACATCCGAATTTCGCCTGGCAATGCATTTCAGACCTCGATTCGCGTCAAACACGTCAAACAGTAACTCTTATTTTTTGCCAGTGTCCTTTCGCCACTGAATTCGCCCCGCCGCCAGATTGCTGGGTGGATGATTTGCGTTCCCTCGTGTGCTGGAAATGTGCTGTTCGACATTGCAGGCACGGTCCGGCGCGCGAGAGACTGCCGCCAAACCACCTGTGATATCAGGTAACCCCATTGAGAAAGCTTGCTTTCTGTTCTTGCAAAGGCAACTGGCTTCATTACAATTGCAGTAATACAACATTCTCGTCCAACTATGGATCATACAAATATTGGTACAACTAGGGTGGGTGGGTGGGGAGTGAAACTGCAAAGTTCTGAAATGAAGTCGTGGGTGGAGGCCGAATGGCCTCCAACCCTCGTTATGTACTCGGCGAATTGTAATTCGCCGTTGCTTTGCCTCGTTACAGGCAGCTGCGCTTTCACAATACACATTTTTAGAAAGTGTTACACACTTTCGAAAATTTTCATATTTGTGGCACTGTACATTGCCTCGATATTGTACCTTGTCAGAGGGAACAGTTGTACACTCTGTAACTGGACAAGGAATGTTCAGGGTACACCTTTGGGTACAGTCAAATTTGACGATACCAATGACGTGAAAATTACGTAAAAAACAGAAGTGTGCAAAGTTGGACCCGCCCTAATCACTATATTAGCACGCGCCTTCATTGTATTGTATGATCAGTGCATTGATTGAGTCACGTTCTCGCTATTCGTTATTCCACGCAAATCTGTTTAGCTCATAATAGTGGTGAATCTGGGTTACTACAGTACCAGATACCGCTCCAAACTTAAAAAAATGTAATTCAATCAAAGATTGCAGGTGGCACTGGGTGCTGACAGTTATTGATGGGTGTTGTTGTGGATGTCTTCTAATGTAATCCACCTCTGAGAACCAAGTGCCGGCCAGAAGGAAGTCTCATAGGAATAACGACTGTCAAAGTATATACATGTTATATATGTGTAGGCTGTAGTGGGGTAGCCAATATGGGGTACAGCCTCTTTTAGGGTTTCATACTTGTACCCAACTCTTCCATAGTTGATCGATCCTGTCTCTAGATTCTAACATGGTATCAGAGCAGTAGGTCCGTAGGACCGTCTTTTTTTTTCAGGCCCACCTACCGCTAGCCCACGACTGTGACTGTGACTGTGCCTGTAACGTGCTGCGCTACGCGCGTCGTCTGCATGCTGCCTGCTGTCTGCTGACTGCGCGGTCTGCTACTGCTCAGAGCGCGCAGACCTGATTCCTGCGCGCGGCCCGGTTTTTGCCCTGCGTGTCACCCAAGCTGCCCGAGTCGCGCCTCGGCAGCCCGCGCGCGGCTCGCTGCTGCTCCGCGCGCAGCGTCCGCAGCCCGCGCTGCTTGCTGCAGCCCCGCGCGTCGCGTCCGCTGCCCGCGCGTCGCGCTGCAGCCCCGCGCGTCGCGTCCGCTGCCCGCGCGTCGCGCTGCAGCCCCGCGCGTCGCGTCCGCTGCCCGCGCGTCGCGCTGCAGCCCCGCGCGCCGCGGCTGCTGTCCTCGCGCGGCCCGCTGCGGCTTCGCGCGCCGCACTCGCAGCTCGCGTAGCCCGCTGCAGCCCCGCGCGCCGCGGCTGCCCCTGTTCGTCGCGGCGCCCCCCCCCCCCCCCCCCCCCCCCCCCTGGACGTCGCCCCGGCCTGTCGCGACGCCCCCCCCTGGACGCCGCCCCTGCCTGACTGCCGCCGTCGCTCCTGCAGCAGCTGCCGCGGAGCGCCCTGCCACGGTCGCGGCCCCGCCCTGCAGAAGCTGCCGCGGAGCCTCTTGCTGCTGTCGCGGCCCCACCCTGCAGCAGTCCTCGCGGCCCCGCCCTGCAGCAGTCCTCGCGGCCCCGCCCTGCAGCAGTCCTCGCGGCCCCGCCCTGCACAGTCACGACCCCGCCCTGCAGCAGCTGTCGCGGACCTGCTCTACCGCCGACGCGGCCCTGCTCTGCCGCAGCTGTCGCGGCCCCGCCGTCGCCGCCGTCGTGCGCCTACCCGGCCGCCGCCCGCCGAGCGCCGGCCCTGCTCGCCCGGCGAGCGCCTGCCCTTCCCGCCACTGGTGAGCACCTACATTGTTCGCGCGCTGCCGCGCCATCTGCCTGCGTGTCTGCCTGGCTGCCTATTTGCCTGCCTGCCGCACCTGCCTGCCGCACCTGCCCTGCCCGCGCTGCTGCTGCTGCTAGCAGCTTCGTGAGTGGTACGCTAGTTGGGGTTGTGGCGGTAGCCATCGTAGCTGTCGCCCTGGAGCTGGTCAGTTGGGAGCGTCTCGCAGTGGCCAGCTGCTGCTGCAGCGGCGTCCACGCGAGACACTCACGTCCCAGCAGCTTCACGAGTGGTACGCTCAGAGTAGAGGGTCTCGGAGTACCGTTCGCTGCCCGTACATCATTCGCACAGGTGATCGGGCTGGTCAGGCTTGCGGGACGCTTGGTCACACATAGTCCCGCTGCTTCGCCCGTCTGAGCGACGCCTGGCGTAACGAGTTTGGCGACGAGGCTGAGCTCCCCACCTGGCTGGAGCTGCTTAGGCAGAGGGTAGATATCTTTGCTCTTGACTATGATGCTATTCTCACTGCCATGTATGCATTGCCTACTAGTGCTGATGGTGCCTGTTACCTGTGCGTACCGCCTGACCCAGGTATAGAGCCTGCTGCTCCATGTACTGGTGAGGCTGCTGCTCTGGGTGCTAGTGCGTCTCCTGCTCTAGGTACTGGTGAGGCTGCTGCTCTAGGTATCCCTGGCAGACCCCTCTGGGGGTCCAGTCCTTGCGCACTCCTCCACGGTCCTGCCGTGTCCGGCGGTCCCGTCTGGCTCCCTGTCAGGTCTTCACCTCCCCTCGTTCTCTACGAACTTGGTGAGTGGTGCTGACCTCCAGGACCAGTGGGTTGACCAGTTCACTCCTGGAGGTCAGCGCGTGACCCACTGTACGTGCTCCCGGACGGGCCGGCACCTGGCCACGTTTACCCGTGCGCCTGGCTCGAGTTTGTACACACTGACTAATGTGTCCCCTCAGGTCGCTGCGTCTCCGTCTGCGTCAGGTCAGCTAGCGACCCCCTGCTCGTGTCGCGCTTTGTCGCACCAGACCCTCCTTTGGCACCACCGCCTTGGTCAACCCTCGGTGCAGCGCCTTCGTAGCATGCACCGCCGTGTCCTTGTCTCTGGTCTTCCCAAGGTTCTCCCTCCCCTCCCACCCTCGCCTGCTCCTCCCTGTCTTCCCTGTGTCGAGGGGCGGCAGCGCGCCGCTCCTCACTCCTCCTCGTTTCCCCCGACGACTGCTCCCCTGCAGACCCTGCACATGGACGTGTGGGGCCCAGCCCGCGTCAGTGGGCAGGACCGCGAGCAGTACTTCCTGCTGGTTGTTGCCGATTACTCGCGTTACACCACGGTCTTCCTCTTGCGCACCAAGGGTGAGGTCCCTGATGTTTTGATCCCTTGGATCCGCGCTGCCCGTCTCCAGCTCCGTGAGCGGTTCGGGACGGAGTTTTTCGTCCTCCGTCTGCACTCTGACAAAGGTGGGGAGTTTTCCTCCGACCTCCTGCAGAGATTGTGTCGTGGGGAGGGCATTCCCCAGACGTTCACGCTTCCGGCCTCTCCGCAGCAGAATGGGGTTGCTGAGCGCCGCATTGGCTTGGTCATGGAGGTCGCTCGTACCTCCATGGTCCATGCGGCTGCCCCCCATTTTCTGTGGCCGTTTGCGGTCCGCTACGCCGCGCATCAGCTCAACCTCTGGCCCCGTGTCTCCTTGCCGGAGACCTCGCCCGCACTGCGGTGGACGGGGGAGGTTGGCGATGCGTCGGTGTTCCGGGTCTGGGGTTCTCGTGCCTTTGTCCGCGATACCACCGCGGACAAGCTCTCCGCCCGCGGTGTTCCCTGTGTCTTCCTTGGCTTTGTCCCTGACGCGCCTGGTTGGCAGTTTTACCACCCCACCTCGCGCCGTGTCTTCCCTTCTCAGGATGTCACGATCGACGAGTCGGTTCCCTTTAACCGTCTCTTCCCCTACTACACAGCCCCACTCCCCCCCCCGCCGCTCTTCCTCGCTCCAGGTGCTCCCCAGTTAGACCCCCTCCCCGCTCCCGGTCCTGCTCCTTCAGGTGTGTCTCAGGTAGACCCTCCTCCCTTGACTGCGCCGGTTGAGGTCACTGGTGACTCAGGTCCTGCTGAGGGTGGTCCTGCTCGGGGTGCTGCTTCTGGGGGTGCTAAGCCTGGGGGTGCGAAGTCTGGGGGTACTGGGCCTGGGGGTGCGGAGCCTAGAGGTGCTGAGCCTGGGCGTGAGGAGTCTGGGGGTGCTGAGCCTGGGGGTGCTGAGTCTGGGGGTGCTGCACCTGGGGGCGCTGCGGCGTCCGGTGAGCAGTCTCCCTGGAGCGGCCGTCTCCGTGATCGCTCTGCTGGTGCCTCGCCGCTGCACTCTTGTCCTCTCCCTCTCTCCCCACAGCAGCTGCGTGAGTGGTACGTTGGCCGTCAGGGTCGAGCTGCTGGAGCTGGGGGCCCTGCTGCGGGAGGCGCTGGTGTTGGAGGCACTGGAGCCGGCACTGTCCCTCTCTCCCCACAGCAGCTGCGTGAGTGGTACGTTAGCCGTCAGGGTCGCGCTGCTGGAGCTAGGGGCCCTGCTACGGGAGGCGCTGGAGCTGGTGACTCTGCTACTGGAGTTGTTTCTACTGGAGTTCCTGGGGCAGCTGGTCTCGGAGGTGCTCGTACTGGAGGTACTGGAGCTGCTGGGGCTGGAGGTCCTGCTGGACCTGGAGGTGCTGCTGTTGACTCTGAGGTTGGAGGCCCTGGAGCTGGGGGTGCCGGTTCTGGGGGTGCTACTATTGGTGGCACTGGAGCTGGAGGTTCTGGAGCTGCTGCAGGTGCTGGCGCTGGAGGTTCTGGCCCTGTTGGAGGTGCTGGCGCTGGTGGCGCTGGAGCTGGAGGTTCTGGAGCTGCTGCGGGTGCTGGCGCTGGAGGTTCTATAGCTGTTGGAGGTGCTAGCGCTGGCAGCGCCGGAGCTGGAGGTTTTGGAGCTGCTGCGGGTGCAGGCGCTGGAGGTTCTGGAGCTGTTGGAGGTGCTAGCGCTGGTAGCGCCGGAGCTGGAGGTTCTGGAGCTGCTGCGGGTGCTGGCGCTAGAGGTTCTGGAGCTGTTGGAGGTGCTGGCGCTGGTGGCGCCGGAGCTGGAGGTTCTGGAGCTGCTGCGGGTGCTGGAGGTGGAGGTTCTGGAGCTGCAGGAGGTGCTGGAGCTACTGGTGCTGGTGGCGTTGCGCCGCCGCGACTGCTCTTCGCTCCGCCGTCACCTTCGTCTCTGCCACCGCCTGGCTCCGTGCTTCGCCAGGTTCTTAGCCTCCCGTCATCTACTGGTCTTCCGTTACAGCCTGACTCACCGCTGCCTACTCCTTCTCCTTACACTGAGCTGATAGGCGGTCTTACTGAACGTCGTGAGCCTGCGTCTCGTCCTGTCTTGCCTGTTCGCACTGGTCGTACTGGTCGTCGTGTTCCTCGTGAGCGTCCGCCGGCTGTCCCCGGCACACACCTCATGGCCCTGCGTCCTTCCTCTGCTCCGCAGCGTGTTCCCCTGCCCTCCCCGCCTGCGTCTTCTCTGCCTGACGTTCCAGAGCCTAATTCTGACCGCGCTCGTGCTGCTCACCTTACTGTCACGCGTCTGCTAGCCACAGCTGTCACTGACCCGTCGTTTGAGTCTGCTGCTGCGTTTGCCTTAGTCGCTGAGCTTGTTGACTTTGCTGCTGCCTGTCGTCTAGACTACGCCACTAGTCTTGTTGCTGAGTCTGAGTCTGTCTGTCCTCCGTCCGTCGGGGGTGAGTGTGATCTTGGCACGGACGTCCTTGAGGACAGGCAGGAGGACCTTGAGTGTCTTGCAGCCGCTGCGCCTCATATCGTGTCCATGCTGCTTGCCCCTGAGGGAGACCCGGATGCTCCAGACATCCCGACCCCGCGCTCTTACGCTGAAGCGATAGCGGGTGAGTACTCCTCTCAGTGGCAGACAGCCATGGATGCAGAGATGGCATCCTGGAAGTCCACAGGCACTTACGTTGACGAGGTTCCCCCTCCTGGGGCGAACATCGTCGATGGCATGTGGATTTTCTGGGTGAAGCGGCCGCCAGGTTCTCCGCCTGTCTTCAAGGCTCGTTACGTTGCTCGAGGTTTCTGTCAGCGAGAGGGAGTAGACTTCTTCCAGACCTTCTCTACCACCCCGAAGATGACCACTCTTCGGGTGCTGCTGCACGTTGCCGCTCAGCGTGACTACGAGCTTCACTCTCTTGACTTCAGCACAACTTTCTTACAAGGCAGCCTACACGAGGAGATCTGGCTGCGCCGCCCTCTTGGCTTCACTGGGTCGTTCCCTCCTGGTACCCAGTGGAGCCTCCAGCGGCCGGTCTACGGTCTCCGCCAGGCGCCACGTGAGTGGCACGACACACTGAGGACGAGACTTGCTGCTCTTGGGTTTGCTCCGTCGACTGCTGACCCGTCGATGTTTCTGCGCACCGACACTTCACTGCCGCTGTTCTACATCCTCGTGTACGTCGACGACTTGGTCTTTGCCACTGCTGACACTGAGGCTCTTGCCCTAGTGAAGTCGGAGCTGCAGAAGAGACACACGTGCACAGACCTGGGTGAGCTGCGCAGTTACCTTGGCTTGCAGATCACCCGGGACAGAGCACGCCGCACCATCACACTGACTCAGTCACACATGGTGCAGCAGGTCCTTCAGCGCTTCGGCTTCACCTGGTCCTCGCCACAGCACACTCCTCTGGCTACAGGTCACTCGCTCTCAGCTCCACCTTCGGATGAGTCCGTAGAGCCGAATGGTCCTTACCCAGAGCAAGTGGGCTGCCTCATGTACTTGATGACCTGCACTCGTCCTGACCTTGCGTACCCTCTTGGCCTTCTGGCTCGCTACGTGGCTCCTGGTAGGCGCCGAAAGGTGCACATGGATGCTGCTAAGAGGGTACTGCGCTACTTGTGCAGTACATCGGGCATGGGGCTCGTGCTTGGAGGACGGGGCGACGTTGTCCTCACTGGGCACTCAGACGCTTCTTGGGTTGACGACCTGGCTACGCAGCGGTCGTCATAGGGTTACACCAGGAGTTATGCTGGCTCACCTACCTGCTGACCGACCTGGGAGAGCGGCCTCGTTCTCCTCCAGTGCTGTACGTCGACAACAAGGCCGCCATTGCCTTGTGTCAGGAGCACAGAACGAAGCACATCGCTCTGCGTTACTTCCTCGCTCGAGAGTTGCAGCAGCGTAGTCAGCTTCATCTTGCTCACGTGGCCATTCGGGCCAACACTGCTGATATATTCACCATGGCACTTCCATCTGGTGATCATAAGCGTTTTTGTACTTAGTTAGGCCTTGTGCCCACGTTTCCTCACTTGCTGTAGACTTTGCTTGTACCGTGATCTATATATACCTGCATGCTTGCTCTGCTAGGTAGAGATCACTGTGCTGTTGTTGTTGCATATATACCTCTGCATGTGAACTGGCCTTGTGGCCCTTTGCTTGTGCTCAATGTGTGTGGTGATGTTGTGATCCACCCTGAGCTTACTTTGGTTTTCTTGACTGGTCTTATGACCCCTTGTTCTCCGCCACTTTGCCTATGGGGGTGTGTCAAAGTATATGCATGTTATATATGTGTAGGTTGTAGTGGGGTAGCCAATATGGGGTACAACACCTTTTAGGGTTTCATACTTGTACCCAACTCTTCCATAGTTGATCGATTCCTGTCTCTAGATTCTAACAACGACCTCTTAACGTTCCCTCCGAAAATCGTGCGGGGAAATTTACCCTGTGATGTGACCAATCCACAAACTAGTACGGCTTGAAACGATCCTTCCCCTTACCCTTCCGCTTACTCCCTTTCACCCCTCCGCCCTCCCCCCCCTCCTCCTCCTCCTCCTGCCCCTCAATCCCCTCCCATTGGCACAAGCACCCATCCTCCCCTCCTGTCCAAAACGCCACAGCCATTCCTCGAGACACAGGCGCATGAGATGGTGGCAGTGCCACTCTCACCACATCCCTCACCACCCCCGAATGGGCCCCGGATAACAGCATGTCCGGGCCGCTGACCTGGCAGCTGCCAGGTGGCACGCTCGCACCGCTGCCACGTGGATCCTCTGTCATCATTGCATCATCATCATCATTACGAGCAGCGGCCGCAGCAGCAGTAGCGGGTCCCGAAGGTTGGGATGGGTTGGAGACGGTGTGGGGCAGGGAGATGGGGAAGGCTGCTGCATGACCCAGGTGGGAACCGGCAAAGAGGCGAAGGCGGGGGGTGGGCGAGGGGGAGTAGTCACAGGCAATCAGATAATCCACCTGTATGGGTAGAGGGAGAGAGAGAGCGAGAGCGAGAGGGTGAGGAAAGGCCAATGCAGGGGGGAGAGTAGAGACAAGTAGAGAGAGATGAAGGGGCAAAGAGGCAGAGGGGAGTGGGTGAGGGGGAGTAGTCACAGGCAATCAGATAATCCACCTGTATGGGCAGTGGGGGAGAGAGGGAGGGAGGGGGGGAGGGATGGTCAAGTGCGGTGGGGGGAGGTGAGACAATCAGAGAAAATTAAAGAGGCGGAGGCGGGGGAGGGCGAGGGGGGGAATCGTCACAGGTTATCAGAAAAGCCACCTGCATGGGCAGTCGGGGGGAAGACAGAGGGAGGGGGGGAGGGAGATGGGGAAGGAGGCGGCATGACACAAATGATACAAGTGGGAACCGGCAAAGAGGCGTAGGGTGGGGGGTGGTGGGCGAGGGGGAGTAGACTCATGCTATCAGGTAATCCACCCTGAAGCCGAGAGAAAGCTTTTGAGACGTCTCAAAAATAGACACATGCTATCAGGTAATCCACCCTGAAGCCGAGAGAAAGGAAAGGATGGTGAGTGAATGGCAGAGTTTGGAGGAGAATTAGAGAAAAGTAGGAGGATACGATGGGGACGAGGTTGACAGCGGCAGAGTGGCTACAGGCCAAGAAGACGACACAGGAAAAAAAGAAAATTCAGAACAGAGAACAAGGTAGCAGGGGAGACCAAAGGTGCCATAGAGAGAAATATAGGGAGTCCCAGCAAGCCCTTCAACCGGGCTTGGAAATGCCTCGAATCTCAGCACCTGCACTGAGATGCAGACGCACCAAGGGAAAGAGAACACTCACAGGGACTTGAAGGGGCCACTTTTCGGAGAGAGTTGACCGGATGTCACCAAAAGAAGCAATGGGATCGCCAGTCCAGACATCCCAAAGGCTGGTGGGGGGAGAGAGGAGGGGAGGAGGGGAGAGGAAGCGAAGAGGGGAGGAGAGCGAGGAGCGGGAGGAGGGGAGGAAAGGAGATGAGGAGGACAAGAGATGGAGGGATATTGAGAGGAGGAGGAGGAGGAAGAGGAGGAGGAGGAGGAGGAGGAGGAGGAGGAGGAGGAGGAGGAGGAGGAGGAGGAGGAGGAGGAAGAGGAGGAGGAGGAGGAGGAGGAGAGGAAGGTGGGGCAACGGGAGGCGGGTGCTTGCAAGGAGGAGGAATCAAATTTTCTAGCAACAATCAGAAAAACATAGGGTTACCAGTTCAGAAGTCTGAGGAAAAAAGTTGGAAACTAACAGGGTGGAAGGAAGTGGGGACAGGAGGCATTGGAGATAACACCGGGTTAGAGAAAGGGGTTTAGAATCCAGAGCAGTATATGGGGCAGAGGAAGAGATCTCACGAGAGAACGTACGGGAGGGAGGGGAAGTGAAAAGGCGAAGTGGAACCCTTCCGTATTCTGTAAAGATGTTCAGCTACTACCCACCCACCAATCTGAGAGTCTCAACACTGGTACTACCCACCCACCTGAGAGTCTCAACGCTGGTGAGGCACCAAAGAGCAGAGGCAGACGGGCCAAAGAAGCCGATGCGAGAGATGGATGTGCCAGGGCTTATTACCTGATTAGGGAACGAGAAGGAGGGTTGAGGAGTGAGGGATGGAGAAGAGGGGAGGGCGGCCACAGGAGGGAAACAGCAGGAAAGGGGGGTGCTTGTGCTTGGGGTGTGTTCATGGGAAAAGACGTCTGATGACGCGTCTTTTCCAACACCGACTCAGAAATAAACATTGCCCAGCTGATGGAGCGAAGGCAGGCTCTTTCCTTGGAGAGCTGCCCTGAGCTGAGCGCTGCTTATTTCTGAGTCGGTGTTGGATGCGATAAGGAGCAGAAGTACGCTGAAACTAAGCGCAAGCGGAATCCTATTCTAACGCTAGAGGAAGAGCACAAGCACAAGAGGAAGTGCAAACTTTAATGAAAAAGAAAAGGAAAAGAAGAAAACAAATGAAAGAACGAATCAAATTTAGTATGAAGGCAAGGGAAGGGCATTGGGCAACATTGGTCAGGGAAAAGGCAAGAAAAAGGGTACGCAAGGGTATGGGCACTGGGCAGCAGTGATTACGGACTGACTGGAGCGGGTCGGAATCCGCATAACGCTCTGCTGCTGCTGTCGCTGCTGGGGTGGTTACTGCCGAGGCGGAGAGTGATGCCTCGTGGTGTGGAGAGAGGTCAAAGCGGCAGATGAGGCCGTCGAGCGCGGCTGAGAGGAGTGCAGTGCGGTGGAGAGGGTGGAAGCGAACCTGACAGGAAGGGGCAGAAGAGGAAGAGTTGGCAAGGGGTCATAGCCCACCCTAAAAGTGCCCACCTAGTCACGCCACAGCCCACCTGAGCAACGTCGCACCCCACCTGACTGACTTCACACCCCACCTGAGCGACGTCACACCCCACCTGAGCGACGTCACAGCCCACCTGACTGACGTCACAGCCCACCTGAGTGACGTCCTCTGTGTGAGCGTCCTCAAGTCGCCCCAACAGACGGGTGGAGCGCATGTCCCACAGGAGAATCTGAACCAGCAGAGGAATTTCGAAACGGGCAGGAGAGGGAAAAAAAAGGGACAATGGGGAGAGCAAACGTTGATATTTGACACCATGACTGACTTTCTGCAACAGTAGGTACTACCTTCCCCCAGTCAGAACCTCAATTGCCAGATACCACCTCCTCCAATACGAATCTCACCTGCCAGATACCACCTCCCCCACCAGCAGGTGCCCTGTAGACCCCCCTCCCCCGCTGCAGGATTGTCCCAACTGTCTGCCAGATACCACCTCCCCCAGTCAACGCCTCACCTGGGAGTTGCCTCCCGCCGCCAGCAGGTGCCCTGAGGACCCCCCTCCACCACTACACACATCTCCGACCTGCCGAATACCGCCTCCCCCGTCAGCATCTCACTTGGGTAACACCTCCCCCAGTCAGCGCCTCACTTGGGTAACACCTCCCCGCGTCAGCGCCTCACTTAGGTAACACCTCCCTCAGTCAGCGCCTCACCTGTGAGTTGCCCCCTGCCGCCAACAAGTGCCCTGTGTTCCCCCCTCTGCAGCTCCACAGCTCGCCTGGCCCCCCATACGCGGCGCGGGGAACACACCCGCCTAGTGAAGAGCGGACTTATGGGGGGGGCGAGGAGGAGTAGGAGCGCGCCTCACCTGTGAGTTCGCCCCTGCCGCCAGCAGGTGCCCTGTGCTCCCCCCTCCCCCGCTGCAGCTCCACAGCTCGCCCGCCCCCCCATGCGCGGGGAAGACGCCCGCCTAGGGGGGAGGCGCAAGGGGGGTGAGGGTAGGGGGAGGGGAGGCGGGGCCGGAGAGTGAGGGGTGCAAGGAGGCAGCGGGGAAAATTGCCGTTACGTATGGGGAGAAGAACAGAAGGGCGCCAAAACTGTATGAGAACGAAGTCACAGACTATCAGAAACGTCTGCCCAAAGCGGTCCTGGTACCTTCCTTCCGAAACCCAAAACCCGAAAAGATACCCCAGATCATACCTCGCCCAAAACCCTGAAACTTATCCCCAGCCAGCCGCAAGGTCATCCCAAATTTAGCTAGCTGATGAGAAATTTGAGAATTCTCGGCACGGCAGCAAAAGCGCTCACTTGCGATCGAGCGCGCGCGTCCCAAACGTAAACAGCGGATTCGGAGGACGACGACAGAAGCACCTCCTTTCCCGGCCCCGCCCCTCCGAAAGCCGCTTCTGCAAACCCTAAATCCGTCACTGTGCCAGGGTGGCGCGCTGCCACGTCGCCCAGGGACGCGCCGGATGCCACGTCGAAGGATTTGATGGCGGGCGCTGACGTAGACACTGCCAGCACTGGTGAAACCGAGCTGCGGGCATTCGGGAGGATTAGGGTTTCGGAGAAAACCGACATTGAGATGTAATTAGAGAGGATGCGATTTTCCGAAAATATTACATTACGCTGATTATTAAGCAGATACCTATTCTAATCACAAAAGCAGCTCGAGAAGTCAAATTGGTTGCGGATGCAGGCAAATAAAAAGGTAGATTCTCCTTAAGACGTCCGGACAGGCCGAGCTAAAGCAATGTTCAAGAGGAGGTGAAATAGGAAGGATACTTTCACCTAGACCGCTGCTTAGCCGCTTTCCTAGCGCACCTTACGGCGGTCTGCAGAACATAGTCTGGGTCGTCGCTAGTACCAACCACTCTGATCGTGCTCGCTGGTTTCAACTGCTGACCGACAAAGGCCGAAGGGGAGCGGCTGTTACTGCAGCCAGGCCCATCATCCATATTACCTCTCAAGTTCTAGCTGCCTCAAATAGGCGTAGCACGAGCACTAAGTGTCGGGACTAGGGATACAGGAACGAGCTTACGCCTTAGAAGAATCTTCCCTTACTGTATGCTCTGGGTTTTGACCTGCACTGTACAGTTCGTGCACTGTACCTACGACTGATTACTGTAGTTTCGAAGTGGACGAGGATGCTAGGTCTGGCTGGTGGTTTTGATATGAAAACGGTTAATTTTCTTTCGACGTGACTGTTTTCTACCGAGCCTCACAGGCCCAATCTTTGCCGAATCAAATCGTTCAAGCAAAACCTTTGTGTTGTGAAGAATGGGGTTTTCCTGCCCGCGGAAGTTGGATGGTGTCAAAGTTATCAGTTAATGTCTTTCGCAAAATCGGCAGCGCATTCTTGGTACAGTAACCGGCATTTAACGCTCGTTTGATAAAACGCACCATGAATCATCACTTCTCTATGCTTTTCCGAAAATGCTGGACTTTCGGATTGAAATCACCCCTCAACAACATCGTGCGTTTGGAGCCAGCAGAAGTTTTTTTTGGCATGCTCGGCCTGGCTGAACCCCCTCAACCTTGCGCCACCAAGCCGCGTCGCACTTCCCAAGGGCCACATCACCAGGTTTCGCGCCTCCCTGAACCGCCCTCACCTCCAATCACAAGCGCCAGCCGCGTCGTCTCATCCTTGGGCAAATGCGGCTGGGGAGGAAGCACTTCTTCCTGTCCGTCCGATACAAATCCGTCACACGAAAAGACAAATCGTGACAACCCTTTCCCTGGGCGTGAGTGGCCGAAGCAAACCAGGAGAGCACCGCAGGAGAGACTGCGGCAGTCACGGCAACCTGGGCAGCACAGTGCGGGTCCTTGGGGTTGGCCCGCTCAGGTCAGCAAATCACGCGGTCATTCCGCCAGGCAGACTTTTTTCAAAGCCAGCTATGGCAGTCCCAAGACGACCATGGAGGCCACCATCAAGGTCGTCCGTGGGAAATATTGGTCCTTGGGTGGCAATGGTGGATGAGCCATGGTGCTTTTCCCCCCGAGTCGTGACCCTCGCTGTGCTAAACAGGACGAGTGGACAATTGGATTCTCGCATCAGCCGAGCTCCTCTGGCTGGACTGCAAGGGTTTCAGCAAAGCTCCTTAGAGGAAGAATGAAATCATACGGAATCCCATGCGTGAGGAGAAGCAGGTAGATGAATGAATGAATACCCTGTGTTTGCCAAACCTGCCAGGGTTCCGCTGGCACATCATGTGAGCTTGCTGTTTGCTTCACCAGCGTGGTCAACGGTCGGTGCTAACACTCCTGCCTTACCAATCACAACCACGTTTTAAGTTTTGCTTCTAGCCTGAGGGACCGACGGCTAATCCAGGCAATGTTTTAAGCCTTGCATAATATCTTCAGTACGTTCGGTCGTCGTTAGTCTCACCTTCCCAATATTTTAAGCCACCGCTTCGCTGAAGTATCATTTTCTGTATTTAACATACAAGTTAAGAGCAGCAAAGGTGGTTGTTAGCATTGTGATCAGTCTTACCGCAAATGGCGGACGGCGAGGCGAGAACGAAGCGAATCCGACGGCCGGCGTTACTTCCGGGCTTCATCCCGTGGAGCGCGCTCGAACTAGGCCCCCGCAAGAAGCAGGTTACCGTCGAGTCGCCCCAAAAACCGCTCGAGGTGACTCAGGTTTCTCAGGAAAAGCAGAGCCAGCCGCCGCGACAAGGGGAGGACATTATACGGTTAAGCAATCACGGGTCCGCCGCGAGTCGGTCCATTGACGAGTCGCTTGCAGATCATATTGCCGGATCTACCGCCGGGTATCCCCCAGGTTCCAATAGTAATAACGACGCAGAGTTAAACTTCGGGTTAACCACGTCTGGGTTCAAAAGCTTGAAGGATCGGCCAAACGGCCTCAAGGAGGGCGTCACGAAGGACGAGCACGAGAACGAGAACTTTGACGGTAACGTTAACGGTAACGATAACGTTAACGAGTGTCGTCAAGCTTGCGAAACTACTCCGTCTGGCCCGGGCGACTGCCGCGGCGGCTCCAAGCCGCCGATTTACGACGAGCGGCAGAAGAAGCGGAAGCGACCGAAGGTGAAGAGCATCGACGCGGTCTTTATAGATCCTAATCGGCAGGCCGCGGGGATGGCGCTTCGGGAAAGCGCGGCGAGCGCGGAGCGGTCGTCGCAGCAGTCGAAGCCGCGCGGTAGAACAACGTCGAGCGTGGTTGAGGTGAGACGAGAAATGGTTTTGCTGAAACCGTGGTGGTTTTATCACCAAAGGGTAACATCCTTGTAGCTGGATCACTACAGGTACTCACTTTCTGGAGATATATTGATATTCTTGTCCATCGGTTGTCCTTTAAATGCTTAAAAGTCCCCTGTGCCCTGACATACCAGTCAATTAGTTAATTAAGCCATTATCCATCCACCGGCTGTCCTTCGGTTCCCTTCGCCACGGTGTCTTGTTTACCGTTCTGGCTAGTCCGTTTCCGTTCTCGCTGTTGACTTTATAATTCCTTTCACTATGCTGCTTTACGTCCCGACTGGCTTTGGCTATCCCGCGAATTCAGGCGTCAGGACACTGCAGCTACCGACAGACGCGACCGTCGATTCTCGCGCCGCTTCGTCGTAACGCGGGCTCTATGTCTTGTTATAAGGCGGACTCGTTAGCGAGGGAGTCGAGCGGTAGCCACGCGCGCATGATCGAGCGGACTGCCAGCGAAAGCACTCACGAGGGGAGCGGAAATAGGCATGCGTCCTTTCATACACAAACCCGCGGCCTTACCAGCGCCAACCTGTCGAAACGAGACAGAAGCGGGGGGTGCTCGTTAGAAGCCGAGGGCGTGGAGGGACGGAATCGTCCTAGGGTTTCGAAAACGGAGAGCAGGCTTCAAGCGGGTGTGATAGTAGCGAGCGGGAGTCACAAGTGCGTTGCAGAGGACAGTTTGCTAACGGATGACTGCAACAAGGATGACTGTAGCGAGGGGAGCGGAGGCAGGGTGTCGTCCGAGGCTTGGGATGAGATATGCTCCGCTGTAAGCCACAAACGGTGTGCTACAGTGAAGTGCGAAGAGGAAGAGTTACCTGCAACGTCTGCAACAAAAATGTATCTTCCAGGAGCTGTAGTTTGGGCCAAGGTGTGTAATAATTACTGATGTTTGTGAACTTCTCTCTCACTCAAATTGTTTCCCTTCATTTCTCTTACATATATATATATATATATTTTACAATATTTTTTGTGTTGGATTGTGTTTGTTGAAGGTGGATGATAGCAAAGGATGGTGGCCGGCAATGGTGGAGGATTGGATGGATGTGCCTATAACGGTTCGTCTTCTACAGGAACACGAGAGCGACCATGTAGTGAGGCTACTATTAAGAGAAGCAGGGGAGACAAAACACCTATGCATGAAACCACAGTAAGTCTCAACCTCTTCGTACAGTAATTATATACAATTCAAATACACCTATATGAATATACTTGCCGCCTGCCGCTCCTCTCCCTATTTTCTTACCTCGAGTGGACCTTTCATTGATAAAGGTCAAAATACAGCTTTTGTATGCAAGACCTTTGGTGAGACTATGGCTGATATAGAGTTACTGGCAGCCTTCTTACCTAGACGCTTAGATGCCTTCGTTAGGGGGCTCAAGGGTTGAGAAGCATTTTCCCGGGTTCATGGCCCCCTTTCTTACCTCTCTCTCCGTATCCATTGACCCCTTCCCACCCTAGGTTCCTAAAGGATTTTCTGTCGCATGTGGCTCAATTCAGAGGGCAAAGTGAGAGAGCAGCCTTTCAGGACGCCATAGAGAAGGGCCTTCGGCTTGCCTCGGAGGAGCGGACGAGGCTAAGAAACATGCATGCTGCAGCAGCGCATCTTCCGAACCTACGGCCCAGGTTTGGGAGTCTGGGCGGGAAGAAACCTTCCAAAGCTGTGTGCCGTAACGGAACTGCCGCAGCTGCTGATTGCACTCTGAGTGGCAGAGCAATGGCAGGAGCAGGGGCAGGAGCAGGGGCAGGAGCAGAAGCAGAAGCAGGGCCTTTAATGAATGGAGAAGAATTCACACCTCAGGTCTCTGCCGAAGGGGACGCACCGTTAAGGAAATCAAGAAAGAAGGCCAAATCCGGGTTACAGGACAAGGGGAAGGAGTCAAGGGAAGCAGGGGCCAATCAGCTGCTGCCACGCACCCCTCCATTGAAGCAACAGGGTCGGAAGGTGAAGGAGGGAGGAACCAGTCTGGATGAGCAACTCAGGGACCAATCAGAAGGTGCCAGGTGTCCGCCTAGTGAGGTGCTGTGTAGGGCAACTAGAAGCAGCAGCAGCCATCACCCTAAGGCTGGGGTCGTTGGTGCTGTGAAGCAGAGTGAGAGGGGGAGTGAGAGGGGGAGTGAGAGAGCGAGTGAGAAGGAGAGTGAGAGAAGGCGAGTGAGTGAAAGGGAGAGTGAGCAGCAGCGGTTTGAGACTCCTCAGAAAAGGAGGGTGACTAGAGCAGGAAGCAAGGCAGGGGTAGATGGCACAGCAGGAACAACAGGCAAGTCAGGTGCAGGCAAAGCAGGGGCGGGCAGCAGAACAGGAGCAAAGCAAAATAGACCGCTGTCTTTTGAAGAGAGTCACGGAGTGGGGGGGGTGGACGGAAGTGGAAAAGTGGCCGGTAGACTAAGTCCCAACAGACGCTTGGATGTGGATAGATTACTGGATGCGACCCCCTCAAGCCAGGTGAAAAATCAGGTGAAAAGCCAGGTGGAACCACAGGTGTCAGATAAGTCTGAAAGAGTAGGCAAGGCTGAGGCAGTCTGTGAGGAGAAAACGGATCGTGGTGCTGATGAATGGACAGGGGCTGCTTCGGATGAAGTTCCGGGTGCTGCTGATAGGAAGGGGAGTGCTGCTGAAAAGCTGAGTGCCGCTGATAAGGAGCTGACGAAGCAGACAAAATCACAGGTTGTAGCAGAGCGTGAGGTGCGGGAATCGACGAAGCTGCAGCATAGGTTGTGTGACGAGAGGAATGGGCCTGAAGGCAGACGCCACGGTGAAGCGGGGTGTAGTCCGGTGGAGAACGGGGGAGCGAAGCACAGTGCAAAATCAGCATCACCATCAGCAGCAGCAGCAGTAAGAGGGAAAGGCATAGATTCAGCTGCCGCACTGGCGTTTCAAAGGGCGTGTGAGCGAGCAGAGCTTATGGGAATGCCCCCACCCACCTGCAGCCTTACCCCCAATCCCCTCCTCACACCATCCGCATCCTCATGTAGGGATAAACCGGCTAGGAGGCAGCAGGCGTGGCGGGAGGGGGGTTGTGAGGAGCCTCAGGAGCGTTCTGTGTTGAAGGTCGAAGGCCTAAGGGAGCAGCTTTGGCGGGAGGAGTGGGATGAGGAGGAGATTGAGATGGGTTTGAGGGTGGACGGTGGGGAGGAGGGCGGGGAAGGGAGAGGGGAGGGGAGAGAAGAGGACGGAGCAGAGGAGGGAATTGGGCAGGAGGAGAAGGAAAAGAGGGGTGGAAAGAAAAGGGATGGGCAGGAGCAGGAGAAGGGAAAGAAAGAGGAGGAGAAGCAGGAAGGGAAGAGAAGGTTAAAAAAGGGGGTGGAGGGAGAGGGCTGTGAGGCAAGGGGAGGGGAGGAGGAGGGTGGGGAGGAGTGCGATGAGACGTTGGATGAGTATGGGGATAGCTGCAAGCGGTGCCACGAAGTTGGCTTCATGCTGTGAGTGTCGCTTTCTCTCTTTCAAGATACCTTAGATGTAATGTGTGCCACTGTAACGAGGTGACTTAGGTGGATGGGTATGACTTAGATGGACCCTCCCCTGCCGCTGATCCTCTGTACTTCCTCTCCTGCTCCTGTCCCCTTTCTCTCCTCTCCCCCCCCCCACAGTTGCTGTGACAGCAAGGCATGCAACGCCACATACCACCTGCACTGCTTGCACCCTCCCCTGCCGCTGATCCTCTGTACTTTCTTTCCTGCTCCTGTCCTCCTTCTCCCCCCTCTCCCTCAGTTGCTGCTGTGACGGCAAGGCATGCAGCGCCACATACCACCTGCTCTGCTTTCACCCTCCAATGCCTTTGGCTCCTTGCACACTTAGCTCTTCCCCTCCCCCTCTTTCCCCTCCCTCTCCCCATTTTCCCCCTCTCCCCCCCCCTCATCAGTTGCTGTGACGGCAAGGCATGCAGCGCCACATACCACCTGCACTGCTTGGACCCTCCCTTGGACGACGTCCCCCCTGGCCTCTGGTTCTGCCCCGACTGCACCCACAAACTCTTCCCTCTGGGAGCGATTTCTCAGGCGCACTAAGAAAACTACCCCATTCCCCTCCCCTGTCCCTCCCCTTTCACCAGTTGCTGTGACGGCAAGGCATGCAGCGCCACATACCACCTGCACTGCTTGGACCCTCCCTTGGACGACGTCCCCCCTGGCCTCTGGTTCTGCCCCGACTGCACCCACAAACGCTTCTCCCTGGGGGTTCATGCGGTGGTGAGGCGGGCAGTTGAATCCATCTGGGATGTTCGGGCAGCTTCTGCTGGTTTTTCTGCCCGGGATACCCCTGCTGCTGCTTCTGCCAGTGCTGCTGCAGCTGCTGCTTCTGCCAGTGCTGCTGCAGCTGCTGCTGCTACAGCCGGTGCTACAGCCGGGGCTACAGCCGGGGCTACAACCGGTGCTACAGCCGGTGCTACAACCGGTGCTACAGCCGGGGCTACAGCCGGTGCTAAAGCTGGTGCTACAGCCGGTACACAGAACCTTGACATGAGGATGCAAGGTCACGATGACAGTGACTACCACCACCACCATCAACACCACCAGCACAGCCAACTACCGCAACCCCACAACTGCGACCATCCCACCACCCACGAGCACTCCAAACCATCCCACGAGCATCCCTGTGCTGATTGTAGCGGTGAGAAAGAGGGCGTGACAGCAGAAAAACCTGGGGGGACAGGTCCACCCAGGGGGGCTGGGTCTGAGGGGGCTATGCTTGGGGATTTGGAAGGAAAGTGTGAGTCTGATGGGGCGGGGAGTGAGAGTGAGAGTAGTGAGGAGGAGGATGAGATTCCGACCATGGCTGTGTGGGTGGATGAAGAGGAGAGGGGGGTGGAGGGGAGGGAGGAGAATGGGAGGGGCAACGAGGATCGAGATGAGCAGCAGTTTGTGCAAGGTCAGCTGCAGCAGGGGGAGAAGCAGCAACAGGATAAGCAGCAGCAGCAGCAGAAGGAGAAGCAGCAGGGAAAGCAGAAGCAGCAGCAGCTGGAGAAGAAGGAGAAGAAGAAGCAGCAGCGTCAGGTGGGGAGGGAGGGGGGAGAAAAGAGAGTGATGGAACTACGAACAACCAGGTCGCACGATCAGTGTGGTTCAGGGCGGTTGAGAGGTGCAGCGGCAGGGGCAGCAGAGTCAGTAAGGGCTTGTAACGGAACAAACAATGGCAGTACAGGGCCAATCAGAGGGAGAGGAGGAGGCAGAGGAAGAAGTGGAGGAAGAGGAGGAAGAGGAGGGGGGAGAGGAGCCGTGGCAGGAGGAGCGGATGGTGGGAGGAGTGAGAGGATGGGGCAAGAGGTAAAGAAGCCAGGAAGAGGGTTGGGAGATAGAACAGGGTTACCAGGAGTAGAAGGGGAAGGGGCAGCCAGATGTTTGTTAGAAGGAACTGCTGACATTGCTTGGTGCAATGGTGGGAGTAATGGTGCCAGTCTTGGTGGTGGGGGTGGTGGGGGTGGTGGCGGCAGTGGTGGTGGTGGTGCTGCTGGTGCTGGTAATGGGGCAGCTAAGTGCGAGTACTTTGTTAAGTGGAAGGGGTTGTCCCACGCGCACAACAGCTGGGTGGGCGAGGCATGGCTAGCAAGCAACGCTCCCAGACAGCTCGCGATCTTTAAAGCCCGGGCGGCCACAGTGGAGGTGAGATGATGTGAAGGGGGCGATGCAGGTGTGCGCTGATTTGGCTTTGTTAACACAGTGTGGCTCGTGGAGGCACTTGTAGAGAGTGCAGTTTTGAGACCTTCTAAACCTACACTCTCTACACGCTGATTCGGCTTTGTTAACAAAGAGTGTGGCTTGTAGAGGTGGGGGTATAACAGGCCCTCCGCACTTCCTTCCTTCCCTCCCTTCTCCTCCATCCCATCTCTCCCTTCAGTTCTCCCCCACGTGGAGCCCCCACTGGCCCCAACCATGGAAACTCATAGCAAAGCGGGTAACCAGGCCACCTATAAGGCCGGGGCCGGACTGTGGTTGGGGGCAGAGGCAGAGGTGCTGCGTCAGAGCCTGGTATAACAGAACCTCCTTCCCGCCCTGTCCCCCCCTTCATCCGTTCAGTTCTGCCCCACGTGGAACCCCCATTGGGCCCAACCAAGGAAGCTCATAGCAAAGCGAATCACCCGGCCACCTATAAGGCCGGGGGCGGACCGGGGCAGAGGCAGGGGCAGGGGGTATAACAGGCCGTCTTTCCTTCCCTTTTTCACCCTTTCATCCGTTCAGTTCTGTCCCACGTGGAACCCCCATTGGGCCCAACCAAAAAAGCTCATAGCAAAGCGAATCACCAGGCCACCTATAAGAAGGGGCGGGCCGGGGCAGAGGCAGGGGGTATCGCCCTGACTGGGGGGTGAAGGTTTTCTCATTGCCTCCTTCTCTGCTTCCCTCACTTTCCCCCCTTCTTCTACCACAGTTCTCCCCCACATGGAATCCCCACTGGGCTCAACCAAGAAAACTCATAGCCAAGCGCGTAACCAGGCCACCTATAAGACCAGGGGCGGGGCGGGGCAGAGGCAGGGGGTACAGGCCCGACTGGGGGGTGGAGTTTTTTGTCCTGTGGCGGGGGCTGGGCTATGAACAGTGCACGTGGGAGCCGGCCAACGGGAGCGTGCTGCAGGGGGCTGCCGGGCGGCGTTTGTTGGCACGGTTCTGGGAGAGGGAACAGGGGGAGCAGGGAGGGGGAGTGGTGGAAGGGGGGAAAGACGGGAGGGGAGACGGGTTGGGGGTGTTTTTACCAGGGCAGTATGCTCTGTGCACCATACCGGACCGCGCTGCACCGCACTGGATTGCAATGTCTGACGCTCCGATGCAGCAGCAGCTGGGGAATCTGAATGGCCTTAGGAGCCGGTGGAGGGAGTGTGGTCCCTTGGGTGGGGTGGAGAGCGGTGGGCGGGCGAGAGGGAGGAGGAAGAGCGGCAGGCAGCAGGGAGAGTGGGGCGTGCTGCAAGGAGCGAGCTATGAGGTGAGTCTTGAGGGGTGGGAGAGCAAGGAGGGGGTTATTTTTGGGTGCTTCAAAAATTAGCAGCAAGGCACAATCAACGTACTGAAAGGGGAGAGGTCCTATGTGATGAACGGGAAGGGGAGGGAACTTCCTTGAAAAGAGTGAAATTAGTGACAGTAGGGGGATATGTGGATGTGAGATGGGCAGGCAGATGTGAGATGAGGTGCGGTGGGGTGTGATTTGTAATCAGCCTGCCACGCCTCCCTTCTCACCTGTCTCTGTTTTCCCATCTCCTACCCACCACTCACTACCCACCACCAGGCAAACCACCTAGTGCTGGCCGCGTTTCTGTGCACGCAAGCTCGAGACTTCCAATGTCCCACAAATATCACAGCTGCTACAGCTGTTACAGCTGCTGCGGCCAGTGAAGCCACAGCAGCCGCCGCTGCTGCGGCCGCTACAGCTGTTGCAGCCACTGCAGGAGGTACAGGCGCTACAGCCGGGCGCATGAGACCGAGTCTGCTGGTGGTGCCTGGCTCGGCTGTAGCGGCGTGGGAGGGGCTTCTGGAGCAGAGAGCGCCTGAGCTGAGTGTGACTGTATTGAGGGGCAGTGCGGGGACTAGAGAGGTGATTAAACGGTGGGAGCTTAAAAAGGAGGTGGAGAGAGGGGGAGGGGGAGGGGGAGGAGGAGGAGGAGGAGGAGGAGGAGGAGGAGGAGGAGGAGGAGGAGGAGGAGGAGGAGGAGGAGGAGGAGGAGGTGGAGGAGTGAGGGAAGTGGACGGTGGTAGTGAGGGGAGTTGGGATAGAGAAGGGGAGGAGGGAAGTGTGGGGAAGATGAGGGTTAAGGCTGACGTGGTCATCACCACACCTCTTGTCTTTTCCATGGTAAGTGCTTGTGTTTCAAGGCGTCTAAATAATTTAGGGTTAAGAGTCGACTTCAGAAGCCCCTCGAGATGCGAGGAGGAAAGGGTGGGGAAGGACCATTCGGGGAAGACGAGGGTCAGGGCTGACCTGGTCATCACCATACCTCTTGTTTTCTCCATGGTGAGTGCTTTTGAGGCGCCTAAAGCATTGTGGGTTGAAAAAAGGCCCTTTGAGGCACTTCAGACAGGAGAGGAGGGAAGGGTGGGGAAGGTGGGGATGAGGGTTAGGGCTGACGTGGTCATCACCACACCGCTTGTCTTCTCCATGGTAAGTGCTTTTGAGGCGCCTCAATAGATGTGGGTTATATGACGACTTTTGAGGCCTCTCAAAAAGGGGAGGAGGGAGGGTGGGGAAGGTGAGGGTTAAGAACCATGCTGTCATCATGACACCTTGTGATCTCCATGTTTTTTGCTGATTGGCTGGCTGGTGTGGTGCTGAGTGTAAAGGCTGCTAGGTTGTGGCATGAGAGATATGTGTGTGTACCATTGCAAGAGGCCGAAACCACTTGCCTTTGGAGTCGTCTCCATGCGAGGCGACTTTGAAGTCAGCGGAACAGTCACCTTGTGGCTTGTGTTTTACCAAAACGTACAAGAAAAACAGTTGGTGCATTCAACTTGAAGCACCTTCCCTCTCTGACACCACCCAGCACACAGTCTCAGACTTGAGAACTTCATGTGCCCAGCACCATCCACATCACCTGTCCCTCAGCACACCACCACAGGAGCGCTTTTACCTTGAGGAGGTAACGTAGGGCGTCATAGCAGCAAGTGGCGGCACGTATCTCCTGATGCATATCTCTGCACCATTCTCCAAAAACCTTACCATCCCCCACCACCTCACCATCCCCCACCACCTCACCATCCCCCCACCACAGGAGCGCTCTTACCTTGAGGAGCTGGCGTGGGGCGCCATAGCAGCGGACGGCAGCACGCAGCTGTGGTCGGCGCACGAGGCCAGTGCCGCCCGCTCCATGGGGTGGCCACGCTCCGTCTTCTCCCTGCACGCCTGCCTGCGCATCCTGCTTGCCCCACACGAGCCCCAGGTGAGTTTGACATTCGGCAATTTGCATTTGCCATTTGAGGTTGGACATTTGACACTCCTAAAAAAAAATTTTGATGCGCCTGTGATTTCACGTGTGGCATTTGAGATTCGAGTTGCTCTAATGTTGTCTCTGGCTTCCCCCCCTATGCATGCCTGTGCCTCGTGCATTGCGAGGCTATTGCATTTATTGGCACCCTTCGTGATTCAAAGCATAGATGGTGTGATTTCACTTGGTCCATTGTGTGCTTTGGGACATTATGGCGTTGTTTATATATTTTCTTAGTCAGCCCCTTCCCTGTCTAATGGCCATAAACTTTATCCGGCTGCTTGTACCGTATGATTCTTTGCTCCACCTGTATCCTCGTGGGCGCAGGCACACTACTGGGATGCTGGGGACGTGACCATCATGACAGTCGCCTCAGCACATTGACCACTCTAGTAAACCATTGAATGAATATTCAGCATCAGCCAGCCAAGCGTTTACAGCTGGTGCTGAATGTCCCACAAAAGGGTTTCGCCTTGATTACAACTTTAGTTTCACACAATTGTCATTCAGCACCAGCCAGCCAGCACCACCGGCTTGCTTTATGGTAAATAGGTGTGTATAAATAACATAATGGGACGGATATGGAGCGGGAAGAGACGCTTAGGGTTTGGAAGGAGGACAATTTTGAAGGCAAGTTCAAGCTTGTAACTGCTGGTATAAAACTCTGTATCACAAGTTCGAACTTGAAGGCAAGTTCAAGCTTATACCTAGCGCTGTAATATTTTTAGTGTATGTACATACTGTTATTGAGCATTGGCAGTTCGTACTGTTCAAGTCCACGTGCATGTTGCAGGACCACGCGGACGTATCCGAGATATGCCTTTTCAACTTGAAATCCGGAAAAGTGCTCAGCGCTGGGCAATCCACGCTGTCAGAATTGTTCCACTTGCTGACGCTTTTTCTAAAGATATTTCGATGTAGATTCACAGGCTAGCCACTCGCACACAATCGCTCAGACGCGCCGCTCAATTGACAATCAGACAAAAAGTCGTTACTCCAAGTTGATCTCACCGTTCAAAGCATAAAGCATATTTTCATCGACGGTAATAGTGACTTGTGTCACGTGACTCGCGGTGGCAGGGCTGCAAAAAATCGGATTTTCTTTAATGACCTGGCACACGTGGCTATCCGCTTGGTTCACCAACAACACCAAAGGTGTAATCGGGGCAGCTGAAGCATGGCAAAATCTAGGGACATCACTGGTCAGCTGGGACGCTTTGGAGCTTTTGTTCAAAAAGCAACAATTACGGGCAGCAGGGATGAAACCAAATCCTTCAGAACAGTCACCATGTCCACAAACAAAGCATTCCCGCCAACCAACCAGCCCCTAGAGCCATTTCGTGCATTGAGGTTGTCGCGCTGCTCCTCCCCTGACATTTTCCGCGGAGGCATCGTCTTTGGTCACCCCTCGGCGGTTTGGCGGCAGACTGGCAGCCACCCACGCTACGCAGGCAAGGGAAGGATTCCCCACTGCTCTCCGCTCTGCCAGTGGCGGTGGGGGAATATCTCAGCCTTTGGGTTTGTTGGAGCAGCGCGGATGAGAAAAACCAACCAGTGCCGACCAGCACTGGGCTTCCGCGCGCAACTCTGTCCCCACAAGCTTCCCCTTCCTCCCAACCTTGTCTTTCCCCATGCCTCCGTCGCGCCAGACTGCCAGAACAGGGACAGACTGCCTCTACCTTCCAGGCTCCCTCCCACACATCCTCCTCACACTCAAGCCATTTGCTTCCTTCCCTTCACCCTCACGCCTCACTCACACGGCAGGTCCATTCAACCACACTCCTCACGTGCATCTGTTATCTCCACTTCTCTCCATCCACCGAAGGCTGCGAGAGTGGCGATGAGACACTGCCTACCTGGGCTCTGTGTGGTTGTTCTTTCTGGAAGGCTTAGGGTTGTTTTGTGAAAGGCTGATTTTGTGATACTCAGTGCGTACTTGAGCTTCGTCTGTCAGGTCATTCCATACTTTCGACAATATACTAGTTCATTCGCGAAACGGTCTGAGCGGAGACTATAACCTGCCGTCGTTCACGAACTAAGACACAGCGTTTATCAATCGTATCAAGTCCGTAATTAGGTCGAGCACGCGACACGAAATCTTTCGGGTTCGTTTTATGGTCGGATCCGTTTTATGGATGGCGACGCCATGACCTCGTCGCTAGCCCGGTCAGCGCCTCCCATGCAAGTATCCCGTCGCTACACTCCGTCCCCGTTTGCATCCCGTAATTCCGGGTTTCCGAGTCCTTTACCAGACTCTAGTGAATTAGCTGAAAGCCTCCCGACCTCTTTTGACTGGAATTACGTCACTCCCATTAACGCGACAACAGGTCGACCCCCCATTCACACAATAGCAAGTCGAGCCGCCTCGTTGCATCAGAACTCGCCATCGTCGTTGGAGAAACTCGTTGCACCGCGACCTAGAACCGAGCAGAACAAGTTTGGGGGAAACGGGACCGTCGATTTTGCAGATCCGACGGCGCAGCGCGCTCCTGTGAATAACGGAGGTGTTTCTGGAAGCGCGAGACCTTTTGTGTACAGTAGAGCTGACGTTAGTCGTAGCGAGAATCAACCTAGTAACGCTGCAGAAGCAAGTATGGAGTACGGCCGGGACTACGATAGGCAGCGAGGCGAAGGTTTACGATACGCGGAGCGAGGAGGGTACTCGGAGCAAGGAGGGTTACCATACTCGGAGCACGAGTATCGACAACGTTTCGCTAACGCCTCGACGTCGCAAGCGCTCGTTTTAGCGGAAGAGAGTTCGTTTCTACCGCGTTTTTCTAACGATGGAGACTCAGGCGAGGGCTCCCGTCCCGTTATAAGCCCAAATACGAGGTTCGCCCGTCACGTGGTTGAGACTCTATCGCGTTCGGTTGAGGACGACGGGGGGGAAGGGGATGCGGGCTGCCCATTGGCGGAAGGGCAACGATGGGTGAATGACAGGGGGGCCGCGGGGGAAGAATACGGCGGAAGGGTGTCGCAAAGATCGGCGGAGGAACAGGGGGAGGGAGAGGAAGGAGCGTCTCGAGGTAACTGGGATCGAGCTGCTTTGCAAGGGGAAAGGAGGGGGGAGAGCTCGCATCGGCCGTGGGGCTCACAGGAGGTCCGCTTTCCGCCGCAAGGGCGTGACACGTCGCAATTTCAGGGGCGAAGCGAGCGCGCCGACGTGGGTGGGAGCGGCAGCGGGGACGCGAGGCGGGGAAACCAGCGCGTGATTGCGGAGGACGGCCCGCGCGAGCGGGTGGATCCGCGCTCGGGTTCGAACTTACTGGTAAAGTCTGACCGGCAGCCCTTGCGCGGCCTTTCCGTTAGAGTTGACGGCCTTTGCGAGGGGGCCGTCGGGGGAGGCTACGCGGAAGCTGGCGGCGGCGCAAGGGGCGCGGAAACTGGTGGGGGGAACTTCCCCCCCGCGCTGAAGGCCGGCGCGGGGCGGAGCAGGCGGAACTTGACGGCGGTTGACGGTGCAGTTCCAGTTTTCGCCGACGGTCAACCGCAACGAAACGGGAGGTGGGTTAACGAACTCGAAAAGTCGCGCTCGCCGCCTGTTCTTCCGGATGGGATGTGTGACGGCAGCGGAGGTGCTTTTAACGGGGACGAGGGCAGCCCGTTAGGTTCAGTACAAGGAGCTATGCCCGGAGGGATGGACGGCCACGGACCCGCCGCGTTTGGCGCTGCTGTGGCTGCTGAAAGGAGACCCGCGCCGTCCTACGGATGCCCTAGAGGTGTGTTGGGTGCTCGTTCGTCCGTCTTCGCGTCCCTCCCCTCCTCCTCCTCCGGTTTTGGAGCCATCCCCTCTGATATGCCGTCACCGTTTCCCCCTGGCTTGCCCTCCGCGTTGTCGCGTCCCCCTGGGCGGGGGAAACGCGCGGAGTTGGAGGGCGTGGGGGCGGACGCGCGGGGGATTTCTCCGCGGAGTGGCGCATTCACCGGACGCTCGAGCGGGAACGAGTGGGAAGAGGCTGTTTTGCGCGGGGGGGAGGAGGAGAGGGCGGATGCACGGTTGCAGCGCGGGCGCGGGCGGGAGAGTTCGGCGGACGGGGAACGCGCGCTGTTCGCCCGGCCGAGAGACCGTGAGCCGGCGATTGGGCGGGGGAATATCGGCCGAGAGGCGGCAGCGGCGGCAGGAGGCGGAGGAAGCAGCAGAGGGAAGTTCGTTTTCGGAAGGGCAGGAACGGCAGGAACGGAGAAGAACAAGGTTCAGATCGGTACTGCTTGGGGAGCAGCAGGCCGTGATTTTGACGCGGAGGTTGAGCCAGAGGCAGAGGCAGGGGTGGGTGGCGAGCGGATGGGATGGGAGGAAGGGGGGGACAGCGGAGCGTGGGGTTCTGAGCGTGAGTACGAGCATCAGCGGGTGCGGCAGCAGGCACAGCAGAAGCAGTTGCGCCGGCAGGAGCAGCAGCAGCAGCAGCAGCGGGAGCAGGAGGGGAGAACGATGGAGCAAACGGAAGCTGCGTTTGGCGAGGAGGATCGCTGGGGTAAACGACAGGCTTGGTGTGGTAACCCGGTTATTGTAGGCCCGTCAGGCTCAGGCATGGAGGCGTACGGCGAGGAGATGGAGGCGAGAAACGACAGGTGGGGGAAACGACCATCGCGCAAGTCTATAGATTTGGAGGATTTGAGCGCCGGAGAGAGGGGGAGAGTGAGGGACGTGAGAGGACGCAGAGAAGCGGCAGTGGCAGCAGCGGCGGCGGCGGCGGCGGGGGCGGCGGGTATGGATAATCTGGGTCGCATGGGGGGTGGGGCCGCCTGTTTGGAGGAGGATGTGCCGGGGGTGGGTCGACTTGGTCGTCTTGGCATGGACTTTATGGGTGCGGAGGCGGAGGCGATGGGTGTTGCAGGTGGGGCGGTGGGCATGGGTAGAAGCCCGAGGGAGTATGGCGTGCAGGGGGGGAGAAAGAGGAGCATGTCGCCTGGAGGGAGGAGTGAGAGGAGCGGGTGGAGCGGGCGCAGTGGAAAGAGTGGGAGGAGCGGGAGGAGCGGGAGGAGTGGGAGGAGCGGGAGGAGTGGGAGGGAGCATTGGGCCCAGCCAAAGCATGTTTCTGTCAAGAGGAGGAAAAATGGCGAGAGCCAAAACAGCGGCGACCCTCAGCAGCAGCAGCAGCAGTCGCCACTCTGCACGCCTGAAACGATGCAAGCCTTTATGGCTTTCCAGGCTTTCATGACCCAACAGCAGCAGCAGCAGCAGCAGGAAGGAGGGCAGCAGGGCTCGTTCGCGGTTCCTCCTGTCTCTCCTGAGTCGATACACGCGTTTCTGGCCTTTCAAAGCTTCATGGGCCAGCAACAGCAGCAGCAGCAGCAGCACTCGCAAGTGGGACAGGAGGACGGGCGGGGCGAAGAGGAGCAGGACGAGCGGGATGAGCCGCGGCGACAGCAGAGGGGGCAGCACAGGGACGCGTTCGGCCGTCCACCTCTACCCACCCACCAGCGACGCCCCTCCAAGTCTCCTGAACTCGTCACTCAACGCACCACCTCTGCTTCCCGTTCTTCCGCCCCTCGCTCCCCCCACTCCTCCGCCCCCCGCTCCCCGCTTTCCTCCGCCCCCCGCTCTCCCCACTCCTCTGCCCCGCGCTCACCCCTCCCCCACACGTCCCCCGCGCTCCGGACCACCTCACCCATCCCCCGCATGCCGTCCCCCTCTATCTCCCCCGCCCCCTCCGCCGCCCCTAGCAGCGCTTCCCCCTCCCCCCGTCCCCTGGCGCTATTTGAGCGCATCACCCGCCGCCGCCAGTCTAGCCCCAGTGGCGCGCGCCCCCCGTCCGCCAATAGCAGGCCCCCTAAGTTCCCCGCGCGCGCCACCCCTCCCGCTGCTTATAGCGGAGAGGGCAATGGTAGGGATTATAACGCGTATGCCCAGGCAGGAGGGAGGGGAGGGGGTAGCCGAATGGGGAGTGAGGGGGGTGGTATGGTGGGGATGAGGGAAAGTGGTTATGATGGATGTGACTATAAGGAGGGGAGCAGAGGGAGCGTGAGGGAGACGGGGTGGGGCGTGGGCGGGAAGGGAAAACGGCAGGGGATGAGGAGGGAAGAAGCAGAGGGTAGTGAGAGGGGGAGGAGTAGTGAGAGGGGGAGGGCGAGTGAGAGGGCGAATGATAGGGAGAGTGAGAGGGAGAGGGAGAGTGAGGAGGAGGTGCTGTTGAGGATGCAGAGGCTGGAAGAGGAAATGAGGAATGGCCATCAGCAGGAACAACAGCGCCAGCAGCAGCAGGAGCAACAGCTGCAATCGCAGCAGGAGCAGCAGCAGCAGCAGCAGCGTTCCCCCACCCCTCCATCCAACCCCTTTTCCACCATGCCAAATCCCTTCTCAGCACCTCTCCAAACCAGCAATACCTTCCCCTCCTTCGCATCGACCTGCCCTCAAGGCCTTTCCGATGCCCCAGCCGTTTCTGCTGTCTCTGCTGCCATTGCTGCCACTCCAAATGCCCCTGCGCCTGGCACTCAGTTGCCAGGTCTTCCCACCAGCATAAATCCCACTAGCGTGAACCCGACTGGTGTGAATCTTACTGGCGTGAACCCCACCTCTCCCTCCCCTCCCCCTCACTTCTTCAGCACCTCTCCCTTCCAGTCCTTAGCTTCCCCTGCCTTTCCCAATCAGGCCCTCCCGAACCCCCTTCTTCCGAACCAGTTCCTGCCGAACCAGCTCCTCCCGAACCAGTTCCTCCCGAACCAGCTTCTAGCCCCGCCCACTCTCTCCATCCCTCTCTTCCACCCTCTCTCAGGGCCGTCAATGCATCTCAGGGCATTAGTAGGCCTACAGGCAGAGTCCCAACAGAGCAACTCCGTCTCTCTGCCTGTTGGAGGGGCTTCTTTAGGGGTCTCCCCGGCTGGAGGGGGGTTTTTCTGCGGTGCCCCTGGCACGGCGGCGGCTGGAGGGTGTTTAGCTGGTGCTGCCGCAGGGATGGCGTCTGGGGCCCTGGGGCTTGCGGGAACTGGTGCTGGGGTTTCTGCAACTGCAGCAGGGATGCTGGGGTGCGGTGCTATGGGTGCTGCAGGGTCGAGTGCGGTGCTGATGAGTGCACAGGTGTCCCCGCAGATGGCTCTGCTGCAGAAGTACCAGCAGTACCAGCAGCAGCTGCTGCTGCAGCAACAGGGGAGGCAGGGGCAGGGGCAGGGTGCGAGGGGAAGTGGGCAGGAGGGGAATGGGGGGTCTGGCAAGAGAAGTGGTCAGAGGGAGGAGTGCCGTTTGGAGGGTAGTGAGAGAGAAGAGAGGCGTGATGTGGGTGGGAGAGGAAGGGAGGAGGCGAGGGGTGTGAGTGAGGGTGAGAGGAGAAGAGGGGATGATGTGGGTGGTGGCGGTGATAATGATGATGGGGGTAGCGAGGAGAATGGAGAGGAGGAAAGGGAGGAGGAGGACGAGGAGGATGGATGGACTAGGGACTTATCCCGGAGCAGAGGCAGGAGTTGGGAGAGTGAGAGTGAGAGCGAGAGTGAGGGAGGGAGCTCAGTAAATAGGCTATCAAGTAGGCTAGAAGGGAGGAGGAAGAAAAGGAGGAGAAGGAGAAGGGAGGAGGAGGAAGAGGACGAGGAGGATGAGGATGATGAAAACGAGGGGGATAGCAGGGAGGTTTCGGAGAGGGAGGAGGAGAGACTGAGGAAAAAGGAGGCTGAGGTTCGGAGGCTTATACAAGAGACGAGCGTTTTGCAGCAGATGGCACAGGTGCAGGTTCGGGTACAAGCTGAGGTGCAGGTTCGGGCCCAGGCTATGGCTCAGGCTCAGATGCAGCAGGCTCGGGTGGTGCAGGCTCGGGTGCAGGCGGCAGCACAGGCACAGATGCTCGCAGCTTCCCAAGCCTCCCTGCTGGCTCAGGCTCGGGGGATGGGTTCGCCTATGTGTAATCTGATGGGGTTGGGGCAGCTGAACGGGCAGTTGAACGGGCAGATGAACGGGCAGCTGAACGGGCAGCTGAACGGTCTGCGAGGGGGGATGAGTCCTCCTCCCATGAGCTTCCAGGGCTCCTTGGGCTCATTACTTAGCCAGGCCAATCCTCTCAACCCCACGGCTCTCAATCCCTCTGCACTGAACCTCGCTGCTCTGAACCCCTCTGCACTGCACGCGTTATCTGCCACCAACCCAGCTGCCCTGGCCCTCTCGGGATACAACGCCTCTTCATTGAACGCTTCGTCATTCAATGCCTCATCGTTCAATGCCTCTTCCTTCAACAACTCTTCCTTTTCCGGTTCGCCTCTGCGCCCCTCCTCCCCTTTCCATCCATCCTCCCCCTTCCACCCATCCTCCCCATTTAACCCCCCTGGGAGCTCCCTGCTTGGCAATCCCCCTAGTAGTTCCCTCAACGGCAATCCTCCTACTAGTTCTATGCTCGGTAACCCCCCCACCAGCTCTATTAACGGTAACCCTCCCACCAGCTCTCAGCATTTCAGTGCCTCTCACGGGGGAAACGCGGGCAGTGATTTTGATGCTTTTCGGGCAGCTTTTGAGGCATCTCAGAAGAATGCGGGCAGCGGGCCGGAACCTTTTCCGCCTCTCCACTCTCCCCAGGCTTTCCAGGCGTTTCAGTCGTTTCAGTCTCAAAGAAATGCTTCAGACGGCGGCAATACGGGCAGTGGCGTTCAGGGCCCGAATGGTTTTCAGTCTATGCAGGCGTGTCAGTCGTCTCAGAACAATGCTTCTGACGGCAATACAGGGAGTGGAGCCGATGCTTTCAAGTCCTTCCAAGCTTTTCAAGCTTTCCAGGCCTCTCAGGGATTCCAGTCGGCGCAAGGGAAGGGTTTAGAGGGGAATGCGGGGAGTGTTGCCCCTCCTGCCGCTGCAGCTGCTTTGGGCGAGGGGCTGAGAGGGGTGAGGATGGGTGGGGAACGGGGTGGTGCGGTAGGTGCTGGTGCTGGAGGGGAGAGGGAGGGGGGAAAGGAGGAGGAAGAGGAGGAGAGAGAGGGAGAGGAGGGAGAGGGAGAGAGGAGGAGAGGGGTGCAGGGAGGGAGGCAGGAAGGGGGGCAGGGAGGAGAGTGTGAGGAGGCATCAGGTTGGCAGGGAGGGGAAGGTGAGGAGGCAGAGGGTTGGCAGGGCATGCAGCTGGTCGTGCATTCTGGGAGCATGCCTTTGGGCTCTAGAGGAGTGGGGCGGGTTTACTCTGGCAATGGGGGAGAGGGTGACGGGGAAGGGGGTGACGGGGGAGGGGATGATGAGGGAAGGGGTGATGAGGGAAGGGGTGATGAGGGAAGGGGTGATGAGGGAAGGGGTGATGAGGGAAGGGGTGATGAGGGAAGGGGTGATGAGGTGGAGGAGCCAGGGCAATACAGCATGCGAAGCCCAAGGGATTACTTAAGTGGGCGGCAGCAGCAGCAACAGCAGCAGCAGCAGCGTCCTTCCCTTCCATCCCACCTGCAGCAAAAAGCTCCTTCGCCCACATGCCCGCCCCTCTCCTCCCCATCTCCCACTCCAAATTCTCCCATTCCCTCCCCTCACCGCTCTCCCCTCCCCTCCCCTCACCGCTCTCCCCTCCCCTCCCCTCACTGCTCTCCCCTTCCCTCCCCTCACCGCTCTCCCCTCCCCTCCCCTCACCCCTCGCCCTTTCCCTCGCCTCACCCCTCTCCCCTTCCTCAGTTCAAGTCGAATCAGCAAATTCCTCGTCCCCCCTCTCCCCTTCCCACTCCTCCTCGTCCCCACACACAGTCTCGTTTTGACATGTCTCCCCCGCCCCCCCACAACCGTTCTCGCACTCCCCCACTCTCACGCCCTCTCACCCCTCCTGCTGCTCCTTCCATCCCCACCGCATTTGAGACGTCTCAAAAAACACCCCCAGTTTCACGCCCACCCACCCCTCCTGCTCCTGGCATCCCCAACGCTCTATCCGCTCCCCCTTCCCCCCTCGCCTCTTCTGCCCCCCGCCCTTCGCCACCTCCCACCAGGCGTGCTTCTCCCAACCTCCCTCCCCCCAACCTATCACCTGCGAACCTCCCTCCGAACCTCTCTCCTCCGAACGTCCCTCTCCCGAACGTTCCTCCCCGCTCCCCTTCTCGTAGCCCTCTCAACACCCCAACACGGCCGCCCTTCCCTTCTCAACCACGCCCCCTCCCTGTCTCCCATGCTGCCAACAATAGAAACACTGATAACACTGTTAAAAGTGGTAACACTGGTAACACAGGAGACACTGGTAACACGGGTGACAACGAGATGTGCATAGAACCCCCCTCCCCCCCTGGATCGTCCGACCTTCCTGTTTCTTCCACCCGTTCCGCCCACTCGGTTGGGAACGAGGATGGTAGCTTCGGGTGGCACACCGCGCCAGGCTCGGGCATGCCGAACCAAGCCCCAAACCAGAATATGAGGCGGAATGGGCAGGTGAACCAGCTGAGCCTGGACGCGTCCAGGAGCTCTGGGCATTCGGTTGGGACGATCAAAGCAGCCTCGGTTTCAGGTTCGGGCAACCACGGCCCGGCATTTGGTTCGGCGCCAGGCTCGGGCCAAGGCTTGGGAAGCAGCCCCAGGCCTGGCTTGGGGTCGCCCATGCCTGGGGGGTCCCCTAGAGTTCCCCGAGGGTTCGGGTCCCTGGTGATGGGGGGGATGGCAGGAGGAGGAGGAGGAGGAGGAGGAGGAGGAGGAGGAGGAGGAGGAGGAGGAGGAGGAGGAGGAGGAGGAGGAGGAGGAGGAGGAGGAGGAGGAGGAGGAGGAGGAGTAGGAGGAGGAGGAGGAGGAGGGATAGGGGCAAAAGCAGGAGGAGCAGCAGGAGCAGGAGGAGTGGGTGCAGCAGGGAGAGGTGCCACAGCGGGAGGTGCAACAGGGAAAGTCGTAACAGGGGGGGGTGCGACAGGGGGGGTTGCAGGAGCTACTGGTGCGGCCAGGAGGCAGAGATTCACGCCCCCTCCTCTTCCCTCACACTCCTTCGCCTCTGCTGCTTCCTCTCCCCTCCCAAGCCCCACTGCTGCTTCTGCTGCTGCTGCAAGTACAGCTGCACCGGCAGCAGCAGCTGCTGCTCTTGCCAGTCCCATCAAACCCTCTGCTGCTGCCAACCCAGCCACCCCCACACCCAGTGCTACCGCACCCAACTCCTCCAGTTCCAGACCCTCTACTCCCACCATCCCCACTGCTCCTGCCGCCAGTCCCAGGCCCGCCACTCCCACCGCCCCCACTGCCTCCTCCCCTGCTCCCACTGCCCCCGTTCCCACCGCTCCCACTCCCACCGCCCCCACTCCCACCCTCCCCACTCCCACCCTCCCCACTCCCACCCTCCCCAGTCCCACCGTCCCCAGCAGTAGCAGCAGCAAGCAGCGCCTACTCCAGGACTACCTGCCGCGGCGGTGGCAGTTAGTGTCCCGGCTTGGAGGGCGGCTGAGGCTGGTGGTTGACCGGGGGACGGGGCAGCAGCTGGTGGTGCAGCGAGTGCATGTGGGGGAGGGGGGCGGGGGCGCAGGGGAGGGAGGGGCGCAGGGGGAGAGGGGCGTGGGGGGCCAGTCAGGGCAGTCGGAGAGAGAGCGGCGGATGCACCAGAGGGTTGCATTACTGCTGAAGCTCAAGTGAGTGTTCAGTTGAGGGAGAGGGAATTTCTCTAGAATTTTGGGACGTGTTTAAGCTCAAGTGAGAGCTCATTTGCCTGAGAGCATTTTCCCACCAGTTCCGAAATTTTTTAGAAGTTCAAATGCACTGTGCTGTTTCCTCCCTCCTTTGTCCGTTCCTTACCTTGACCCCTGTTTGCCCCGTCCTCCTGGCCCCCCTTCCCCAGGCATGAGAACATCGTGCCATGCGTTGGCGCCATTCGTACCACCGCCCCCTCCCCCGCCACTGGCAGCACCAACGCAAGCGCCAGCCACCACAACAACAGCAGCAGCATCGGCGGCAGCGGCGGTGGCGGCGCCAACGGTGCCGGCAGCAGCAGCGGCACAGGCAGCGGGGGCGGGATTCACCTGCTGTTTGCGGCGTTTGACTATGTGCCGGTGCCGTCGCTCTCCCACCAGCTCACAGAGTGCGGCCCCATGCCCGAGGAGACCCTCGCCTTCTGCCTGCGGCAGGTAGTGGAGGCACTAACAGCGTTCCACTCCCTGGGCATCCCCCACGGCCGTGTGCGCACCAGCAGCGTTTTCGTTCCGGATGATGGCGTCGTGAAGCTCGCTGGGACCTCATTCCTGGATGGAGAAAGGGAGGGAGGGGATGGAGGGGAGGATAGAGATGGGGGAAAGGAGGAGGGAGAGGAGGGAGGGGAGGGGAGGGGAGGAAGCAAGGTGCCCTGGTGTTCCCCTGAAGAGATCAGAAAGGTGAGGGTGCTGATGTTCTGCTGTGCACTGGCTGTGCCGCTATTGCCCGTCTTGTTACCCGTGCGCTGCCTGTTTCTCCTCCTCGCACCATTCGTTACCCGTGTTTCCCTCTACTCGAAACTCTGCGTCTCTTCCTGCCGCCTCTCAACCTCTCTCCTCGTCTTCCCCTTGTGCCCTCCTGCTTCTCTTGGGCCTCCTCCTCTCCTTCCGACACCTGTTCTCTCAATTCTCTCCGTTCCCCCAATACCTCATTTGCCAAGCAGGAGACAGTGGGAGCAGCAGCAGACGTGTGGGCGGTGGGCTGCCTGGCAGTGCACATGGCAACGGGAGCGCTACCATGGGCGCAAGTGGCGGACGAGGACCAAGTGCGGCTCTTCATTGCGCACAGCAGGGCTCTGCCGGACCTGCCGCCCGATTCCTCGCCACAGCTCATTGATTTTGTCGCGACCTGTTTGGACCGGGATCCGTCGCGCCGCCCGACAGCCGCCCGGCTCGTTGACCATCCTTTTCTAGCGGCATGCTAGCGAAACCTTTGTTACTATTTTTTATTGGTTGTATTGAAGTGTTGGTTTTCTCTGTGGTGCTAAGCAGGGTACCAAATTACGTACGGTAGCTTGGAGCTTTTTGGGGGGAGTTGAGTGGCTGGCTGGATGGTTGCTCTTCTACCTTCTTGTATAGGAGCCGTGCTGTGTGTGCGGTTTTCAAGCATGTAAATTTTTGAAAGTGTGTAACACTTTCTAAAATTGTGTACCGTATTGTGAATAGCGAAGATATTTGTACCGAAGCAAAATGCTTCGGCGAACCGCTACTTCCCCTCTTTTCGGTATAAAAGAGGGGGCGAAGGCCATTTGGCCTTCACCCACGTTTTTCATTTCAAACTTTCAGTTTTCAAGTTCCCCACCTGTTATGAATGAACTTGCAGAGTGCGCAGAATAACGAATAACGAGAATGATTGATTACTGAATATCTGAATGACGATACAATGGAAGTGACGAGGCCTAAATAGGGGAAGTCCTAGCTAGGCGGGGAGGTTGGGCGAGGATGGCTCGGTGATGGTTGCGATTGGTGCGGAGGCGACTCGGGAGTGGTTCGGTGCGACGAATTAGGCAAGACAGGTTCGTCGCGTGACCCTCGGGATGACCTCGCTAAAGAGTGCCTCAGTAAGGGTTTGTAAATCCTTACACCACCCTCCCACCCTAGTATCCTTAGGGAATTTATGGTTGTTATATTGTAACATGCTTGGTCTCTAAAAATCATGTACTTGCCAGTTGAAACGAGACGTTTCATTTGGGAGACAAATAGCAAGCTTTCACAATACTTGCAATTATGAGCACACATGTAAATCCCGCTGTTCGCCCATTTGTATAGTTTGTATTTGAATTTCAGCAATACATTGAGTAAAAAACTACTTCTTGGAGGATAACCAGACAGGGTAGTCTGTGCTTATTACAACCAACGAGTACCTCTACAGCGCAGCGGCCCGAAACCCTGCTACCTCAGATTCAAGGCCATGTTAGCCGCGGCATCATCGAAGGGAGTTGCTGTCACGTCAGCCGAACCAGTGTGCGATCTTCGTGCATTTCGCGAGGCGGTGAGCATGACGAGTTGAGTCAGCAGATCGTACTCCGCTAGCACTTGGATCGCCGCAGGGAGTTCTTGTAACGGACGGCAGTTACGCAAACGCCTCCCTCCCGTCGCTTGCGAGCGTTTCAGGGGTTTCGACACTGTCGCAAGGTGCTTCCCCGTGCGACTCCTGGGCGATTCCTCGCGACGTTTTCGCCTGCGACTGTCGCAAGTGCTGGTGGCTCCTAGCACATCACGCTCTTTCGAAAATGTCCCGCTGCAAGCACTGTCAGCGTCGCTACAAGCTGTCGCTTGCTGTTGCAAAGATTCGCGTCGCAGATTCGCATCCTTGTCGCCGTCGGCGCACCAGACTCCTAGGCTGCGAAAGCTGCAATCTCCGCTGTCGCTGCCTCTGCGGCTGACGCTACCGCTGCTGCAGCAGCTCTCTTCTGCGAAAACGTCGCAAGGAATGTGATAAAAAGTTGTAACGTGTCGCGCGGATGTCGCAATCTGCTCGCCTGTGCGACGGGTGGGGACCTCATCCTTAGCGGTCAAGTCAGCAGCTCTTGCAGGAATCCCGTCGCAACGGCCGCTACTCAAGCAGTCCGCACGCGCGTCATTGTCGCCTGGCGACGGCTTTGGGTCGCAAGCGTCGTTCGTCTCGTCGTACGACATGATGGCGTCGATATCGATGTCGTCAGGCAACCACGGCGACGAATCCGCCTGCCCCTTGAGACCCGCGTCGCAGGGAGGGCTGCTCAGCAACAGGCTGCCGGAAAGCATGGTTAACACTTCTGGAACGGTCTTTCTTGGATAAATGGAGAAGGAATGATTTTTCGAAAGGCAACGAGCAGTAGTATGCGAAGTGTTACTTGCAGTAAGCGTCTGTCAAGTGGTGAGGAAGATAAGACTTCACGTGGTGTGTGATGTTGGCTGTCAAAGAAACTGAAGGACTGAAGGACCGAAGGATGAATGCCAGACCACTAGTGATTTCCCATTTTTCTAAGCAGCCAAGAAAGGAGAGAGACAGTCCGACGAATCGCGGCGAGCACGATCCTAGAACCTGTTGCTTACTGGTCCTAGTACAAGAGGAGTGATATTTAATCGACATCTCGCCAAAGCCGCAACTTGCGCGGATGCCGAATACATATGGAAGCAAGCATGGAGCGCCAGAGGATGGCTGGTGGTTGAAACTGGAACCTTGCATCTACGGGTGAGTCGGTGAGGTGGTGGGTATGGGGAATGAGAAGTGCTCGAAACGAAGTGAGGCGGAAGTGAAACGGTGACACGTGGACAACGAAGGTGAGAAAGGACACGGAATCCGTACCGTACGAAAGCCAGGTTGACCCAGTGGCCCTGTGAGCTGTCGTGACTCGTGACGTACGTAACGCGTCGGTGCTCCTGACCCACAACAAGCCAAGCAAAACCATGTGGAGGGTGGGCGTCTTCCACCAGTTGGCTGCTTGTGTGCCCAACCCATACTCCACACACATAGGCCCAACTGGGCCCAGCTGCGTGAAACGTAACTCCAAATCGGATCCATGATTCTCCGGACCTGGCCAAGTTCCAGTGCTACAAAAAGTGAGAGTCTCTCCCTCATTTCATGGACATCCCGAAAACGGCTTTTACAAAGCGTTTGGTGTTACACAGGATGCTCAACGACTGCACGCGAATTTGGTCCGGCAAAGCTCGACAGCCTGCCCAATTGCAAGTAGTACCAGCCAGTTGCACGCACGATACAAGCCCCTATTTTGATCGCAGCCGTTGAAGTGGAGTGGAGTGGAGTGGAGTGGAGTGGAGTGGAGTGGAGTGGAGTGGAGAGGAATGGAGCGCTGAGGATGGCAGGCTTGGCATGTTAAAAATCCCTCTGGCATCCGTCCGTTCGTGAGATATTTTGAAGAAGCTGGTTACATTTCTTCACCTGCCCACTACAGTCCCGATTTTGCCCGTGGCGAATGTTGGCGAGGAAGCGAAACAGGTTTGCTCACTAAACACCCAAATGACGGGAAAAGTTGTGGGAGTCAAACGCGCTTCCTGTGTATTTGTTAGGCACAACGTAGCGTGGAGGTGAGGTTCCCAGCCGCGGAGTAGGTGGTGATCACCGTTTTCACGTCCCACACGGTCAGATGTGCCAATGAAGGAACGATTCTGTCGAAATCTACCCGACATCTCCAGCCACAAACTCGCAATCTGAAGAACCAAAGGTACCTTGTAAGGAAATTCGTTACAACGTAGGCTTCAGAAAATGCATTGAATGAAATTATCAAGGAGAGTTATGTGCGTAGCCTAGCTCACAAATGCATTCTCACAAATACAAATGGGCGATGAGCCTAGTTCACCTGACCTCCACGCCACCCCTAACCCAAACACTCACATAGCCAACCCATCCACATACCCGTTGAGCGGCTGCCTCAGCTTCAACAGCGCCTTGAAATCAATCTGCCGAATCCTCTCTCTTGTCAACCGGAACATCACCCCCAGCTCCTACAAGCTCTTGGCACGCCCGACTCCCTCTCCCGGGGCGTGAGTGTGCCCAGTACCTGCTGCAGGTCCCGCTTCAGCAGCTGCTGCATCATACGTTCCTCTGGGCACTCCAATGTCCTCTACAAATGCCTGTGCGGATGTTCAAGGGTAATGGGACATGCGACTGTTAAGAATTCTCATTCACCCCGAGCATGTCCTCCCCATCGGAGATGGATCGGTCCATGGAGTAGGGAGAATGCTAATTTCATCTCAACCACTGCTTCTCAAACATACCGCGTCATTTCCTGTTTCTCTAGAATTTGTATAATGTATTTGATTGAAATACTGGTCATACTCCTGTCAGCAATTCACCGACAATGGATGACGGTTACCAGGACTTTCATCATTGGACAAACAGCTGGAGGTTTCTTGGTGCTCATCCGTTTTGTAGAAAATCGGTAATTGAATTTTAATTAATTTTACTATTTATATTTGATTTTTTTTCAGAAACACAAGCGTTTACTGGCCGGGGGTGAAGTTGGTGGCATAGGCCCAGGCGTTGTTCACGGTGGGGTCAGCCAGGTGGTCGGACAGGTTCTCGAGGGGACCCTTGCCGGTCACGATGGCCTGGACGAAGAATCCGAACATCGACACCATGGCGAGGCGGCCGTTCTTCAGCTCCTTAACCTTCAGCTCCGCGAGAGCGTCGGGGTCGTCAGCCAGACCCAGGGGGTCGAAGGCACCGCCGGGGTACAGGGGGTCCTCAACCTCCTGGAAGCCCTCGAGGCCACCCACGCGGTAGCTCTCAACGGCGCCCATCAGGATCACCTGGGTGGCCCAGATGGCCAGGATGGACTGGGCGTGGATCAGGCCGGGGTTGCCGAGGTAGTCGAGGCCACCCTCGGAGAAGATCTGAGCACCGGCCTTGAACCACACAGCCTCGCCGAACTCAACGCCGTTGTTCGCCAGGAGCTCGGGGGTCAGGCAGCCCAGGGCGCCGAGAAGAGCCCAGCGGGCGTGGATCACCTCCAGCTCGCGGTTCTTGGCGAACGTCTCGGGGTCGGCGGACAGACCCGCGGTGTCCCACCCGTAGTCACCGGCATACTCGCCGTTGAGGTACGACGGGGGGGAGGAGAAGGGGCCCAGGAACTGGGGGCGGTCGGGGCCGTAGAAGGAGCTGGCGGGGGCGGCCTTGGCCGTCTTCCTCATGGAGACGCGAGCCTCCACATTGTTGACCTTGGCGGCGAGCTCAGCGCTCTGGCCGACGAAGGTGGACGGAGCAACAGCAGCGTTAGCGAGGGCAGCCATTTCTGTCTGCTTGAAGGGATGATAAATAGTAAGTGAATATGGAAGTACTGCTGAAGCTTGAGAATGATGTGAAAGCAGGGGGGTTTTGTAGGGCTGGCTGATCGATTTCCCCAATCCGACACACTCGGGGGAAATTGAGCTTCCCTAGGGAATCGGTGAATGCTCGAGTCGCGCGCAATCGGTTTGATGTCGGGGCTGCTGGATAGCCATGTGATGTGTCCCTCCAGATTTTTGCGAAAGTCACGTCGCTCGCTCTGATTGGCCTTCCGAATTGCGGGTGACTCGCGACGGGCACACTCAAGCCCATCACGTTGCGACTCGCTACCCATAACAAGATCACAAGTCGAAAGTAGCGTACAGTAAGTTTGGTTATACAGAACTTGTCATGGACGCCATATGATATTACTGCAAATAACCAAATGAACAGCCTTTTAGAACGCATCTTCAGAAGCATAAAGAATTGTATACATTGGTTCACATGGTTTGTTTTACATTCCAAACATAGTCTAGCTCACAAATAAAAAGAAAAGAGGAGCCTAGTTCAATAGACCTTCACCGCAATCCAGCAACACTCACACGGCCAACCCATCCACATAGCCCTTCAATCCCCCTCCCCTCTCAGGCTGCCTCAGCTTCAACAGTGCCTTGGACTCAATCTGCCGAATCCTTTCCCGGGTCACCCGGAACATCACTCCAAGCTCCTCCAGGGTCTTGGCACGCCCGTCGTCTAGCCCGTAGCGGTGCCACATCACCTCCCTCTCCCGGGGCGTGAGTGTGCCCAGTACCTGCTGCAGGTCGCGCTTCAGCAGCTGCTGCATCATACGCTCCTCTGGGCACTCCAAAGTCAAGTCCTCCACAAATGCCTGTATCGTGGGTTCAGGGGAATGGGGAAAGGGTAAGGTGGGGTTGAGAGATTAGTGAGAGGGACGGGTCCGGGAGGAGGCACCTGCTGCTACCATTCACTCCTCTGGGCACAGTGTTGAGTCCTCCACAAACGACTGCTTGTGTGTTCATTGGATGGAAGGTTGGCGGATGGTTGGGGTATTAGTGAAAGGGATGGGTCGAAGAGAAGGGAATGTTATCTGTGGGCTGTGAGACACACCAAAGACAAATGCTGATCCAAAAACGAAAAAGGTACACAGCAGAGGGACGAGTGGCATGGACGAGGACGACTCACCCCGAGAGTGTCTTCGCCATCGGAGGAAATTGGGCGGTCCATGGAGCAGGGCACACGCACGTTGCGCACCGCCGCCCTTAGCTTGGCGGGGGTGAGCCCCACGAGGCCGGCCAGCTCGCTGTCGGACGGCAGCCGCCCCAGCTGCTCCCACAGCAGGTCTCTTGCTTTGGCGATGCGCGATAGCAGCTCGTAGATGTGGGCCTGTTGGGGTAACAAAACAGAGGAGGGCGGAGTGGGAAGGGACAACTTGATGGCAAGGTGTGGCGGATGGCTGGGTGTGGTTTGTGGGGCTGGATGTGGTTTGTGGGCGTGTGATGTGGCACGAGGGGGGATGGAGTGCAACAGCAAGATAGCATTGCATGGCGAACCAGCCACAATCATAGCATGGCATGGCACAAGGTGGTGAGCGGAGGTGACACATAGAGGGAGCGGGGTCAGGTGAGAGGGATGACGGTGAGAGGCATGGTGAGAGGCATGGTGTGAGGAGAGGAATGAAGAGACGACTACAAGTAGCCAGACACTGAGGTTTGCTCATGGCGGGTATGCTTTTGGCGAGTGCGCTCAATGTGGGATCGTGTGATAGGGGTACAAGGTGTGGCACAGCATGATGACAACTCGCTATATTCACACTCGTTACAAGCAAGCCCACACGCAAACACTCACCGGGAGGCGCACGGTGCGGGTCTGCTCGGCGACGGAGCGAGTGATGGCCTGGCGGATCCACCAGTGCGCGTACGTGGAGAACTTAAAGCCCCGCTTGTGGTCGAAGCGCTCTATGCCCTTCGTCAGCCCCATGCACCCCTCCTGTCGCGCACAGGCACACGGGCACAGGGGCAAGCAGGGGCACAAGGACACGAACATGCAGAGATAAGAGGCGTGCGCACGGGAGAGAGCACGTCAGGAAGCGGACGTGTCTATACTCCGCGAAGGGTGTCGCCAAACACATATCGGACACGTTACAACAATTTTTTTGTGATGTGGCAATGTGCTTCCACCAACCCACGTATCACTCTCCACTCTAGTTTATCCCCGTCGGTCTCTCCGTCGCCCCTAAACCGCTTGTTTATCACTCGCTGCCCTGCTTCTCACACGGTTACCAGTTCTCTCTTATCTCGTGTGCAAGCGCTACCAGTTCTCGTTGCCGCACGCGCTATCACCCTTGAGTACCCCATTTCCTGTCACCCTTATCGCACGTTATCGCACCCCAAACCATCTGCACTCTTCCCAACCAGCCCACCAACCTCTCAACCCATACACAGACTACTTCACTCAGCTCATCGCGCAGGGCTCACCGTGATGAGCTCTTGCAGGCCGACTCCCCCGCGGCAGTATTTCTTCGCGACGCTGATCACCAGCCGCATGTTGCTCGCCATCATCGCCTTCTTGCACTCGCGTCCGCGCGCCTCCCGCCGCCGCACCTCCGCCACCGACAACCCCGCCGCCTCCGCCCACTCCTCCATCGTCACCGCGCGCCCCTGCGCCTTCTCCGCCGCGTCTCGAGCTCGCTCGAGCTTCAGGAGCTCCTGAACGCCCTTGGAGTATTCTATTTCTTCCGCGGCTGTGAGGAGACGCGAATTACCACCCGCAGATTCGAACATGGCGAAGATCGGGTCGTTCGACACTCGGCGAAACTCCTCCAACGTCAACTCCTTCTCTTCGCCGGCTTCTGGTAACTCTTTCGCCGGGGCTTTCGCTGATCGTTTCGCGGGTTTCGCGGCGGACCGGGAGGGAGTGAGTAGGAGGAGAGAGTCTAGTGACGAGTTGGGGGATGAGGACCGGTTGGCGTGCCTCTTTAATCTCGCCTTCTCCCTCTGCTCCATGCGCATTCCTTTCCGCCTGGACTTAACTAAGGTTCGCACACTACGCGGCTTTAGTTGACTGGTTGCCTCGGTACTATCACCATCGCTGCTGTCCCCGCTTGCTTCCCTCTCGCTTAAGTCACCTTCGCTAAGAGCAGACAGTGTGCTGTCGCCAACCTGTCTCGGCGACGTTTCAGGCAACGCCGACGACCAATCGTCGGTCAGCATTGCGTTGCTCGTCCTCTCAGAAGCTACAGACGCTGAACGGACTAATCTGGTGCTGCCACGTGGAATCGCCTCCCCGTCCTCCTCATCCCACCAGAAACCACGCGCCTGCCGTAGCAAGTCGGTGCTTGTCACGTCGCCTATTAAAGCGCTGCGAGCCGGTACAAAGCTCCAGGTGGCGTTATCCAGCTGGGTGTTCCTGGAAGCTTCCAACGGGGTCAGGAGAGGAACCGGAGCGCCTGCAGCCATCCACACGCTTCGTAGCTCCTCCTGCCCTAGCTCCTCCCCTACCTCGATACAATCACGCCAGCTGCTCTCGACCGTCGTCTCTGGAGAGGAACCCTTCGTTGTAGTCACCTGGCGCAGCATGGCCCTCTCTATAGTCGCGAGCTGCGCTGCCTCTTTTGCGACGAGCGCGGCCGTCTGTGCGAGGTAGAGGGCCTCGGCTGCTAGCGACTCCGTTCGCGCGTCAGTCGTGGATGCGAATCGCTGTGCGACTGCATTGCGCTGTGCGACGGCATTGCGCTGCGCGACGCCGTTGTGCGACAAGCGAGAGTCCGTGAGCTCGCCGACGCAGCCGGAAGCGGCAGAGGCGGCGGAGGGCGCGGAGAGATGCGGATCGACGCGCCGCGGAGGGGAGGCATCGGTGCGACTGGACCAGGGGAGAACAAGACAGGAGAGGGAGATAGGGAAGAGGTACGACTGTTGAGAAACCTCTACGAGTGATGTACGATACATACGAGACGGAAGGATGTAGGGAAGGGACATACGTGTGAAAGCAGACGGAAACAGGATAGGAATGTAGGGAAGGGACATACGATGTGATTTTCATGCAGAATGTGCTATGGTCCGGCACTTGAAGCCTCGAATTAACGTGAGCAAGCGTGTCAGACTGACGAAAGGAGCTCGAGTAAGCATATTAGAAATATAACGCTTCGGGTTGAATTCTAGGATTATGAAGCAGACACGCGAGCGATAAACGACTCACTTATAACTGGAAATTGCTGATGAGGGGCGAAGGAAGACGCGAGAAGGACTGGACGTGGAGTGAGGGGTGGGAGCCGACGACGACGACGAGCACACGACGTCTGCGAAAGGTGCGACGGTTGGCTTGGCGACAGGAACGGCGACGTCGCCGAGAGGCCGTCGCACGAAGAAGACGGACGTGGACGAGCCGACCGCCGGGCTGCTTCCTGCATGACGGGGGAAAACAAAACGACATGAGATACCAATGAGTGTAAAGGCGAGTGGTTCAGGCTGAATGTTCTGAGTACGGATGAAGTACGCACTCCGTGAACCACACAGCAGTGACACTAATATCTGACACTGGTAGGAGACAACGTGGGTTAGAAACTCTTGACACTAGATGAGAGTTATGTATAATATCTTCTCCAAGATTGTTAAATACGGCGAGCAGAGAGACTCGTTAGGTTGGATATCCCACCTGGCCTTTCTGGCGGCGACCTATCGATTAAGAAAGCCGCTCGGACAGAAGCGGCGGAGACGGCCATCCTTCCGACGGATGCAGTAGGAAGGCACTACAAGCTCGTCCGGATGAAACGCCCTCGTCAGCTTTGAGATACGCAGGCTGGACGACTAAACAAGACGGCTCGCTGAATGCAAGGTAAGAACAAGTGGTCCGTCACAAGAGCAGGGAGGTGCCTGCCTGCCTGCTGATGGGACGGAAAGAGGCTTGTTCTGTGCGGTGCTGTACGTGCTTGAACGGGTTTTTTCCTTTCAGCAATCAGCATTCAGCACTGCCTGATGCTGTCAGCCATAACTCATGCAAACCAGCGAGCCGTTGGAGTTGGGCTCGGCTGGGGATGCGTAATTTGGGGAGATACAATGGAGACCGGGGGAAATGGTATATGGGGCGGATGAGGGAAGAGAATCAGCGGAGTTTGAAGAGATACGGGATGGTGAAAAACAAATAAAACGGTGTGAGAATGGTTGAGACTGGTTGTGACATTTATTGCAGCGGCGTCTGGGGGGAAAGTGTGGAAAAGCTTGTGCGGAGCAGTTGCGGGAATTCAGATCTTTTTCTGTGTTGTGCGATTGGTGGCCGCGCTTCACTGTGCTGGTCACAAGGCAGGGCGAAACCCTCGCGTACACGACATGTGGAATTGACGTGGCAAAGCTAGAGGAACTGGATGACATGGCGGAGATGGATACTCACACCAACCAAACATTGCTGCCACTTTGGGTTGTCACCTTGCGGAGAAACGACTTTTGCGGTGCGAAATCGCCTGATCCAGCCACACATCTGTCCACGCTACACAAAGGAGGAAGTGGATATGCGAGTGGCTAAGGATGACCTGGCAAACTGTTTCCCATTCAAAACAAAAAGACTTCCCAACAGATCCAGGACTTGCGGAAAGCGGCATGCGGTTCAGGGTGGTTGGCGGGCATCGGCTGGAACACTGCTCAGCACAACCAGAAAGCCAGCGTGGAACGTTGATGACATGGAAATCCTCGATACTTCACCATGTACTAGCGATAATGAAAGTCCAGAGTGTACTAGCATGAAGTTTATCAGACTAGCGCGAATTCATCTTTCTGCACACCACGTACCTTGTCAAATGAGTTCGTTTTTGCTCTAAAATTTACCAGAAAGTATAGAAATGTAAACGAGCCGCCCTTATACGCACAACATGGCTTTCGACCGCGTACATGTGATTTTATTGACACGCCATAAGTGCGGCTACCAAAAAGTCCTTAGATGCTCCATCCATAAACGTTAAACAAGACAAGACAGTCAGTAGACGGGTTCAATATAGTGTGCTCAAGGGCTTCTGCTGAATGAAGGACGAACATTGGAGAGGAGGGGGGGCCATCTTAAAGCCATCAATGGAGCATGACCTTAGTTGCGATATCATGCGGGCGTTCTTACCGTTGTCGAGCTGCTAGTCAATAGTAATTCGATGTACTATCTACTAGATCACTGAACTAGAAATCTCTCGGCCAAGGCGTGCAGATTAGACGATCACTGTCCTCCCATTGGGCGGAGAATTAAATCGAAGACCAGCGTTCTCATCTTTTCAGCTGGAGCATTTAGACTATGTTAAATTTCAGCGATTCTTCGCCATTCACTGCTCTCGGTGTATGTTGTATTTCCCCAAAATGTGAAAAAACTTTTGAATTATCCTAAAAACTATATTATGTATCAATGTACAAAGCATTTACTGGCCGGGGGTGAAGTTGGTGGCATAGGCCCAGGCGTTGTTCACGGTGGGGTCAGCCAGGTGGTCGGACAGGTTCTCGAGGGGACCCTTGCCGGTCACGATGGCCTGGACGAAGAATCCGAACATCGACACCATGGCGAGGCGGCCGTTCTTCAGCTCCTTAACCTTCAGCTCCGCGAGAGCGTCGGGGTCGTCAGCCAGACCCAGGGGGTCGAAGGCACCGCCGGGGTACAGGGGGTCCTCAACCTCCTGGAAGCCCTCGAGGCCACCCACGCGGTAGCTCTCAACGGCGCCCATCAGGATCACCTGGGTGGCCCAGATGGCAAGGATGGACTGGGCGTGGATCAGGCTGGGGTTGCCGAGGTAGTCGAGGCCGCCCTCGGAGAAGATCTGGGCACCGGCCTTGAACCACACAGCCTCGCCGAACTGGACGCCGTTGTTCGCCAGGAGCTCGGGGGTCAGGCAGCCCAGGGCACCGAGAAGAGCCCAGCGGGCGTGGATCACCTCCAGCTCGCGGTTCTTGGCGAACGTCTCGGGGTCGGCGGACAGACCCGCAGTGTCCCACCCGTAGTCACCGGCATACTCGCCGTTGAGGTACGACGGGGGGGAGGAGAAGGGGCCCAGGAACTGGGGGCGGTCGGGGCCGTAGAAGGAGCTGGCGGGGGCGGCCTTGGCCGTCTTCCTCATGGAGACGCGAGCCTCCACATTGTTGACCTTGGCGGCGAGCTCAGCGCTCTGGCCGACGAAGGTGGACGGAGCAACAGCAGCGTTGGCGAGGGCAGCCATTTCTGTCTGCTTGTAAATGTAAGAGAACGAGATATCGTTGAGTTGCTGAAGCTTGTCCTTGATTGCTGCTGAGTGCTTCTTTTGTACTGCTCGTTCGACAGCGAGAAGGGGAACTAACGAAGGAGGCGGGGCGAGAGCAGCGCAACCGCGAAAAGTCGTCGTTTTGGTGGGAAACGCAATCGTCGTGACGCTACGATTGGTTCAAAATCCTAACGTGGAGATTCTGGCATCTCCGCCAAGCAATTTGGATTGGTTTGCAAAATTTCCAGGGGAGTCGAAATCCTCCCAAAACAACGAATGGTCATTCGTTTCGGAAAATCTCGAGGTACGATGCTATTGGTCCAGAGTAACCTGGGGATGTCACCTTCTAACGAAGGTGAGTTCGCGTGCGAAATTCTTGTTTCCTATCAACGCGTTTACTGAACAGTCAGCCAATTAATATTTTGAAACTTCTTGTTTATTACAAGCTTGTCTATCTGAAGAACCTAACGGAACCAATATGATAAATACGACTTTGCGGTTTTACAGAAGTTGAATTCAACCATCTGGGCGTTTGATGATTTTTATACCTATTTCATCTTTCGTTGGTGATGTTTCACATTGCTAGATTCAGGGGGTGTTGGCTTCAAATTCTGTCTACATCAAGCGTATCAAGAGCCATACATGCATTTTTCCCAGCCCTATCCAAGCTTTCTGCCTCTGTCAATCTACAAAAATCACGTCCTTCTCAACGTGTTTGGCGATCAGCCCGACTATGCACAAGCCTTAGTGCAATGGCCCCTCCATGTTGTGTATCAATTTGAGCTGAGAGTGTCATGGAATCCCAAAGCTCCCCCACCCCACTTCTCAAACACATATCCATTTGCCACCCCTTCACAAGTTGTTGACTTCTCTGAGCGAAAAATGGTATGTTTCAGAAGTTCTTCAGTGTTTCCATAGGTTCCAAACTTTTTGCAGCCCAGAGGCTACAGGTAAGGTGGGGCAAAGGATGGGTGGGAGGTGAGAGGGGAGGGAGGACAGGAGGTGAGGGAGGAAAGCTTTGCCTGAAACACAAGTTCCTGCTTTTCTATCTTGTTGATGCCCATCTACGGCACCGTATCAGTGCATTGAATATTACCGGGCCTTGATCATCGTGCTGGTCATTTGATCATCATGCCACGTTGCTGCTCAGATGTGTTGTGCGACTTCCGTTACCTGTCCTTTTCTAATCACATCAATGCCACCCATCATCGTAAGGAAGCCACCTCACCCATGATATCTGTCATGTGAACTGACCTACAGTTCCTCTGGCGTGTACCAAATCAGATGCCCCGACTCAGCCATGTGATGTGACACCCGAATCTACATTGCGCAACTTCCCATGCATGCAAGGATTGCTGTCATACAGACAAACCCTCTTCCCTCAATTCATTCACTATACAGCTCCTCTGGTCCGGCAGGAATAGGTGTTTGTCAGAAGCGTAACTAGCATTACAAGATTCGCACCCAGCACTACCAATTCCTAACTCTTGAGACAAGCATTGGCCCATTGTCACGAGCATGCCTCTAGTGCGCATAGATTCAAAACACGCCTACTCTAACAGAAAGCGAACGCTGCCGCGCGTGGCAACTACGCAGGGCTGCGTCAGGCGCCAGAAATGCGAAACCAACGTTGTCTTATTGGTATCATTACACTCCAGTCAAAATGTCTCGTTTTCCAGCTTCGCCTTTGTTCGCAGCGAGCCAGCGGCGGGCGTGCGGCTCGCGCCGATAAGCGCCGTCTCCAGACTCGCCGCCTTTTCCGCCGCGAGAGCCATGGCTTCGAGCTGCTTCTGTTTCTTCGAGCGCCGCCACCACCAGACGAGCAGTACAATCAGAGCGATGAATATCAATGCTCCTACCACAACCGCGATATATACTGCAGCACTCGTGCCGCCGCTGCTGCTGCTGCTGCTTCCGCTGCTGCTCGGGGTACTGGCGGTACTCGCGCTGCTCGCGGCGTTGGCGGAGCTGCTGCTGTTTGTGGGGATGGTTGTGTTGGGGCTGGCGGGGGGAGTTGTCGGCGCAGGAGGCGGGGGAAGGGGCTTTTTGGGAGATGGGGGCGGGATCGAGGGGGGAGCGGATGGCTCTGGTGTGGGCTCGGGTGTGGGCTCGGGTGTGGGCGCAGGTGTGGGCGCAGGCGTGGGCGCAGGAGTGGGCGCAGGTGTCGGCGGAGGTGTCGGCGGAAGGGGAACGGAGGGGCCTGACGCGAGCGTAAACTCCGCTAGTGTGGAGGTCTTGCAGGTGATCGTTTTCGTGGCGGCGTTGGCAGTAGTGGTCAGGTACTTAGGCCCTCCAGCGGCACTAAACACCGCACATTGCGGCGGAAACTTCGGATCCGTGACCGGGGTCGGGAAAGTGATTACAATGGGTGACCCTGGCGGCGCCGTCACTTGTAACGTCTTGCCGAAAGGGGCGCCTGGTGTTGCGACAGGAGGATACGCGACAATATCGAGGCCCGTGAAAAAGGGCATGAACTCGATTCTGTCGTCGGCCGGTTTGAAAGGCGCCGTGTCGTTCGGCAGCGTGTTGTAGACCAGCGCGACCTGCTTCGCCGTGGTGTCGATTGCGAGACCTGGAGGCAGGGCGAACTCGTGAAACTTGTAACCCTTCGCGACGAGGAACGCGCGGTCTAGGACGATCACTTCGGAGGTCATGTTGGAAAACGGGGTCGGCGGCAGCGCGACGATTTTCCCCGGAAGGGTCTTTTGCAGTTGATTCATGGCGAGTTGGTGTAGAACCCCCTCGTAAATTTTCAGGCGCGTTATTTCGATGTCGCTTAAAACGGGAACTGGTGTTACCGCGGCAGCGCTGGTTCCCTGGGCCTGGTACGGTAGGAAGGTCGAGATGAGGAGTAATGAGAGGGCGAGGGCAGCCATGGCTGGACTCTTGGGCGAATATGCTGCTTGGAACATTGCTGATGCGCTTTGGAGCTGTGACGTAATGACTAGGGTCCTAACTTTGAAAATCTCTGGCATACAAGCAGCAAACCACCAGTTGTTGAGATCAAGCTCGTGAGTTGGGGTTGGGGACCAGCAAGTTTGTGGTGAAGGGAGGAAATGCGGGATAAACAGCAGGAATGGCGTAAATGAGGAGATATGACCTGAGTGGAGGGGAAGCGGAGGGACGGGAGGGGGCGAAATTCTCGAAAGGGAACGAGCACCGAATCGCAGAAGGGTGGAATGCACGAATGTTGATGGAAATGCCGAGCCGCTTTCTGTTAGGACCCGCGAAGACGGGGGTGGGGAGGCGGGAAATGGCAATCCAATGAGTGTTCCGCGATGTGCGGTACGTTGTTAGCCAAAAAGTGCAACAGAAAAACATGAAACGTACGCGCTATGCTGTAAGAAATTGGGTTGTTTCAGTGACTGTTTCCCAAACCACGGATACGGGAGTGTACAGCTATTATGTCTCTCGAGGTAAGAGTGAATTAAGGTGTGTATCGGCAACTTCACTTTCATATATCCTATTAACTACAAGACGCTCAGGCACAAAACTACGGAGAAAAACAGCGTGGATTGTTAATGAGTACACAAGCAAATGTGCACGGTTAACCCTTCAGGCGTTCAGAGATGTCCTTGTCGTCCCCATCCGCTTTCGTACCAAACGCCATTTCATCAAGGCTCTGGCCCAGGCGCTTGTACTTTCCGCCAGCCTCAACAAACGCGGGACACGGCCGATACACCTTCACTGGGAACCACTGAAAGCCCGGGAGCGCACCGACGCCGCCCTGAAAAGAAACAGAGACAGCATGGCACGAACAAGGAGTGATGATGTGCGGGATTCTTTTTCTCCATCATATGCCACCAATAAGCAGTACATATATTAGGGAATAAAATGAGGGGCACAAATGCCTGTTGACAAGGGTGGGACTCGAAGCGACACCAGGATCGGAGGAGGCAGGCACGGTCCTCACCTGAATACGACCTTCCCCATTGCAGCCTCCCACCCTGTCTGCCCTGCCACACGCCTTGCACACGTCTCCAGAGACCCTGCTCTCACTGCTACCTGCAGTGTTGGTTGGCATGCCAAAGAGGTTCTGGCTCAGCTTAGAAGGGGAAGATTCAACAGTCTCTTTTGAGATGTAACAGAGCATGGCTCTTTTAAGCTTAAACGGGGAGCCATGCTCTGTACCAGAACGGAGGGCAATCAATCAGAATCTGAAACAAAGAGAGGATTGCGGGTATGCATTGTTAATCAACGCGGTATGAATTCAAAGAAAGCTAAAAATAAGACAGGGCCAACGTTGGTAAGACAGCACCAACACACCCTTAACGGCAACAACAAGTGGTTACCAAAACCAGTGGTTACCACCAGCGTCAAGTGGTTACCAGCAGCAACAACTGGTCACCGGCAAGGCAGGAAGTTACAAGCAAGCACAGGCAGTTACCAGCAGGAGCAGGAGGCGTGTCAGTGGCTGTGGAGGCCTGATTGCCTTCAGGCGAGGCTGCAGCTCGTGACACGGGCAACTGGGGAAAGACACGAGGAGGAAATGGTTCAGAAGCAGTGTGTGTGTGTGTGTGTGTGTGTGTGTGTGTGTGTGTAGAGAGAGAGAGAGAGAGTGCGTGTGTGAGTGAGCGCTCACGCGTGCGTGTGTGTGGGTGCGTGCGAGCGTGCGTGTGTGTGGGTGTGTGTGCACAGATTTTTTTTCAGTAACAAGACGACACATTGGGACACGGACAATGAGGAGAGAGGGAGTGAGGCGAGATGCGAGGGAAGGGGTGGCAGGCAGCAGAGTGAGGTGGAGGCAATGCAGGAGCAGTGTGACTGTAAAGAGCGGTATTGCAGCTGCGATTGACACTGTTCCTGCGACAGACAATGCAGCTGCGACTCACCCGGCGGTAGGGTTGTCGTTGTCGCGAGACGCCAAGCTGCTCTCTTCTGCACTGCACTGCCTGGGACGGCTGGACGCGATAATTTTTTAAACGAAAGGGCGAGTTTAGAAAGTGGTTGAATTGGGGAAAACCCGCAGAAACGACAGAAACGATACGGAAGGAAGTGGGCGAAAGAACGGCGGAGTACGGGAAGGAATGGCGTGGAATGGGTTGCGGAATCAGAGAAGCGACACAGAGGCATGAGCATGAGTATTTTAAACGCGATAGCAGTAAAGCGACACGAATTGGCTGAAGTGACTCACCAGAGAGACCGCTCCCAGGGAAACGCAGGAGGACGCGAGAGCCGCCATGGCTACGCGGTAAGGAGGCTCTAGTGCTTGCTGCGTGCGCTCCGCTTCTCGAGGCGAATGGATAAGGGAATCAGAGAGAGACCCCCCACAGCCACAGAGGGGTTGGTTGCGACGATCGCGACGATTACAACGAAACTGAATGCGACTCACTGGGTGGGTCGCCAAGGATGTGCGACACCCGAGGGTCGAACATGTAACATTTTGTTTTCGAGGCCTAATTTTGCAACATACACAAATCATAGAAAATGCATTTCAAAAAGCTCAAGCAAATACATTAGTGAGCACCTATAACTCTGGTAATTATATACGTACATGGTTAGACCATGCTATTCCCACAAGTAAATCGCACACACATTTGGGCACACAAACAGTCATTTCCTAGCTTGGAACGTCTAATTCACACCTTAGTTACCCACTCAAGGCTACAGCAGCGCCTGTCCATCCGCATTGTAGTGAAGTCAAGGAAAACGTATACACACTATGGAAACCCCCCCACGCACTCTTCCCATCCATGTCAGCACGCCACATCAGCACCCAAGGGCCCGTCAAACAGCAACTCAGAAAACTCTTCCGGGGAGAAATCGTCGGCCAATGGGAGATCGTCTGGTAGCAGTTCCCCCTCCCCCTCGTCCCCATGGCTGTTGCTGCCGTCGCCTTGCTCCTGAGGGTAGGCACCGGCGGGGTCACAAAAGAGGAGAAGAGAGCAGACGACATTGAGGCGAGGAGAGCACACAGCATGCCAAAGGAGCGCACACAGCGGAGGGGAACACACGATTGCAGTAGGAGAGGACATCTCAAACCTAAGGAGCTCGAGAGAGGCACGGGCGACTCTCACCCTTACAACTTGATGTGACTTTTGAGAATTCTCAAAAGTCCCTTCCTCATCCCCTTACAACTTCCCCTCTCCTCACCCTTCTCAATCCTGTCACCATTCCCCCCTCTAATCACTTTACCCCATCCCTCCCCTCTCTTCAGCCTCCAGCCCTCCTTCCCACCCGTTACCAACTTCGCTCGGCCTTACCAACCTCGCTCGACCTTCCCACACTCTCACACTAGGTCTTCTTCGACACACGCTTTCTCCCCCACCAGCCATGCCACCCCCCTTCCCTCACCATGCCACCCCCCTTCCCTCACCATGCCACCCCCCTTCCCTCACCATGCCACCCCCTCTCTCTCCATCCAATCGTCTCTCGCCTATCAATCCAGGCCACAGCCCTCAGCCTCTGCATAACCACCCCCATCCCCAGCCCCACTAACCATATCTCCTCCTCCCCTGTCCCCCTCTCTCTGCCCGTTCACCATGCCATCACCCCAAGCGATGTTTTGGAGCCGGTCAAAAACCTCCCCACCCAGCATAACCCCTCCTCTCCCGCCCCTGCCTGCCTGCCTGCCTGCCTGTCTCACCATGTCATCATTGCGCGCGAATCTTCCCCGCACGCGCGGGCGGCTGTCTGCCAGAGTCTTGCGGCACACATACTGGGGGAGGTGGGGGAAGGGTGGGGGGAAGGTGGGGGGACGGTGGGGGGACGGTGGGGGGACAGTGGGGGGAAGATGGGGTGGCGGTGGGGGGATATGAGGGGCGGAGGGGAAAGACACACAGGGTGCCTTGTGAGTCGACTCAAAGGCAGCTGTCTTCCAGAGTCTTGCAGCACACATACTGGGGGAGGTGGGGGGAGGGGATGAGGGGGAGGTGGGAGGGGCTGTTTGTGAGAGTCTTGCGGCACACGTACTGGAGGGGGGAGAAATGAAGGGGAGAGGGGGAGAGGAGGGAGAGGGGGGAAACAGAGGTGACGTTTGCGCCGACTCAAAGGCTGTTGGTCACTAGAGACTTTCGACACAGATTCTTGAAGGGGAGAATGATGGGGGAAGTTTGAAGGGGAAAAGTGAAGGGGTGAGTGGGGAGGGTTGCATAGTGAGGGGGGGGTGCAGGAGAGGTGGGGGGGAGGGTTGAAGGGTTGAGGGGCGAAGGGGAAGGGGTGCGGAAGGTGAGTGAGAAGGGATGGGGAGAGGTCGGGAGAGGGGCGAAGGGGGAAGAGACGAGCGACAGGGGAAAGGGGGGAATGGAGTTGAGAGAAGGGAAAGGGGAGAGGAGTGAGGTGGGGTGAGGTGGGGATGGGTGAGGGGGGAGGGGTGAGGGGTATGGTGGACATGGAAGGGGACAGGGCGAACAAAGTCTATAAACACACTTACTAAAAAAAGGGTGAGGGATTAGCACCCACACATACATGAGCACCCACACATACATGAGCACCCACACATACATGAGCACACACACATACATGAGCACCCCCCACACACACATACACGAGCACCCCCCACACACACATACACGAGCACCCCCACACAGAAGCGCATCCGCACACACACATGCCTGAACCTACCTTGATCTTTTTGGTGTAGTTGCACTCGTGCAGCTTCTGCCGGTAGCGGGAGATGCGCTGCTGGCATTTCCCCACCACAGCTCATGCTTTCATCCCCACGCATACAAATGCCCCCACACACCCGCATGCTCCCACACACCAGCATGCACTGACACACATGCATGCACCCACCTTGATCTTCTTGGTGTAGTTGCGTTCGTGCCGCTTCTGCCGGTAGCGTGAGATGCGCTGCTGGCGCTCCTCCAGGGTGTAGCGCCCCACGCGGAACACAGCACTGCCATCATCCGCCATGGGGAAGGGCAGCCCAGCCATGGCGCTCAGAGACTGCAGCATGCAAGAAGCAGGGATGGGACGGGGCGGGAAGGGGTTCAAATGATTTCTGAGTCAACTCCAAGGAGTTTTGTAGGTACAAAGAGATGCGCTGCTGGCGCTCCTCCGGGGTGTTGCGCCCCACGTGGAACACAGCAGAGTCATCATCCCCCATGCCAACCCCCATGGGGAAGGGTAGATTGGACATGGCGCTCAGTGACTGTGGGAGCGAGGGAGGAGGGAGGGACGGGATGGGACGGAGAGGGGTAAGAGACGGGAAGGGGAAGGAGAAGGGGAAGGAAGGGGGTCACGAAGAAAATTGAAGTGAGAGGCGAGCACTTGATGGGAAGCAAGCGCAGCCCGGGCATGGCATGGCGCTCAGGTGGTGCAGCATGAGGGGAAGATGAAGTGAGGTGAAAGGTAGGGAACGGAAGTTGGTCTAGTTATGGAGAGGGAAGTGAGGGAAGTGAGGGAGAGATAAACGGCATCTCACAGGTGGAAACGGGTGGAAGAAGAGTGGGGATGTAGATGTTGCAGCGCGTGTTTTTTGAGAATTCTCAAAAAACACGGGATGTAGATGTACACTTGGTGTACCTTCACTCACACTGCCCTTGTTTCTTGCCAGATGTCATTGTCACTCAAGCATCTCAATTTATAAGAAACCAATATGTTCTGCGGCTTGTGAATGAATATTTCTCAATTAATCAGCACCGTGCCCTTCTTGCTTTTTTGCATTGTGCCCTTCTTTCTTTTACATGATTCTAAATCATGTATTGGTGTACGTGACTGTATTCATCCGAGCCAATCTCACCTGGATATCGCCTGTGCTCTGCACTCGCCGCATTCCGGCCAGCGATGGAAGCCGCGGGGGTGTCAATCCCCCAATTGCGCTCATCCCTCCGCCCCCCTCCATCCCCATCATCCCCCGCGAATCTGCTCCCGCGCCCCCACCTCCGCGCATTTGCCCCATCGTAACAGCTCCCCCTGCCTGCCCCCCCCTGCTTCCGCCCATTGCACCGGGTCGAGCGCCCATCCCCGCCCCCCCTGACTCCCCTGGAGATGCTCCGCCAATCCCCCGCTGCTTGATGCTGCTTCCGCCAGCCTGCGCCCCTGCGAACTCCCCGCGGGGGGAAACAGGGGGGATCTGCGGAGGCCCCATACTCCTGGGGGAAGCTAACGGCGCCCCTCCCGCGCTGCTACCCGCTGGCCCCGCGCGCCCACCCCCGCCTCCGCCCCCGCCTCCGCCTCCGCCTGCCGCCGCAGCAGCTGCGAGCGCCTGCCTGTGCAGCTGACCTAGAGAATGGCTGCTGTGGCTTCGAGGCATCATTCCCCGCCGCTGCAACAGGCGCTGGCGCAGCAGCATCTGCTGCTGCTGCTGCTGAAGGTGAATCGACGGCAGAGGCTTCAGCTCGTCTTCTCCCCCCTCCTCTTCCCCCAACTCCGCCGCTTCCCCTGCTCTTCCGCGCGTCCCCGCGCCGTCTCCCCCGCTCCCGTCCTCCTCGCTCCCTGAGTTTCCGCTGCTACCGTCGCCAGTCCCCGCGCCCATCCCCAGCTTTCTCCGCGCGGCAATGCCTCCGCCCATACCTATGCCTGCGCTTCCCGCGCCCCCCGCGCCCGCCCATCGCTCCCCCTCGGTGCTTCCGCCTGCGCGGCTGTGGTGCGACAGCTGCCCCATGGAAGCCACGCGCCGCATCTTCGATGGCGCCATTCCCGCCGCGCCCCCCGCCGCCGCAGCAGAAGACCCAAAGCCCGAAGCTCCTGATGCCGAACCTGACGCGGCCTGCATCCGCAGCACCGCCGAGGCTGAGCTCACGCTCATCCGAGCCGCAGCCTGCAACCCGCCCAAGCCTTCGTGGTAGCTTCGGCGACGGGGAAGTGTCGGCGCGAAGCTGCTGCCGCTGGGGGCGCCAGGGCGCGGGCGAGGGGACTTAGACGGACTAACGGATTCGCTTTTAACGGGGACAATATCCCCCCCCGCGCGACCAAAACCCGACCTGGCGCTAACGGGCTCCGCCTTGACTCTCCCCGCGCCCCCCCCGCCCGCCCTACTCGCACCGCTCATTGCGGGAACGGGGGTTCCTAAAGCGGGGGCAGCGCCGCCCGGGAAACCCTGAGGCGACATCATGCCTGGGAACATGAAGGGCGGCGGGAGGCCGGGGAGGGCGGGAAGGGACGGCGCGTGGGATGCGGCGGGCATGGGGGAATCGTCGTCCGCGGGTATGGCGGAAGAGGAGGTGTTTCCGGATTTTTGCGACTGTTGCTGCTGCTGCTGCTGCTGCTGCTGCTGTTGCTGTTGCTGCGCATGCTGCATGTGCATGTGTTGCATGTGCATGTGCATGTGCATCTGCTGCATGTGCTGCTGCATGGCGTATGGATTCCCATGCGGGTACATCATCCCGTTAGGCATTGCGCCAGGGGGCATTCCGGGGGGCATCCCGGGGGGCAATGCGCCGGGCATGGGCGGAGGCATCCCCGCGGGCATCATCCCAGGCGGCGGCATGGGGAACGGGTGCGCGGACATTGGGTGCCCCTGCACGGGGTGTCCGGGCATGGCGTGCCCTTGCATCGCCGCCATGTGCATCGCCTGCGCCGCCGCCATCGCGTGGTGCTGCGCCATCGCCGCCGCCGCCGCGGCAGGCGGCATCCCGCCGGGCATTCCCCCCCACATCCCCCCCGGCATTCCCCCGGGCATCGCCATGGCCCCTATCCCTGCGCCATGTTGCCCCCCCATCGCGCCCCCGTGCGGCAGGCCTCTGCTCGTTGCGCCGTTCACCGCCGCTCCCACCGCCGCGTCCGCCGCGCCAGCGGTTCTCCCCGCGCCCTTGTGTTTCTGCGAGGGGCGCGTGCGCGACACCATGGGGCTGAACACCTGGCTATGCCCGAACGACGACGACGGCGGAGAACCGGGCCCATCCGCCGCATGCGCGGTGTCACCCACCACCCCCATGCCCTGCGTCTGCGCCTGCGCCTGCGCCTCCTCCGCCTCCGCCCCCGCATGCTTTTGCGCAAACCCCTGCGCGTGCGCGTGGGCGTGCCTGTGCGCGTATTGGCGCATACGGGAGGGGGAGGGCGGAGAGGAGCTCATTGAGAAGCTACAGTCCGACCCTTCCGGAGAATCCGCGTCCCCCGCTGCTCCCCCCGCCGTTTCCCCCGCGCCAGCAGCTCCCATATCCCCCCCTTGCGGTGCGAAATTCCGCTGCGCGTTGTCCTCTCCCCCATTACGCGCGCTTCCGCCCCCCGCGAGGCCTCCTCCACGGTCCGCGATCGGCTCCCCCTCCGACGACACGCAGTACGGCGCTAAGCTAACTTCCGCAATCTCGAATATCCCCCGCCGCTTCCCCCCCTCGGGCCTTCCGCTCCCCGCGCCCGCGCGGTCCTGGTTCCCCCGCGCTGCTTCGTCCGCTTGCGACGCTCCCGCCACCCCCGTGTGCTGCGAGTGATGAGAAGGGTCTACCGTGGGCACTACTGCTGCGGCAGGCTCTGCTGCGGCAGGCTCTGCTGCCTCTGCCGCTGCTGCTGTTGGTAGTCCGGCCGCGAAGGAGATGCTGGGGTCTGCTGGTCGCCGGACGGGACGCAGAGAGAGCAGAAAGAAGGCAGAGAGAAGGCAAATTAGAATGAATCCGCGGAAAAACTCGAAACGTTACGGCACTGTTACTTGGGAGCCTCATTCTTAGGCGGCTGGACAATCGAAAAAATATTACCGCACTGCGTGTCGGGCGCGGCAGCGGCGAGCTGCGTGAAAATGTCGTCGTCGTCGTCGTCGTCGCCCGGCGCGTCGCCCACGCCCATGTCGCGCGCCATGGCCATGGCCGCGCCGCCCAGCCCGAGCTTGTGCGCCGCGTCCAGGTTGTCCTGCGCCAACCCCATGTCGAACTCGATGCCCTGCCGTGCGATAGTGGGGAAAACATTGGGGAGTGATTGGGCAAGAGAATGGAATTTGAGAATCCCTTTACAATATCATTGTCGCATCGGAACAGTCGCATTGCTTCGTGCGAGTGTGCTAGCTTGCCCGAATCATCTGCACTCACATCGAAATCCGTCATGCCGAATATCCCGTCGTCGAAGCCGCCATGGAAGTACGCGCCGTTGGTCACGTCGGGTAACTCCGCCGTCATGGCGTCCGTCGCTGCTCTGCCGCCTGCTGGGACGGGAAGAAACACGCTCCCGTCCATTGCGGCCATACTGCAAACTAACCTTAATCAAAATATAAAATATACGGATCACTTCGTTGGAAGAATGAGGGACTATGAGAGTAAGGACGTGCTTAGTAACATAGGCAAGAAAAGAAACTTTTGAAGCTAAGGCCCGAAGCCGCTGGCGAATAAGGGAAGAAACGCACCAGACGGTCTGAAAAGGCGGACGAAATTCCGCCTTGTTGAGGATGAGGTGAGGATAAGGAGTCAAATCCTAAGTGGCTGGCTGCACTGCACATGCCCACACACCAACAGCAGAAAACAGCTTGATTCTACCACACAGGTTTACTGTGCCGTGGCCTCCATTCTGAATCGTGGACCTGATTGATGAGAGCTGTTTGATAGGGATATTGGACTGTGGTGTGGATGAGAGAGAGAGCTGTGGTGTAAAATCACCTCCAAGTCCATCCTCTCCATTTCCCAGCGTGCGAGCGTTTCGAAGATTCCGAGGTGCGACCCCTCGAGTTCTGCGTTCGCCTTCCTCAGGGTGTTTCTTTCCAAACCCAATGTTCCGTGCCTAACCTGCCGTGCTGGTGGCCCGAGCCGAAAAAGGTAACAGAACCGAGCCTCGTGTGAGGAAGTTCCGTGCCAGGAAGATGGCAGGGCGTCCAGCTTCGGGGTCATTCACCCCTCCACTCCTGGTTCGCCAAAACTTTGCCGGACCTGAAATGTCGCCATGGAAGAATGCCAATCTGGGAGAAGATGACTACGGTGAGCTACACGAACCAAACCTTTCACCACCAAGGCCCCAGCCACTAACTTCTCTGTCTTCCCGATAGCAGTCATGATGGCGATGGAGGTGCACGCGGTTGCTTTTCTCACAGGCAGGTAAGACCATGACCACAAGTGCGATCAATGGAATCATCACAAACGGGCAGGTGATAAAAGTTATCCAGATCACAAAAACTACAGCACCAAGAAACCCATTTGTACAGTTGAGTGTTTGGGTGCTTTGCTTTGTTTTGGCGCGATAAAATTCGTTTCGTAGAAGAAGCATCGGAGAGCGATACCTCTGATTCATGACGTGGATATCACCAAGGTTGACCTGTCAACTGATAAGGCTGGGAAACTCGAGAAATGTGGACCTCGAATCCAGTATCTCGCAACACAGCTTCCAGACCCTCGTGATTGCATTGCACCTTCCACTGACCATCAAAGAATTTGAATGGCAAATGATTTTACACGGAAATCAGCAATTTTATCTCCTTCTGCGGGTATGGAATTTTATCATACTTCCAGATACGGACCCACGACTGTGGTAAGTGTATACATGCCTAAATCCATCGAAGCTACGCAACAATCAATTTATGCCCAAACATCAATTGCTGGTCATAAATTTTTGGAATGGTTAAGAGATGTGGTTGGGGTTGCAACGAGTCTTTCCATGTAAGTGTGAATTCTACGTGAGTGCAACTAAAGATAGAAGCAAGACATCAACAAACGACTGTTTGCGCAGATGCACTTGCAACAGTGGCCAATATGCTGCTACTGGTGCTGCTGCTTGCTCCCCCTCCACCATTCTGCCTTGTTGGCAACCTGGCCTTGCTGAGTTGACGCTTGCGCTCTACGATTAGGCGGTCCCACTGTGAGTGGCCAGAGAGAATGGTGTTCTTCACGGCGTCATATGTCGTCAGGCGCACACTGCAAGAGGCAAGGAAAAACGAGGAGAAAGGAAAGTGAATAAGAGCCAAGCCAAGCATCTTCAGAAACAGTGAAAGAGACAATAGGTGCGAGTAAGTAGAGCCGGAAAGTGGTATATCACTAGGGGCAGGCCACAACGCTTACCTGCTGTTAGGGAGGTTCTTCACCGTGTTGGCAATAAAGCCTCGGTACAGCCCCAGCCATCCATCTCGCTTCACGATGCCTGCCAACACACACACACCCGCGCACTCCAGCATTTAAGCACATAGCTTTAGAGCACAGCATTCATGAGACTCACCTGTCAATCAGATTATTTAGTCCCTCCCACGCACACACAAACCTGGCGCATGAATCCTTCATCTGTAATGGTCGACTCAGAAGTAACTTTGTACCTGGAAAGGCCTGGAGCAAGGATTTGAAGGGGGGGACCCCATCCCTCGTGCATCTGACGCCTTGTGGGTCGACTCATCAGTCATGACCCACCCCGAACATGGTAAGACCACAAGAAAGGAGTTCAAAGAACCAGCCTTTCACTATAATGCTGTGTGAGTCTGGCTCACGAGTCATCCATAAGGACGCAGCCTTTCACCTGGGAAGGCCTCGAGCATGGAGTTGAAAGGCAAGCCCTTCATCTGCACTGCATCTGCACTGCATCTGGCACCGCACGGTGTCAATGGGTGGGGTAGCATGAGACCAGAGCCAGCCTTTCACTCTGGCGCCTCGTGACTTGACTCATGGCTCGGATGTACGTAGCTCCATACATACACACAGCATCAAGCATGGAGTTGAAGGGCGACCCCTTCATCTGCATCTGGCGCCGCACAGTGTCGATGGGGTAGCACGACACCGTTGCCAGTCCTCCACTCTGGCACCTTGTGAGTGGATTCACAAGTCACCCCCGTACCGTACGCACCTGGGAAGGCCTCAAGCATAGAGTTGAAGGGCGACCCCTTCATCTGCATCTGGCGCCGCACAGTGTCAATGGGGTAGCATGACACCGTCGCCAGTGTTGTGGCTGCCAGCGCCGTCACCAGGTTCGCCTGGGGCGTGCCCTGGTACTGCTCTGGCACCCTCCGCTTGATCCTGAGGTAGGGGAGAGGTGGGCGAGGAGGGGGGGAGGGAAAAGGGCGGGGAAGAGGGGTGAGGTGAGACGTGAGGATGGGTGGAAAACGGGTGGGGAAGCGGGGTGAGACGCGAGGATGGGTGGAAAACGGGTGGGGAAGCGGGGTGAGACGCAAGGATGGGTGGAAAACGGGTGGGAAGCGGGGTGAGACGCGAGGATGGGTGGAAAACAGGTGGGGAAGCGGGGTGAGACGCAAGGATGGGTGGAAAACGGGTGGGGAAGCGGGGTGAGACGCAAGGATGGGTGGAAAACGGGTGGAGAAGCGGGGTGAGACGCGAGGATGGGTGGAAAAAGGGTGGGAAGCGGGGTGAGACGTGAGGATGGGTGGAAAACGGGAGGGGAAGCGGGGTGAGACGCGAGGATGGGTGGAAAACGGGTGGGGAAGCGGGGTGAGACGCGAGGATGGGTGGAAAACGGGGGGGGAAGCGGGGTGAGACGCGAGGATGGGTGGAAAACGGGGGGGGAAGCGGGGTGAGACGCGAGGATGGGTGGAAAACGGGGGGGGAAGCGGGGTGAGACGCGAGGATGGGTGGAAAACGGGGGGGGAAGCAGGAAGGGGCGTTGAAGTTGAGGGCGATGTCAGGCGCAATGGACACAAGCGCCGGGCCCAGGCTTCCCCATCCCGACATGCATATGGCCAATCCCCCCAAGCGCACGCCCTTCCTAGGCACGCGAAAACCCATCCCCCCGCGCGCACATGTCATAAGCGCAGAAGTTGAGCGCGATGTAGGGCGCAATGGACACCAGCGCCGGCCCCAGCCCAGCATGCACACGGCCGATCCAAGCATACACATGCCCAATCGTAGCACGCACACACACCCTATCCCAGCACGCACATGCCCCATCCCCTCATGACGCACATGTCATAAGCGCAGAAGTTGAGCGCGATGTAGGGCGCAATGGACACCAGCGCCGGCCCCAGCCCCTTGTACAGCGACCTCGCGCCCTCCTCCCTCACCATCGCCATCGCCACCTGCCACCCACGCAGAGCCACACACGAAGAGAGTGCCGCACGGGCATAGCGAAACAGAGTGAGCATGGCTACACACGTGGTGCGGTGCTGGTATAGGTAATGCTAGCGAGGGTAAGACGCCACAAGAGTCCAGCAAAGCAACGAGGGAGGATGGTAGTGCGCAAGCTAGAGAAGTGCAGCACTAGTATGCATGTGTGATGTGGCAATGGTAATCACCACAGCCCCGAGCCTTGACCACTTAGCCGCGCCAACCACCCCCCTTTCCGCCTCTCTCTTGCCTCCGCTACAGCCATCCCAGCGCTTGGAAGTTACACAATAATCATGCACCGATGTGATTTTCCCTCACACTGGTGACTCCGCTACAGCCATGTCGCCCGATAGTTTAAATATCGCCTGTTGTACCCTCCCAACAATCTCCAATGGCCGACACTGCCACTCCCAGAACTATCAGTCCTACAGCGGATTGTGGCGCAACCTCCTCTCTGCTTCAATCCCTCCCGTCGTCTCGCTGACGCATCCTTCCCTGCGCTACTCTCTATAGAGGAACCAAAGGCAACTCTTTCAACGGAACATGCTCGTCCGCCCTGCTTTCCGAACAACGCTGTAAGCCCCAGCCGCTGATCACCTCCGTGGCCGCCGCTTCCCCTGACGCTCGATGATCGCTTCTCGTGCCCACGTGCTCCTCTATCCCTGCTCCCATACCTCGGCAGTGCTCCGGCTGCATACGCTACGGCTCCAGCCACCACTATCACTGTAACGCAGCACCTCGCAGCGAGTCTACCCCAATCCCCGATGCCCACCTGCGCGATGCTCCCGTTGGTGGCGTCTAGCGCCATGCGCAGTCGCAGCACGTCCAGCGGGTACGTCACCAGCGTCGACGTCATCCCCGCGCACGCCCCCGCCGCCAGCCGCGCCGGCACCGACAGCTCCTTGCTGCTGCCTTGGAATTGCTTCTGAGAACAGTAGACGCGGGTGTGGGAATTTGAGTTTTGAGTCAACTAGTCGACCTAAAACCGGGTGAATGATTTTCAGCTTGCACGAGCGGAAAGACTACGAGCGGTAAGGCGAGAAACGGTGAGGCGACGACGCACCTTGTAGAGCTCGTAGGCGAAGAGCTGCACTGCACTGTACGGCACAATGCGCATGACCTGAGGGAGGGGAGAGAGAGAGTGTGTGTGTTGGGGGGGAGGAGGAGGGGAGGGGGGAAGGTGGGGGAGTGTGGTTGACAGGCGAATAAAGACGAGGCGAAGAGGAGATTGATGGGAACATGAACGGGGGGAAGAGGAGGGAGGGGGGGGGAAGAATAGCGGGATAGAGTGACAGTGGAGGGGACAGGGTTTTAAAAATACGACTCTGCCCGACGCAAGTCAAGGAGAGAATGATCAGTGTGAGGGAAAAGGTTACCTGGGGCAGGTTTCCTTTCCAGTAAGCAGTCACGCCGCCTTCCTTCCCAATGTCCAGAAACGACTGCCAGCAAAAAACGGCGACAGGCACATGATAGAAATACCACATTAAGCATGGGTCTAACCGGCAACGGAAGCCGCATGGCAACGTGACCTGATTTGATGTCAATGCGGCAACATGGGACGAAATGCACAGGAGGTGATGACACAATGTGGAGAGCCACCGAATGCACAACACAGGGCCAGGAGCAGCGGCGGAAGATGCTGACGGGAAATCACCTTAACGAGGTTGATCTCCCTCGGCGGGATGACCTTCCCCGGTAGAACGCTCTTGACCTGGGGTTAACGAGGGGTGATAGCGGGTTGCGGAAAGAGAGCGAAAAAAAAGACATTATTGACAAACAGGAGAAATGCAAACCGATCCGACCGTTTTCCCCTCTTGCACCCCACTCCCAGTCGTTTCCGGCTTTCCCACCACACTCTCGTCACGTCACCCACCTGGATCATCAGCTTCCAACGGTCTAGCGGCGCGGTCGCGGTTTTAGCGGCAGCGCCGGCGACGGCACCGGAGATGAAAAACGCGGCGTCCTTGGGAATGCCGCGGAGGAGCGCCAAGGGGTGCGTCAGCAGCTGCACCAGCGACGGTCGTGTCACCACCTCGTCCACACACCCAGCCCGATCCTGCGCAGCAGCCTCGGCGAGCGGCGCATCTGACGTCAGCTTGCGCTCCTCGATGGCTGATGCCTCCGAGCTTACGGTTTTTAGGGATGCGACGGAGAGTGGCATCGACGTGGGGGCTTTTCCGAAGTTGGCGCTGGTGACGGCGGGTGCACCATCGGCCTTCTCGCTGTTCACCCGCGCTACGGACGCCGGCGATTTGACAAATGCAGCGCTCGAAATGGCGGCTAAAGGAAGGGCTGCGCGAGCCTCTGCTCCTTGCGATCCTTTCGCCGCTCGTCGTGCCTTACCCGAGCGATGCCCTACTGGTTGAACGTGCGACCTGCTGGAAGAAGCACGGCAGTCCGCTGCTCCGGATGGCAATGATGCGGATGGAAACGAGGACAAGGTGGCCTGAATGCCCTGAAACCTTTGCCGGTGCGTCTCGCAGAAAGTTTCAAAGCGCTGCTTGTGATCAGCTAGAGAGGTGTGCAGTGTTGAGACGAGAGAAGAGAGATCGACGGCCAGGGCTGGTCCATGCTTCGTACGGCTGTCAAACTGAGAAGCCATCCCTGTTCTTCTTTACCTAAATATATAGAAACGGATCGAAAAGGGTTCGTAAACCACGTTCCTTCCACTCGGCTATCCTGAAGCTGGGACTAAAAAATACCCAGCAGCAGGAATGGCCAGAGCGAAGGAATAAGCTGAAGGTAGCAAAAGGAGAAGGAAGTCTATGAAGCTGGCTTTTGGAATAAAGCTGGCTACTGATTAGAGTCCAGTGAGAATCAGCCTGCCTGGCAACTGACCAGTGAGAGCTGATTTGAAGCAGCAGGTTTTCAAGTTCAAGGGGATTGATTTCCACTTTTTCCGCAGCCGCCAGTCCAGGGACAAGTTTGGTTGGGCCTGGACGTTGGCTTCTTGTTCTAGAGAACATCGTACGGCCGATGCCGTCCTCATCGATAGCTCATCGTTTGATCTACGGACGAAAATTGTCGGCCCCTACTTTCCACTTTTCCAGGGTGGATGGATTGACACGCACTGCCGCGTTCCCTCCGTGCTGTGCGCCGAAATGTGGATGCAGGGTATAAAAGCCGTCGATTATGAATTTCACCCAGACATCGAACCGTTCGTTTTCCTTTCGGTTGTGCATCCTCCACCCAGAGCATCAGCCAGCACTGACAGGAAAGGGAGCCTCCACGTGGACAGTGGCTTTCGCGGCAGTGTAAGGTCAGGACGCGTGGAAAGGCATCGTTCACGTGTGCAAAAGCCTCATCCAATTAGGTCATCAAGCCAAGTGTTATACTCGTTATGAGACAAATCAGTTCCGTAAGTCTACTCCTTTCAGATTTCAAAGACTCTGGGTGTTCTTTCCAAGCTTATGACAAAGGCAACCGAAAATTTTCGTGAATTGTACGCCACACCAGCCGAAACTCACTTTTCTTTGGCACAAAGTATCGACCTCGGATCGGGTTGGGTTGTGTTCCAATACAGGATTTTTCTGAACCAAATTTGCCACTTGAGATGCCGCCACTCCACCAATGGGAAGAGGAGGCAGTGAACGCGGGAAATTGCAGATTTCAGAAGCTGGCTGACCCCCCTCACATGTGCAAAGCATTTGATCAGAATCAATCATTCCGTCCGCAGCCGACTCCATCGTTTCCCAGCCGACTCTCATTTTTCAGCCGACTAGCAAACTACTAATCTTGTAGCACTAGACGACCCTTCATCTGTACGCACGGTGCATGTCAAGAGGGGTCTCGTCCTCGGAATGTTTATTGGGCAAAGTGGTTTCGTAACGACGCGTGCCAAGCGGACGATAAATGCTGCAAATAAGCGTGTCATGGTCGAGCGCTCGTAACTGTCGGCATTGCTCAATTTGATAGGCACCCGCGACGTCGGCGCAAGCATTGCCGGTTAGGGCCAGTCGACCGACAATGGTTGATCACGCAGTGGAACTCGCTTTTGCGTAGAGATTGGTGTCAACCCGCGGAGCTCTTGGTCGTCAGACTGGTGTCCATATCGCGGCGCCCAGCCAGTCTGTCCGCCAATCTGACAAGAAAGCGGTTTGTGTCATTCACGCGTTCATCACCCGTTCCGCCGACCACCAAAGATGCAGCCTTCAGGGCCGTTCTCCCGCAGCAGCAACCGACGAGATTTGATTCCCACCAGGGATGAAGCGGAGAACGTCAGCGCGCAGAAGTCGGGAAGCTTCGGAAGAAGCAGCAGCAGCGGTTTAGGGACGTCGTCCCCTTATGGCCGGTGGAGATCAGTCGAGTTTTTCCTCATGTACTGCTACACCGCGTACTTCTACTATCAGGTATGATTTATCAGACGCCAGGTACCATTCCCGAGGTGTGCTATCAACACTTCTCATGTACTGCTACACCGCGTACCTCTACTACCAAATAAGAGTTCTTAGACGCCTGGAAGGTTTTACTGCTGCACTTGCCATCATATGTGCGGCCGGGTGGATCCACAGCGAGTCCTCCCAATCTCACTCCCGCTCTTTCCCCTTCGTTCTCTCGTATCGCACGGCTCTTTCCTCGCCTCCTCTCATCGCCTCTCCTTTCCTTCCCTCCGCCACTGCCAGTGCCTCTGCCGCGCCATGCGCCTGCGCCACTCCCCGCACGCCCCTCGTGCAGCATCATTGAGTCGAACCAGAAGTCACCCCCTTCTCTCCCCTATCTCCTCTCATTCCCTCCCTCATTTCCGCCTCCTTCACTCCCTCATCCCCTCTCCTTCTCTCCCTGATCCCCTCTCCTTCTCTCCCTCATCCCCTCTCTTCCGCTCCCAAATCCCCTCTCCTTCTCTCCTTCTCCTCCTCTCCCCCATCAGGTCATCCGTCACGCCGTGCGTCTGTCCAACCGCTACGCGTCCCTCGTGCAGCACTGGCCGGCCGCCAGCAGCGGACTCTACCCCGGCTGGATCGCCGGCCGCAAGGTCGACCTCTCTGACGACCAGTGGCGGAACTTTCGCGGAAACCTCCCTATTCTGTCCGTGGTCATGGGAGTCTTGTGCGGCTTGGCTTTGGTCATCAGGCTCGGGGCCGCAGGCTCGGCCCGAAGCAAGGACGGTTTGGTGGGGGGTGGGAAGAGGTGGGGCAGCGGGGGAGGACACGTGTTGGCGTGGTACTGGCTGGTAGCGTCACTAGCGTACGTGGTGTACCTGCACGAGGCGAGTACAGTCTTCCTCCTTGCCTTCGCTGTAGCGAATTACGTTCTAGTGAAGCAGCTGGGGTCCTGGTGCGCAAGCAGAGGCAGCCATACCAGCACCAGCAGCAGCAAGCAAGGCGCCGGCGCAACCAGCAAATGGGACTGGCTGTTCCCAACCGCCCTGTGGGCGTGGCAGTGCGGCTCCTACATTCTCATCCGCTCATACGACGGCTTTAGATTCGCCCACATTCCCTTCCTGGGCGGCAGTCTGGCGTTCCTGGACGCGCACAGGGGGGTGTTCCGGTGGGAGATCTTCTACAACCTGCTACTGCTCCGCATGATCAGCTTCGGTCTCGATTACTACTGGGCTGCCCGGGATGCAGCAGCAGGCACAGCAGCAGCAGGAGCAGCAACAGGAGGGCAGGGAGAGCCGCTGCTGGGTTCCAAGCTCACAGGGGCTGTCAGTGCCAGCAGCGTGGGAAGCAGCTTCCTGGAAGCTCACCGAGCCAAGTGCTTGCAGTGCAGGCAGGGCCAGGCGTGCTACACGGCGAGGCAGGGGGAGAGCCTCCCTCTGCCCGCATACTCCCTCCCGGCCTACCTTGCTTACCTCCTCTTCGCCCCACTCTACATCTCCGGCCCCATCGCTTCTTTCAATGCCTTCACCTCGCAGCTCGACACCCCGCAAAAGACGATGTCTGCCGCCCGCGTCGCCATCTATGCCATCCGGCTGGCGGCGTCGTTCCTCCTCATGGAGCTCATGATGCACTTCTGCTACTTCCAGGCACTTGCCAAGTCCGCCGGACCCTGGTTCTCGGAAGCTTCCCACAGCACCGGGGTTAATGACCTAGGGAGTGCCCTGTGGGGTCAAGAGGCCCCTGGGAATCTCGCTCTGGGGATGAGCATAGTGAGCTATGGCGTTCTTAACTTCATGTGGCTCAAATTCTTCCTTATCTGGCGCTTCTTCCGTCTCTGGGCGCTCGTGGCCGGCGTGGAAACCCCCGAGAACCTTCCTCGCTGCATCAACAATAATTATGACATCGAGGGGTTCTGGCGCGGGTGGCATGCGTCGTACAACAAGTGGATCGTGCGGTACCTGTACATTCCGCTGGGCGGCGGGAAGCGGAAGCTAGTGAACGTGTGGATCGTGTTCACGTTCGTGGCGCTGTGGCATGACCTGGAGTGGAAGCTGCTGTGGTGGGCGTGGCTCACGTCGCTGCTGCTCGCACCGGAGTTGATCGTCAAGGCCGTTGGCAACCTTAAGGCCATGCAGGGACGCACCTTGCTGGTGCACGAAGCTATGCTGCGAAGGGAGAATTGCTGGCCTGTGTGCCAATTCATGCCATGGCATGGGTGCGCTGTGCTGTACTGCATGGCGTGGTTCCTGTCCCATCCACCCTCGCACCACCTTATTCCTTTTTCTCCTCCCTCACCTCCTGTCCTCCTCCCTTATCTCCTTTTCTCCTCCTTACCTGCTGTTCTCCTCCCTCACCTCCTGTCCTCCTCCCTTATCTCCTTTTCTCCTCCTTACCTGCTGTTCTCCTCCCTCACCTCCTGTCCTCCTCCCTTATCTCCTTTTCTCCTCCTTACCTGCTGTTCTCCTCCCTCACCTCCTGTCCTCCTCCCTTATCTCCTTTTCTCCTCCTTACCTCCTGTTCCCCTTCCCCATCTCCTGGTCTCCTCCCTTACTTCCCGTTCCCCTTCCTTCTTCTCCACTGCCCCGCATCTTCCCTCTGTGCCTCCCATCCCGCAGGCCTTCCGCAAGTCATGGCTGTACCAGGAGTGCAGTGCAATAGCCGGCTGTATGAGGGTGCTCAGGGCTCATGGCCGCCAACCTCGTGGGCTTCGTGCTGGTTGCTGGGTCCCCTAATACAAACACCCCCTCCCCCTCTCGGTCTGATGACGGCCAACCTGGGCTTTGTGGTGGGGCTGGGCGGCGTCCACAGCTTCTCACGTCACCCCCCTCATCCTCCTTCAATC